TTTGTGATGTTGAACCGATCGATCACCTTCGGCCTGTAACTTCGTGATTTATGAAAATTTAAAATGTTTTAGAAGTTCGATCTATTACCAGAAAAGTTTTCTACGGTTTTTGAGCCTTTTGATGTGTAAAAAACAATACCTAAGAATCAGCGCGTGAATAAAGATTTTCTATTTTCATCATTAACAACACGTTTGTCGGATTCAACTTGATGATCCAATAGAAGTTGAATCCGACAAACGCGTTGATTGAGATGAGAAATAGGTTGGAAGAACGCATAAACGATAAAACAATCATCGAAGTGACTGTGATCTAAGGATTTGACATCTCATAAGTTTTGAACTAAAACAAGTTATAAAACTGTAAATGGCAAAACTTCTTTAGTTTTCCTATTTCTTCTCAAAATGACAATGATGTTGCAGTGCAAATCGTCCATGAACAACGTTGGACCCAAAGAGTTTCAGAGAGTTTTGTAACACAAAAGCTTCACGGAAGATTTCCTGCAAGCGATTGCGTTCTTGAAGAAACTCGAATTCCATCTACATCTTCTTTCAAGCTCTTTCGTATTCCATCCACATTCGTTCCCTTTATCCGTTGATTGTGATCGAAATTTCAGAAGGGGCGATTTGTTGGCACTCGTTCCACAACTCCAAACAGCCAGAACAAAAAAGAACAAAAGAGTTGAGCTGGATGTGAGATGAAAATGTGGTTGGTTTGAAGAAACTCTAAAAGATTTCATGAGAAATTTGTGATCTTATATAATTTGGCATCCTTTATAAACTCTTTTCAAAAGCCTAAATAAAAACTTTCTATCTACTCGTGAAGATGGGTTTTTGTTTCTAATCATGTCATGAAAAATGGCTCTTTTCCTATTGGACTATCAAGCTTTCCCTTCACGTTTCAGTTTGGTTTTTCTAAGACTCCCAACTCCACAACATCGAAAGCCCGTATCCCCAGATTGATATCTCTATTCTTATTTCTATTAATCTTACAATGCAAAGACATTCATGTCTTCGTTATCGACAGGGTTTTAGATTATTCGATGGTTTTGAATAACCATCCTAAAGGAAAGAGGCTTTTTCTCCTTATCAGTTCCTCAACTATCCCTTTAAGCATCCAATATGAATGAGTTCTCATTGTTCTTTGCAACCCTTGAGCAATTTCTTTTGTCTTCTCATTGTCCTCTGAAAGAAACACTTGTCTTCACAAAGCTCACTCCCATTATTCCCAACCAAAACTTCCTAGCAATCCGAAGGTGTTTAATCGATTATTTCTGAGTTTTTCTTCGAAATGTCCCTCTATTTCCCTATTCCCGTTACCTCCTGGAGCTGAAGTCACCAATTCTTCGATCGATCTCTTTCAAACAATATCACGAAGTCTATCAAGTAAATCGAGAACTCAAAAATTCGATCACTACCGGAATCTTTTCGAGGAAATTGAATTCACTCGAGATCGAATTCCGAGGTGATTCCTGGTCTCGATTCTTTCACTACAACAATGGAGAAGTCAAGGCTCAGGTGGGAGAAAAGGACTCCTTATTTCCCTACGAAATCCAAAAAATCGAATCAAAACATTTTTGTTCAGCTCCGAAAGCTGTTCAGAAAGAATCTTGCCAAAAATCCAAAAATATATGATGATCAACCGAAATCCAAATCGTTCGGAAATGAGCATATTTCAGAAAAATCTTTGGAGAATGATAAACAAATTTTACTGTATTAAAGAGCTGAAATCAATATGGAAAAGCTAGGATTTGTCGACATTCGATGATTTGCACAACTCTTATCTAAACAAGCTCATCTTTCGAAATTCGAACTTACCGCAAAGGTTCAACATGCTGAGGCAGTTCTTAAAAGTTTTTCAGTGAAAAATCTCGACTTTTAAACTCAAAATCTTTTGGGACATTGGAAGCAAGGATGAAAAGAAGAAGCAATTTTGTTTTTTAAATAAATTGAAGCAACTGGAAATTTGTCTCGGAATAGTGGATTGTTGGCTTGGAAAGGAACTGAGGATCTCTGGTCGGAAATAAGGGATTTAAAATTGGCATTTGAAAGTTTACGAAATGTCATTCGATTGGCGATGGGATGAGTGGGATGCGTGGAAAAAAGATTTTGAGGGAAATCTCGAAAGGACATGGGAGTTAGGCCAGCCGATTTTCATTCACCAGAGAGGCTTCGCCAGGCCAGAAATTGTCTTGGGGAAATCGAGCCAGATCCGACGCTTGAGGCCAGCTTTCTAAAGAGGTTTTTGAGGAATACTGAAGCTGAGATGAAGTCCAGTCACTTTCATTTTAAAAGGGTTTAATGATTTGGAACCAAATTTAAATAAAAACCTAAAAATGGCAGTCTTTTAGTGCCGCGACTCATAGGGGTCTTTCGAAAACCTCTCAAACCTGCCTAGAGTTATTTTCTTTTTTGCTCTTTTTGTCGAAGATTGGCCAGAGGATGTGGATAAAGAATTTGAAGATTATTTACATCACATGGTGAATGTCTATCAATTCAATTTTATGGACGAATTTATGAGAAAGCGAGCGTTTAACTTCATCGAAACCTAATTCTCAACAATCTTTCTCAAATTAGCTTTGAAACATCTGTTTTTAATCTTTATAATACAAATTTCGATATTGTGATATTTTGATTGATGTAAATCATTCTCGTCTCTCTTTCTTTGGAACTCAACTTCGACCTCATTTTTCGAAAAGTTCCGAAGTTTCAAAGATAGGAGCCTTCCGTTCTATTTGGCTTCTAAAAAGTTTATAAACGGTAAAAACAAATGAAAATACGGTGAACTTGAAGCTGTAGATCTTCGCCTTCGTGAAAATCTCGAGAAAAAGTGTCAGTGATGTCTTCGTAGAAAGTCCACTGAGATTCGTGCAACGCCATTAAGCCGTTTTTCTATGGAAAAATGAATTTTATGTGATGGACAGAAGCAAAGGTGTTTTTTGCAAATGGACAGCTAAAGGCCTTTGATAAGACAAACAAACCGATCACTCGATTTGTTTTATTGATGTGACTCATCGCTAAGAATTGTGTGTTCCTTGATTTGTGGAAATCAAAGTGATTCGATCTTTCGAGACGGAGCCCACTTTCTAGTCTTTTCCTTTCGCTTTTAAAACAGTACCAGAGCATTGTTTTTCTTATGAATTTATTTTTAGAAACGAATAAAACACTTGTGCAGTGCGTGAGAGCCGAGCCGATGGGGCAATGATTATTTAGATATGTTATTCCGGAATCTAACACAATCACTAATCTAGAAAATACAATGAATAGAATCAATCGTTGGTTTAATGTTTCAAAAGCGAAAGGAAAAGACTACAAAGTGGGCTCCGTCTCGAAAGATCGAATCACTTTGACGAATCAAAATATCAAGTCACTTTGACAATATACAACATGTGCATACAACAGATGGCAAAAAAGCTTTTCGCATCTCAAACCTTATACTTCGCGCTGTTTGTTTTCCCTCAATTGCTACTTATCGTAAAGCGTTCATTACCTACTGCCGCCCTTTGCTCGAGTACGCCACTTTTGTTTGGTCTCCCTGCCTCCAAAGTTAATTTCTTTGGTTGAGAACGTTCAGCGTCGTTTCGGTAGGAGGGCGTATGCCCGTTGTTTCCCATCGAAAGAAATTCCTTGCTATTCTGATCGACTTGCTCTTTTTGACCTTAAACCCTTATCCCATCGCCGCATTTATTTTGATTTGGTCTTATGCTATAAAATCATCTTCTCTCCTAACTCTCATCCGGAACTTAAAGGACTCTTTAAGATTTCGAATCACGCCAGAAGAACTCCATAGTCACAACTTTCAGATTACCCCCTTTCAAAGCTTTCATAACCGCCAACCGTATCATTCTTTTGCTTGTCGTGTTCCTCGTATTTGGAATAAGTTACCTTGTGATATTTTTCGTCTCTGAACTATTTTAAATCCTCAATATATAAGCTCGATCTTGTAGCTCTGTCAATTTTAAATTAGTTTTTAATGTCATATATACACGTGTCTAATTGTAGTTGTGTTTGTATATCAATTATCTTTCTTCGTCTACGCTGTTCAATCTGTTTGCATTGTCACTTTTCCTTGTCGGATAAAGTATATATATAATGTTTCAAAAGCGAAAGGAAAAGACTACAAAGTGGGTTCCGTCTCGAAAGATCGAATCACTTTGACGAATCAAAATATTGAGTCACTTTGACAATATACAACATGTGCAAGTGTTTTCTGTACCGATGTAATAAAAGCTATTCTAATTAAAACTACAATTTCCAAGAATCAAGGAACACATAATTTTTAGTGATGAGTCAAATCAATAAAATAAAGCGAGTGATCGGTTTATTTGTCTTATCAAGGCCCTTAGCTGTCCATTTGCAAAAAACACTTTTGCTTCTGTCCATCACATAAAATTCCATTTTTCCAAGGAAAACGGCTTAATGACGTTGCACGAACTTCAGTGGACTTTCTACGAAGACATCACCGACACTTTTTCTCGAGATTTCTAGGAGACGAAGATCTACAGCTTCAAGTTCACCGTATTTTCAATTGTTTTTACCGTTTACGTAAACTTTTTTAGAAGCCAAATGGGAACGGAAGGCTCCCTATCTTTTGAACTTCGGAACTTTTCGAAAAATGAGGTCGAAGTTGAGTTCAGAAAAAGAGAGCCGAGAATGATTTACATCAACAGTCAGAACTCTGACAACCGGGTAAGAAAAAAGTTTTGTTAGATGAGCAAGAAATTTCAGTATTCGTGGAGAATCGCGGCTGGAAAATGCGAACTATTTATGTTTAATCTCGACTGGGATCCGCTTCAGGAAACAATCAAGGACTGGGCCACACAAGTGAGTCTTATAGGACGCTTTTTTACTGAGCAATAGCTTTGATTGAACACACTAACTTAACTGAATACCTAAGGTATGAGTGAAAATGGGAACCCAAATGTCATGCTTCCTAGGTGGAACTTTTTCCGCACGTGGAGTTGTATTTCCATTGGAAAGATGCACAAGACAAAACCATCTTCATGAAATATCGTTGTCTTCGTTTTGACTTGAAAGAATGGAATGAGACAAGAATACCGACGCGGGATAGCTCGAATAGGTAGGTGATTGCGTTGACTACCGGTTGTCTAAAAAATTCTCCATTTAAACTTAAATTTCCAAAAAGTTTAAGTGGCTCAAGGTGGGTCTTGGTGTCAAAGCTGGTGGTGGACTTGGATCTGCGCGATATCTAGTGCGTAGTATTCTGGGCCAACTTTTTATCTCTCATTTGTTTTACAATTTTACAGACACTGGATGCCATCATTTATGAAACATCGCCCTTTGCTCGGTGGTCGAGATTTGATGAGACCGCTACTTTGTGCTAGCGACGAGGTGCAGCAATTTGGTGATTGTCAAGTTCAAGGTGCCTTTTTGCGTCATCACCATTGCTCACGGTTATTTAGGAATCAAATTTGACGGAACGTTACTATACTTTATGCTCAAAAATGTCACCAAAGAAAAAATGACGGCCTCATTTTCGCGTTGGGAACCATACAAAGCAGGGTTGCGATTCCTTTACCCCGGTCGCGACAATCGATATTATATTGGTAGAAAGGTAATGGGCAAACAGACCAATTATTGTCCTTAAATCCTGGCTTATTTTATAGCATGTCTTCACTTCGGGGCAAACCACAGAAATGGGGATCAGCTTTCGAAATCCACGTTGCCTTCAGAAACTAGATGAATGGAAAAACATGGTTGTTTCAGTTTGGTCTTACTGTTTATGTTTACTTTCTTAGCCATCGCCACAAATTCCATACGTGCTCATTGAAATAAAATCGAATACCAAGGCCTTCAACTTTTACGTCGCATTTAACCTCATAAAAAGGTTTGTCGAAAAGATCTTACTAAAATTTAATTCGTTTCAGTACATGGATGCCCTCGTTTACTACTGAAGAACCTTTCACAGGCCCATTCAGGACAACAACAACCCAACGGGCAGTCTCGGGTTCAAATTCTCGTGAATTCACTCCGCGACCTCCTCGCGTTAGGCCTTTTGAAAGAGGAAGTGGAGCTTCTCAACCATTTTGACACAACAGCATTCATTCCAATTGCAGATCTTGGAACTAAAGTTCATTTCTGTAATACAAGCATACTTTAAACACTAGCATTAGCCCAACTGATATTCGTATAAGCTATTCAGCTAATATCGCCATTATTTTGCCTCAAATTGTTGTCCTCTTTCTTTATATGCTTGTTTCGTTTGTTTATTCACCTATCCAGTTATTTTTAAGGTTTCATAACGGTTAACGGCGAGCGCAGCGATTATCGCGCGCGTCCATTTTTTGACCAACTTGCATCCCGCTTTTAGATTGATTTATGTTGATAACTTTTGATAAAACGAATAGCTTCTAAAAGTTAACGTTCTAAGCCATCAAAATCGTATTATCATTTCCCTGATCTGGCAAGTTTAAGGTGCTTAAAAATGAGCTACAAGTAGGCCAAAAAATTGACCACCGCCGACAATCGCTACCCCCGCTGTTAACCGTAAAGATCCCATAAAGCAATTATGCCATAAGCTTTTCTCATAAAAGTGATGTCGAGAATCTTTTTCAAAATTGCGAGTGATCAATGGCATTGGAGCCAGAAAGGTAAACAAAACATTGCTGGTTTCGCGTAAAAATCACACCCGGCAATAAAGTTTTTTTAACGTTTTTTCTACGCATCAAGAACAGGCCATATGCTGAAATCTTTTTGAAATTCTAAAATGAAATCAATGTCCGTGTCGTTGTACAATCCTCCACTGGTGATCCATTGGTGATTAACAAAATAAAGATCGGACCTTCTCAGCGTGGCCAGTGATGGCTGAGAAAAATCCTGACACGTAACATTATTGCGATTGTGGTTATTTTGTTTGGCATTTCTGCATCTTTGCCTCGCCAACAAGCTGACATGCAAATTGACCTTTGACATCTTACTTCATCATTGAATTTTAGTATATTTTATCCTAGTTTTCATATGGTTTTATAAACATAAACACTATATAACGGAATGGAATTTTGGTCCAGCTCGAGGCTAAGCTATATACAACGGCATTCTCTAGAATGGAAAGCACTAATGCTTTTATATGAAAACTTATAATTCCAGCCTTTTGCCAATGATTCTATGCCCACCAAAGCCTGCAACCGTCACGAAAGAGCTTGGAGTAAGCGTATTAGGCTTTGTTAGCAATGAGCAGTTAGTATTTCGACTACTGTATCCATTCTAATAGTTTTACAGGTTATTAAAGTCGCGTACTATTGAATACCATAAGTTTTTCCCAGTTCATGAGCTTAATGAAATAGTTGCACTCTTTATTCGCATCAGAGTGAATACGGTAACTATTTTGTTAGTGTTAAGCAATCTAAGGTGATCTAAAGTGCAATCGCTATATTTTTACCAAAGATATCGCAGAAAATTTCCATTTATTCTGTTTGGTTCTGTGGGGCAAAGATGCAGAAGTACCATTTTTTTAAAAACAGTTTACCAAAGAGTTCGTTTAGACTCTTGCTCCATAGTTTAAACTTCAAAAAAAGCTGTTATGCAAGGAAATAGTCTTGAGAGAAGAGAGAAGGCTGAGTCATCGCCTTTCCCATAAATCAATCTTCGAAAGGGCGACCTTTTTTCTTTCGATTTCAAATTGTTTGGTTCACCTATTGGACAACCTACTTAATCCATCTGATTTCCTAATCATAAACTCTCTCTATTTACATAATTTTTATCTGCAATGCAAAGAAAGCGGCTTGAAAGTGAACTGAAAAGAATCGAAGAGGTTGGTGATCAAAAAAAATTTCAAAGTAACATATAACTTGAATATTTCTCTGAAGAACGATTTTAGATTAGCTTGGCAAGTCATAGACGATTATCTTAGACAACAACTTGTCTATTTCATAGACCGCAAAAAAGAACATTAATCCAAAAGGTATTCTCCATTATTATCGATGACTTCTTGCCATCTTTGACGCAATTCCTTGATATTATTCTCAACAAACTGAGCGTCCTTCTGAGCAAAGTAGAAATCAAGTGCATTTTTGACTTGAGCTTGATCATCGAAATGTTTTCCATAGAGAAAACATCGAACATTTCTGCCAATTCCTGAATGTTTCCTGAAAAGCATCATTTTATTCTTCACTCAACTCAAAGCATTTGGCTTCTCGCGAACATTACAGAACAATTTCCCATCAATGCCGTGGCCGATGATGAGCTGCTCTTCGGTGTGTCCTTTCTTGATTCGCTTCCTCGCCGCGTGTTTCTCATCCCAAAAACATTGCTGGAAGAGGAACGGATAGACGAGTGGCAGTACTCCACCCGAAGGAATCGTGCTCTTCGCGAGTAATCTCGACAATTCCTCATCATTTCGAATCGACAACTGCAGGTGCCGGGGCAGAATTCGACGTTTCTCCGCGTCTCGCGATACGTTTCCCGACAATTCCAACAACTGGAAATACTTTCTATTAAGTACTCGAGATGATTTGTTCAAGATTTGGTATTTATTCCTTTTCTATAAGATCGCGAGCAGTTCTTTAGCTTCTGGCCGATCTTTACGTTTCAGATTCTCGTCAAAAATGCGCCTGACTTTGAATTTCTCACTTGGTCTAGGTATTTCTGTGTATGCACACTCAATAAGTATGGGGAGACGCAAAGAAAACAAATATAAGATGCTCACCTCAGCAGTCATATACTCCAGAACGGCTGCCAAATAGACCGCAGCACCGGCACCAATTCGGAGTTTCGGATTTCCCTAAAGCCCTCTAAAGCTCATCAGTTTTGTGTGATCCATTTGAGCTGATATTAGCCTAACAGCTATTGCCAATAGACAAAAATTAAGTTGATTGATCAATTTAACCAAAAAAACGATCTCACCAGGAAAGAACAAAGTGTCTAAAAACAAAATGCAGATTTGGTAAATATTATCCCGCTTCTATTGCCAACCTTTCGCAAATATCGCTCACAACGACTGACAGGAAACGTTAATCCGGCTCTCGTGGATCGCGATTGTCGAGTCGTTTTCTTCTTGGCTTTTTTGGCCAATCTTCCTCCTCTTCCTCCTGGTGGCATCACAGAAAATAGATGAAAATGTTTAACAGAATAAAAAGCTGTTGAATAATGGATATCAATCGAATCTTCCTTTATAAATAGAGCTAGAAGAATCCAGCTTTTTATAGAAGAAAAAGCTAGAAAAAGTCGAGTCGAAATCCGTCGAATCCTGTCAAAATGGCTGGGAAAAAGGGGGAAAAGGACGGTGACTCATTCGGCTTTTCCTAGAAGTTTTTACAATAAGCCTTTTTTGCAGGAAAGGCAGAAGAAATGAAAAAAAACAGCCACTAGCTAAGTGTGTAGTTGGTAATAAATATGTATGCTTGAAGAAGTCCGAGAGTACCTGTGAAAGCTGTTGAACAAAACGAGGCAAAGCCGAGACTTATTCCTCAGAAATTAGCATACAAAACGATCGAATATTCATTTAAAAAGCTTAGTTTGCAGATTAATTTTAAATAAAAACAATTTTCTTGAATTTTTATTATTTCCATCTGCAAAGTTTATCGAAAAGTTATTAAAAACAAGCATTAGGTCGGTCGGACTGAAAATGGTTGGCTTTTCTTTTTTATTAACTTTTGCCTAGTTTTTGAGAATTTAGGTGCACTTAAAACAGAATTGTTGCCGAGAAAAGCTCAGTTAACATCACTTTCGTTTTTTTTTGGTCAGAAATCAGATGATCCGATCGAAATTTCATCGAATCGGCTTCAATTTGATGGAGATGTCATCAGATAAGATCGGTTATATTTGGATAGCAATCTGATCCAATATTATCCCATGAAATCTGATCGGATTTCAAGTCTATTTGAAACTTTCCAGCCCATGATGTTTTGTGTGATGGATCAGGCCATGTGTACCTACAAGGAAATCAAATGGGAATCAGTCTACTCTGCGTGTTTTACGCTTTCTTCGGCGCTACCGCTATCAATTGGAATCCAATAACTGGTAGATCGACGCGTTCAGTGAGAAATTCATTGGAAATAAAAATTCTCCTTATTAAACGATCTTTAATTTTTGTGAAACTCGAAAGAGGTTTGATAAAAGAATTCCTGTCAATTATTTATGAAATTCTCGAAATGTTGCTGTGCATTTAATGGAAAAAAAAAGGAAAAATTACTTCCAAACTTATGGTTATGATTCTGTAAAAAAGCACAAAAACATGCAAAAATCAATCAGAAAAAACTGTTTTTTGGCACAAGAAAAAGGCGAATTTTTAGTTTCTACAGATAAGGGAGTCGTATTCTGTCAAGTCCTTTCAACTGTTTTTTCAGCTAACTTTAAACCACACTTCTTCTTCGTCAACAAAGGTCTTCTTCGTCTTAAAGTCTTCTTTTTAACAATAAACAGTTTGAAAGCATATTTTCAGGAAGAAAATGGTACTTCGGGAAATAATTCACCTGTTAACTGAGGAAAATAAAATTAGCAGTGGAGCTTTTGGAGCTGTTTACCGTCTTGAACACACAGAACCGTGAGTGTTTTTTTTTTAAAATTACAACCTCAATTCTTAAACTTAATTACTAAATACGTTTTATTTTAATCAATACGTTAAAGTTTTTTCCTTACTGTAGTCAGGTTTTCAAGCAAAATGGCTCTTGCGTAATTTCCGGGGTTTTAAACGGATCGTCACGCTTTGACGGCTTATAACTTGGTCCAGAGATAATATTTTTGTTAACTTTTTATATCATTGTACAGAGGACATTCCAGGCTTTCAAATGATATTAAATAGCTTTGCCTGGCTTTTTTATTCCTATGTAAACAAGGTGACACGACCCCCGAGTTGAATACTGGCAAGCATTTTCCGAGAAAACATTTTGAGGTGGCTCACTAAAATGCACTAAATAATCCGCCTTTTTGCGCAAAATCATTTTCTCTTTTGCAAATTTAGCTATTTTTATTCTATTTTTTTGCTTTTTTCTGCTGAAAATTTTGTTTTTTTGTGAAAACTTCTACGATTTCTACGATCTATTCAATAAATTAAATAAAGCAAATTAAATTTGGTTAAAAAGTCGCAGCATCAGTGTCAACAACAACAAAAAGAAAATGATTTTTGCGCAAAAAGGAGGATTACGGTATTTAGTGCATTTTAGTGCCCGACCTCAAAATGTTTTCTCGGAAAATGCTTTCCAGTAGTTGGTTAGGCCTCATTTGCTCGGAGTTGGCTTTGATTTTCTTGGACTGAATTATCCAATCAAAGCCTATTTGGTATCATTTGAAAGCCTGGAATGTCCTCTGTACAATGATATGAAAAGTTAACAAAAATATTATCTCTGGACAAATTTATAGGCCTTCAAAGCGTGACGATCCGTTTAAAACCCCGGAAATTATGCAAGAGCTCGTAGAACTTTTTCTATTTTTCTTGGTGTGTTAAAGAACGTTTTTTTACTATTTTGTCGAATTTTTTACTTTAGTTTTTATATTATTATAACAAAAATAGCAATAATATTGAATTCTCCATTGATTTTCGTCAAATTTTGTCCCCTACACCCAAAAGTTTAGGCCTAGTGTCTTCAAATTGTTTCATCGAACTCCACATGCATCATCGGATTTAAAAATCGAATATACGGCACTCGAGAAACTGCGACACCCAAACATTGTCCAATATTTTGGTTTTCACGACGAGATCATCGACAATCATCACTACCGTGGCCTCCAAATGGAATACTGTCAGCATGGGGCGTTAAGTCAAAGTGAGTTTGAATAAAAAACGAGAAAATTTCAGCACTGATTTAGTCATTTTTCGACCATCGATGATCTATACAATCTACACGGTTGTTCAATGGGCGGAGCACCTCTTCAAGGCGCTTGTATATTTGGAGAAGAACGGAAAGATCCATTGTGATATCAAAGTAGACAAGTAACGGAAAGATCTCTGGTTGTATCAGTGAAAATTTTAGCATATTGGTGAGCGGAGGCTTTGTGTTAAAATTGGGTGATTTGGGGCTCGTGAAATCGGTCATTGAAACCAGCACAGTCTCGATCCGGGGCACTCCACGCTACATGGCACCAGAAATTCTCTACAATGACGAGCAAGGAATCAAGGTTTAAAACAGCTAATGTTAGGTAATTACAAAAGAAACAGCAGGTCATAAAAACGATCATAAAACGACTGCAAGTAAAGATGATCTGGGTTGATTAGTATTTTTAGCAATCACAATATCTTTTCTTTTTAACGGTATAAAAAAAATTCTGCAGTGATTGTTTCTGGGCAGAATATAGACGTTTCAAAAAGGTACCAAAAACCGCTTGACGGTGGCTTAAACTTATAAAAAAGAATTATTTTTGACGAAACCTTTGTCTATTGGGTTGGTGAATTGAAAACTGCGGGCTATTGTCATATGTGACAGTTTGAGCACTTTCTTCAAAAGAAACCCATTTTGGTGTCAATGGAAAAGTTGTAGAGAATCAAAAATTAAGCTTATATCCAAATTTTCAGAACCATTCAAAAACTGGTTTTCAAGAAATGCCAAATTTACGAATCTTCACAAAACTTGCATTTTAAGCGAAACTACTAAGTGTATCTTTTTCGAAATTTGGCTATAAGCCTAATTTTTGATTCTCTACAACTTTTCTATTGACACCAAAATGGGTTTCTTTTGAAGAAAGTGCTCAAACTGGGACATCTCCAGTCCTCCATTTTTGAGTCTCACACTTGTCTCACACACAAACCAAAATCCTACTGCGAAAGGCGAATCCGCAAATTGCCTGAAAAATGGGCAGAAGTGGTCAATAATAATGGAAATTATTTGGAATGGATTGATGGTTTTATGTTAAATAAATTTTTGTTCAAAGTCCCGCAGTTTTCAATTCACCAACCCAATAAATTATTGACAAATCAGAAACTCAAACTTAATCAAAGCTATTGGGTTGGTGGGTATGACTTGGGACGTTTTTTAAAATGAAATTTTTCTTCAGTTAACAACTCTTCAAATCATGCCAGATATTTGCCATTATTTTGTATGATTTTTGCCCATTTTACTGGCAGAAGTCAAATGCTTCTCTCGTAGAGAATCTTCGGTTTTGACGCAAACCAATCTATCAGCCATTTTTTGACCTCTTCTTTGGCGTCAAAATATTGGTTCGCCAAATCATTGCTCATCGTCCGGAATAAGTAGTAATCAGAAGGTGCAATATCAAGGCTGTTTTGCCGAATAAACCATCACCTCCCATCCAAATGAGTTTATTTTAGTCATCTTCGATAAATTTGGTCTAGCATTATCATGTTGCACACTTCCTCTCATGCACATTTGGCTTGACGTCGGGTTCAGGCTCTTCCTTCTCAGCAACCCATTGGCGCCTTCTCCGAAAGTTGACAGTTAGAATCCATTTTCATACCCCGTCAAAATACCGAATAAAAAGATTTGCGCTCGTATCGAGAAAGATGATTGGCACTGATTTCGAAGTCCCTAATAAGGTTTAAACCCAAGTGTATGCAATGTTCGAATATTACTGTATGATTACCTGATAACTCTTCTGCTATTTCGCGAAAAGAAAGCCTTTTGTTGGTTGGAACAACTTGTCATTTATCTAGCTTTGCAAGTACCCAATACTAAGTCAATGCCAATGCCTTAACTTGTTTTCAAAAAAATTGAAGATCGAAAAACTTTCAGAAAGACACGTCAAAGAGAGACATTTGGGGTGTCGGCCTAGTTTTATGGGAAATCGTTGAACGAAGGTAGGGAAAGTTTAGACTTGAAATTGTTAAACATTGTTAAACTGTTAAATTGTTAAACATTCATTCACAAGAACATTCACAACATAAACCGGCTTAAAAGTTCTTAATCCACATGCTTTAGAAAGGTGTTGGACAGAAGTCCAACGGTAGATTTTCGTATTTGGCTGTTACAAACACAAGAGTGCTTACAGTGTCCCGAAGACTTGAAGTCGATCATTATTGGGTTGGAAGCTTTTCACTTAATAAATCTGCTCAATTAATATTATAAGAAATAAATAAACAAGAAATAAACAAGTGAACAAACCAAGAACATTAATCTTTAAACATTAATCTTTAAACATTAATCATTAAACCAAGAATCGTTAATCAATCTTTAAAGCTCATTACAGATGTTTGTGCTACGATTACAAAGAAAGAGCAACTGCGGCTGGATGTTTGGAAAAGTGCTCAAGTCTGAAAGAGGTATGCCTCTCGTTTTGATGTTGTTCAATACGATTTTTAGAAAATTACCAGAATTTCAAACGAAAATTACAAACGAAAATTACAAGAATTTCTTCCCTTCGATAACAATAAACAAAAAACACTCTTGAGGCCAATCGGTTTTGATGGATCTGAGGAATTGGTAGCTGTAGAGCCAAATGATGACTCTTTCCTCCCACCAGCCCCCTCCATTTTGAACCGATCTGCAACTTTCACAAAAGTTAATAATAAATCGAAAATCGACCAAAAAGAAGTTGATCCACAAAAAATTCTTGAAGAGAAATACCCAGAATTGAAGAAACTGCTTTCACTTCGACTAAAGGATCCAAAAATTGCTCGGCTTCAAGAATTTTTCCGACAACTTCCCACGGAACTCATTGTAGAATATGCCGAGATCGCGCACGAGAGAATCGTCGCAAAAGCTAAAGATATCACAATTTTTGAAATGAAAAGGGAGCACAGGTCGAGCTTTTTCGAGGATCAAATTTTGGAGGACGAAGGTGATGGAGGAAGTGGTGGAGAGGAGATGGATTTGAAAGATGAGGTTGCATTTCTAGCCAGTGAAGCAGCGGAGAGGTGCTGCCTTAAACTCGAAATTCACTACTTTCGCGCCATTCGCTTCATCTGGACTTTCCGAGAGGGTAGCTTCGGAAATTGGTTTGTTCGAAAGGAACTGAGCGATTTGATTGCCTTGTTTGAAGTGTGGAGATCAATCGTTCAAAAGCGCTTCCATTTCCGCAGCTTTTTCTCAATGTCAACAAAAGAGGAATGGTTGTTGGGGGGAAAAATCTCCAACAATCGATGTCTATTTGTGCGCAAAGATTTGATGAATGCAAAGATCTGGCTTGGCTCGTGGCAAGACGAAGAAAGTTTTTTGGTGGCAGAGAGTGTTTACGGGAAACTGGAAGAGGCTGGAAGAATGATCTTTGTCCAGAACGAGTCCATCGACATTAGCATGATAATTTCAGCACTCGAGAGAATAAAATCACAAGTTGAGCTGTTCCTTCAACAAAGCAAAGCAAATTTGTGTCCGATCAAAAATCCGAAAACAGTTTTCCGCTCAACAACACACGGTTTAGAGCTACCAGTTCCAGGTTATGTTTTTCAGTTGAAAAGCTCACCCCAAGTGGAGTGTCCATGTGAGAGGAGGTGTGATAGATATGCATTTGCACCTGAGGTGTTGCTAGAATTGCCAGCATGTGCTGAGAAACGTGTAGCCGTCTATCATTTTTTCTATCTCATCTTTTACGAAAATATTGTCTTCAACAAGTTGGCTCCAGAGTTTATCAATAATAACCAAAATTTTCGAAACGACATAGCAGAGATGAAGTCAAAACCATACCAAAAGGCTTTTGGGGTGTCGCCGGAGTTTCTTTTTTGTAAATTAAAAGACCCAGAGAGAGAGCATCTCATTTTATTGGATTTTCCAGATAGCGATAACTGTAAAGTGCGATGTTTCAATGAAAATTTTGAGTTGCTCGAGCTCGAGGTATCGCCGGAGGAGCTCGATGTCAATAACTTTCATAAATTGAACATCTTTGAATTCATTGAAAATCAGCATACGAATAGTCTACTTAAATCGGTGGCTGCGATGTTTGAAGAGTTGGATGTTGAAGAGTTGAATGATCAAACTGAACCGACGAGTCGAGCAAAACGAATCGCTTACAAAGTCGGGAAAAAGTTGGTCGCTGATCATTTTCAAGGCGACGAAAACCCAAGCTTTAATGCGGTACGAGAAGCAATAATGAAGCAAGCAAAAGCTGCAAGATTACCAGTGCAAGTCTGGGAAAATTTTACTACCGGGAATCCGTCTTCATCTGAACGACAAGCATCAAAAATCTATCATTTGGAAGTGCCACCACACTCTGATGAAATCAAATTCCAAGCGTTTCTTGCTGAAATCAAAAACAAAGGCATGAAAAAGTCTAAAGAAAAATACGGTACAGTGGATGATTTCAAGAAAAGACAAAATAAAGCGTTCGCGCTTGTCATTCAAACACTGTATGATTGGAGTAATCGTTGCTGTTTAGGCTGTCTCATAAAAGGCGTTAAAGTTGTCAAAATTTTCAAGGAAATTCTCGCTTTTGCTGGTCCACACACCTATGTCACTTTGCGTGTTTTCTTGCACAATGAGACGAGTTGTGTGTACCTGGGTGAAGCCTATGGTCATCATCATTTTTGTGAACTCGACTTCAAGACTGCCATCATTTTAGATGGCTTCTGGAAATCGCTAGAAACTTTCCAAGCAAGAGATCCAATAACACGACAAGTCAAAGACATCGAGTTTAAAGGAATTGCAAAAGTCAATCTGAGTCTAATAAATAAACAATTGATCGAGCTGATGAATGAAGTGAAAAAACGAGCCTTGCAAATCAAGCACCCGTTCAAAATCAGCGAAACAGAAAGTTTTTTCCTTCTCGACTTACAACCGAATCAAGATTGTATCAGCTCAAATCCTGGGCCAAGCTCAAAAAGTGATGGTCAACAGTTCAAACTACTGTATCTCAGCTATGCTCGTCTTTATCTTTCCCTTTGTCGCGTTCTTACTCAAGCACAAAGTCTACATGATTATTTGGACTTAATCAAAATAATTGTAGAGATTGTTGAATTCAAGCAAATCGTAAAACGGGTTGATAATCTTTGCCCAAAACACTTTTTCTTTATAAAGCTAAACAAGGAAAGAAACGTTGTCATCGTCAACTTGCATCCATTTGAAAAAGATGATGTTGAGCACTTTCACGTGCTACTCCTCGATCTCGACTCAATGTCGTTTTCCCGTGATGATTTTTCTTTTACTGAATTATTGCGAGCAAGCGAGGAAACACATTTTCATAAACTTCATCTAATAGAGTTTCTTTCTTTTAATTTAATTGAAAAGCTTTTTACCGTATTTTCAACAAACTATCAAAATCGTAATGATCTGTGTCCATTTTTGAAGAACCTTTGCATCGAGTCGGACAACTTAGACGTGTACTTGTCGATGACTCTGGGAGTGTGTCTTGAGTTTTTCAACGAAGAAGAACAAGGATCAGGAAGAGATCCTCATTTCAATCCACTTGAAAAGAAGAGCAAATCACCGATGAAGCTCGAACTGGCCAGGCAACTACTCTATGCTTTGAAAGCATTGTAAACGTCTATACAGCTTTATGCGCATAAAGTTTTGTTGTTATTTGTCTTTACAATCGGTGAACAATAATCACTTCATCAGTTTTTTTTTTAAATTGAACAAAAAAGAAAACTTCTTTTTCTGGTAACCCACAGTAACGTCATTGAGTGTGTTAGATCCGAATCCGAACTAAATCCTTGACCGCACCACTTTACGTGTCTGTATCCCCAAAACTAGTGCGCTGATTTTGATGATTTTGGTGTCATTTTGTTGAGCAAGACATGTAGATACTTAAAGTGAAGTTAAATATGGAAAGTTTAGTAAAAAATGAAATTAATTTGAATTCGGAGACTTAAAAAGATTACTTCAGATACGAAGCAAGGACTCTAGGGTTTGACTTTTGTTTTTGCTTCTTTTAGGTCTACTTGTAGTTACCGTATTTTCTCTAATAGTAGTGCACAGCACCAAGCCGAGTTGGTGACGATTTTACGGTTTCCAAGCTTTTGCAGAAGCTCAATACTCTAATCCCCCACTAGATCTCATCGTACATTTGCGCACCTTGCGCAAATGTAAATTTGGCATGAAAATTATAAATCTAAATCCTTAAAAAACTTCAATTCATTTATTCAAAACTCCAAAAAAGAAATCAACACATGCGCGAGACAAATAGTATTCTCGAGAAATAAAACGAAATTTGTACACACAACGAAGTAAACAGGTTTGGAAATCCTTGATATTTAGACGCCTTGATTCGCTGGATGGTAGCCGGCCGATTGAGGATACCTGAATACAACAAAGAATTACTTATCGAAAGCTGCAAAATAAGAGCTTGATCTCTTTGAAAAGGATCAGAATGGTCCATATTATGCCGGAAATTGGCCCATGAAATTTATATCAAATACAGGGTGTTCATTATTTATGGGGACCAATAGATCACTAGGTTTAAAGCGCTAGTTTATGTATAAGATCACAAGCAACTTAATCTGCTACTTCAACTAGTTAAACTAGATAATTCTGCTTTTACAAATTAAAAATATACTTACGTAGCAAAGCCGTAGGGTTGTGGCGCTGACGGATGGCCGTGCTGCACGTGAACGGTAACCGCTAAAATTGAAGTAATCTTACGGCAAAATAATAATTTTTTTATTTTAGAAAAAAGGAAAACTTACGAGGAGCCTGCTTGAAACGTTTCCTCCTGGTTGAAACACTAAAAACGAAAATGTTAAGACTCAAACTGAAATATTCTACAATTAGGTAGGTAGATAGAATTTATCTTAGAATCAACCTCAACCTGAAGTAACAACTCCAATATTTCAAAAATCATCAAGAAGCTACCACATGCAATTTATAATTATTTTAGCTTTTTTATAAAAGTAACTCACATGCAGCAACAGATGCAGCAGCAGAGCACGAGAAGCACGACGAATATGTTGAAAAGCAACGCTCCGATTGATTCGATGCCGCGCTTCTCCGACTAAAAACAAACATATAACAAGTAGCGTAAAAAAGACTATGTTTTACTTGATGTCTTGGAACCTAACCGTTAATTTAAAGCTAGTAAATAAACAAAAACTTTGCAAATGCATGTGTATTCTAGGTTGATTTGCTTACTAAAACCAAAAAAGTGATAATATACGCAAAAACTTTACCTGAGATGCCTGCTCCCAACGATGCAGCAAACCATCGGCGTTGGCGAGCTAAACAGTCCACATTAATATAGGCACAAATATAGCTCGAAACTGCTAGACTTTAAAAGAATCGGCCGCCTCTATAAAAACTTAATCAAAAGGGCAGCTTCTAATCACATCGCATTGATCCGCTAGACATTTTAAAAGAAACCAAGCGCCTGGCTAACAAATTCTTTGTTTAGTTTGCTTATTTAGAAACTAACAAAACAAAAACACTCACCGAGACCAACACGAAGAAGACGAACAGCTTCAACAGCAGCATTAGTGAACGAGACATCACCTGAAAACCAAAAAAACTTTAACTGTTTGGAAACATTGGATCCAAATAAACAAAGAAAATGAAAAACTAAAAATTATTTCTCTAACAAGGCCTAGAGAACTGAAACAAAAGCGCAATAGCCGACTTGTGCAAGATTAGTTAACAATACATTTAAATGCCTTAAAAAGTAGATAGCGCAAAAACTTAGAGTTGAACAGAAAAATTTAAACCTTTAAGTCAGTACCTGACTAGCTAAGAAATGAAAGAGCCGAGCAAATGAAGCTATTTTTTTCAAATGAAAAGGCTTAACTTTTAATGCAAACCATAGGATAAAAGCAGGCGCGTCAAATTTGCTTATGAATTGCAAAAACTTGAGTCTTGAAAAGTATTATAACAACGAAAAGCAAAATTAGCCTCAAAAAATAAGACAATTAGTGAGTGAAAAATGAAAAGAGCGACTCCTCAAAAATTTATAGCGCGAGTGCACATTTTTCAAATTTTGGGGCACCTCACTGTCACGAATTTTTTAGCACGACTTTTTAAACTGAATACCTTGAAATTTTCTGAGATTTTTGAAATTGGTAATTGAATAGCCTCGTAAAATTTGTGCTACACTCTGTCAAGAATTTATAGACGTACCCTGTTTTTTTTTGCTAGTTTTGAGCGCGCCATAAGTGCTAGCCCAGTGAAAAGTATTTTTTGATTTCTTTGACGTAAAAAGCATCCCATGTAAAATTTATCTTTGAACCATTCCCGGTTCGCCAAAAGCAGTTCACTCAAAAAAGAAGAAAACAGTCGAATCAATTTGTTTTCGCCTACGAAAAGCAAATTGTGACAAAGCAGAGCTAGGAATATTTAGGTGTTTACTAGCCTAGTAATCCGGTTACTAGCGTTGAATAAAGTTAACTCGAAACGATCGAATAGAATTTTTGCAGTTGTGAAGTATTGGGTTGGGGAGAATGAGTCGGCGCCAAACTTTAAAGGGACTTTTTACACACATAAAGCCTTCTTTAAACATACGTTTGGTTTCATCAAAAGGATCCACTATTTCTCTACAAAATGACTTTTGAGAGATTCCACAAAGCTTTTCTTTCGTGGAGTTTATGAACTTCGAAACGCAGCTGGTTAAAATGGCTAAGAGTCCGACTCATCATTTGAACAGTTTCTTTCACATAAACCTTCTTTGGTGTTTATATAAAAAGATAGAGCACATTCAATTACTTAAGTTGCCAAATTTGCAGGAAGATCCCACCAATGGTTTTTTCTAGATCACAGTTTGTAGTTTTTGTGAAAAAATGGCTTTTTCTTGAGCGGAGGCGCTGTTTGAATTTTCTTTTAAATGTCATTTTGTAGAGAATTAGTTAACCATTCTACTGATATCAAACGCATATTATTTGACGAAGTCGAATAGAAGTTTTAGACATTTTTTTGATTTTCGGCGCCGACTCATTCTCCCCAACCCAATAGAATTAATGTGTGTTTTTAAAAGTGGCGTTTATTCGTACTTCGTACTTCATACACATATATAACACGAAGAAAAACGCTTTTTTGTTTTTAAAAGAGCCATCAGAGAATGTCCGTGAAGCCCGTAAAAGTCATTAACACAGTGCGGCTGTTAGATTAGGTGGACAAGTGCTCTGCCAAAAGTCTCAAAGTATTTTTTGGTTATTTAACTTTGTGTTTGTCCAAAAACTGTGTGTTTTTGGTTATTTAAAAAACCCTAAAATCGTTTTTGTGAGTTGACCAATTAATACGATTTTGGTCTCAAAATGACCGCAGACAACATTTTGACAAAGTCTACTCCCTGGCCTTTCCTAATTTTTTGTTATTATCGAGTCGTGGAGGGCCAAATGCAGGTGAGTTTGGCCGTTTCTATGTAAATGACCGATTTTTTGATAAAATGCGGCTTTTAAAAAATCTACAGGGCGGATTTTGATAATTTTTTCACCATTGAATTCAGCACATTTTTCTGCGTTGAATGGCTATTCAAACGTAAAAATCCTATAGAAAACGTATTTTCGCGCGGATCTGGGTAACAATCGCCGATTCCAAGTGAATTTTTTTTCGCCGATCACTACCATTTTATTTCTATTTGATTCTTTGTGTACTACAAATGGCAGAAATAAATAAGCTGGTTGATTTTCTGCCATATTCAGCAAACTTTTTTTGATGAGCATCTCCTGCCGCGGCAGACAGGTTTGAAAATGTCAACTGGCAAGCCACTCCCCTCGCAGGAAATTAGAATCTTTTTTTTTTGACTTTTCATTTGAGATGAGTTCGAACGAAGATGAGGTTATGAAGATGATAATTGGAAATTTTGCTGCAACATTGCCATATTTGCGGGAAAATCCCAGGAAGTCGAAGTAAAGGAAAGTCGAGAACAATCAATTGGGCAAGAAATGGAATTTGCCACACATCCGCAACTTGATGTTGATGTCAAAATGGTAACAGGATTCAATGGTCGACACAGAAGTTTGTAGAAGGTACAGAAACCAGGTCGGCCAACCTTACAACCACCTGCTTCTGCAAGCCTGCGGCAAGATGGCAGATCATTTGTGAAAATGTGAAAGGCATTTGTGAAAATCAGCGAATATGGCAGGAAAGCAATCAGCTGATTTTTTTCTGCCATTTGTGGTACACAAAGCATCAAATAGAAACAAAATGGTAGTAATCGGCGAAAAAAATTTCACTTGGAATCGGTCTCGATTGTTACCCCTCCCTCTTCATCAATGTCCATACAGTTCCTTTTGTGTAATGGAATGAATGATTCACACAGCACGTGGCTAGGTTTCCTACTATAGTAGGAAGCCAGTAGTATACTACTGATAAAGGCAATGCCGGTCAGTGATTATTCGATTAAAAACTGATAGTTTAACCTAGTGAAAATTTTTTGGAGTTAAAATGTCTGAGATAGAATTAATAAAAGAAAGATTGAATAATTAAGGATTTAATATTTTAAATATTTAAAATTAAATAAAATAAATTGTGATTATTTGGTCAATTTGCATTTGAAAGTGGCTGTCAAAATAGTGACAAGTACTTTAAGGCGTACTTATAATTTTTTTTTTTCTGATGGAAGGAGACGGAAGGAGAGATAACAACTAGAGTGTGTTCCCGTCAAAGAAAATAATTCATTTTCTTTGCACAAGCTTAAAAACACGCGAATTCAGCAATTCACAACTAGCAATTGAAAAGTTGAATCGTCTCTGAAGGTTTTGTTTAAAATCGGTAACATCAAGTAGCGCCAAAAATAGCAAAGATCAACACCTGACTGACAGTAATTTTTTGTGAAAGAGAACGCTTGACCTTGACTAGAATCACATCACTTTTCTCTCTTTCGTTCACGATTTTGTGTGGAAATGTGGTGAAACTCGCTCATTTCTGATAATGTGATCTTTCTCGCGTCTTTTCCTCGGCTTGACTTACGCAAAGAAAGTCCATTCGCATGGATTTCCGATTTTTATTTGTCTCGAAAACACGAACTATCAAATCATGAGAGAGCGATATTCACTACTTAAGGAGATGGACAATAAGAAACAACAAAATCAAAAATTGCCTTCTTCTCGAAAATGGTTGGTTTTAACTTTGAATTTTTATGCTTTAAGCCTTAGAACCTAAAGTTTCTCTAACTCTTATCTTGTAAAAGTACAAAAGTTAGCACTTGGCCCTTTTAGCGGTGACACTTTGAATAGAACTACAAAATTAGCATAACTCGATCTTTTCTGTTATAAAAGTTCAAGAGCTCCCATTGCATATGCAAATTTTTGCAGTTCAAAGTGTAAAATGGCGTCGGTGAAATGGAAAAGTACCGAAGCTTCTTTTAAAAAGAGTTTTAGAATACGTTTCTGCTTGTCGTTCTTGTCTTTTCGATATCTATTGCTGCTGAAGAGTTATCGAGAAAAGAATTGCTGAGTCTTTTGAATGTGAATGCAAGTCGGTCAGTTGATGAGAGCCGAAATGAGGAACAGCTGTCACCCGACAGCTTTACAGACATGCTCATGGATGCAAAGTTCATCAAAGTTTGAGAAAATCGTGAACAGCTTCTATCTAATTCAGGTTCCCGAAGACACACCCATTCTGAAAATTCAAAGGACAAATTTTCTGATGGCCACAAAAATTCGTGAGTCATTTGACGCTCGCAGAGAGTGGCCGAAGTGCTGGTCAATCGGATGGATTCGACAACAATCGCGGTGTGGATCGTGCTGGGCGGTGGCGGCGGCTTCGGTTCGTTGTTGATAGACTAATTGATAACATAAGCTTAAAAAAAAATGTTGATGCTTCTAGAAAGAAGAAAGTTTTGCCTTAAGGAGTCTAATTTTGACTTTGATTTGAGAATAAGCAAGCTTTATCGTTTAGCTCGCTTTAAAAGATTTAAACCTTCGTCTTCAATGAGACATTTTATAACACCCATTGCTGATTATTAACTTTGGCGAACCAAAACTAAAAGCTATAACAATCTTTTCTTTCAGATGGCCTCTGATCGAATGTGCATCAACGCTCCATATTATCCAATGATGCTCTCCTCAGAGGATCTTCTGTCGTGCTGTGGCTCTTATTGTGGGAATGGATGCAGTGGAGGATGGCCAGATAAAGCACTCAATTGGTAAAAGCTCTGTTATACCTGAGCGAACTTTACTGAACACTTCTCAATTTGTTCAATTCTAGGTGGGCCACCAACGGCCTTGTCACCGGCACCGACTACTCGGACCATCAAGGTTGCCGACCATACACGGTTCCCACATGTTCATGGCACAACGGCGTCTACAGCTTTCCGTACGATGGAACGTATCGAGCTTGCCCAGAGACGTTCTCAGTTCCGCAATGCTATCAACAATGTCAGAATGGATACTTCAGAAACTACACTCAAGATAAATACTACGGGCAGCCGGCTTATCACGTTCGACCTGATGTCTCAGCTATCCAAGCCGAAATTCTTGAGCACGGCCCTGTTGTAGCCACTTTTACCGTCTATGAGGACTTCAACAATTTCTACAAACGCGAGCCAATCTACCAGGTACTGAGCAGCTTTTGTTCAATCACTCAAACAATTTCAGCATCGAAGTGGTGGATGCAAGAGACCAGGCGGCTGTGGACACGTCGTAAAAATCATCGGATGGGGTGTTGAGGTAAAGATTTAATGAGAATCCATTGAGTTCTTTAAAACTGCACGTAATCTTTCTAGTTTTTCAAACCATCATAATCCATATCATAATCCTCAAATTTTAGAACCAAATCCCCTACTGGTTGTGCGCAAACTCGTGGGGCACTCAGTGGGGCGACGGCGGCTTCTTCCGCATTCGTCGCGGAACGAATGAGTGCGGAATCGAAGCAAACGTGGTCGCAGCTATGCCGAGGAAATGAATGCAAGAGCTCGGGATGTAAATAGTGTACATTTTGCAAATAAATCACTTTGGCTTGATTAAAAGCACCAGTTGGTGTTTGATATGGTTGAACGAGGAACCAACCTAATGGCGTTTTTCCCTGTTGTGCGTCGCGATGCCGTCACTCTGCTTCCTTTAATTCAACAATATATCGCGCCAGGTAAAGTAACATAAGAAAATGTGATAATTTTGTGAATAAACTAACTTTTGTGATCTGGTAAACTTTTTCTGAACAATTCTTCGTTACAAACAGCAAAAACAAAAACTCCAATGTGGCGTGGGCTTCTGTGGCTCGACAAGGCTCCAATGTCGTTCTTAATCGAGTTTTCTAATTGTTAAATATAATAGTTACTATGCTTATTCAAATTTAAAAATTTATTGGCTTCGACCTTAAGAGTATTAAGTATTTAAACAGTCTCGAAAAAGGTTGACATGCTTTTTTTACTGAATTTCTTTAAAATTCAGAACTATCTGATTGTTGTCGCGTTTTTTCTTCTAGATAGATAGCCCTTTTTGCCGCGCATTGGACCAATGATGCTTATAATAAGAACCTAAACAGTCATGTGTTTTAAAGTTTACAAATTTTTAAAGCCATCTGTTCAAGAAAAGTTTACTGGAGAAAATATCAAAGCAAAGCTAGTTCAGAGAAAACGGTGAAACAATTTAATGAAGAGTTTAGCTTTTGCAATAGAATATACTCATTTTCAACATTAAACTATCCAAAATCAAGAACCACAAGAAATTTAGGTTACCTTGTTTCCATAATTGATTCGCAAAGCTTTTCCCCGTCACCTCTTCATTGAAAGTGATCTTACTGTGTTGAAAAATGATCAATTGTGAAAACTTTCTTGTTGGGTTTATGACAGAAGTAGAAGAAATTTAGCCAAAAAGAAATAGAAAAAGAAAAAATGTTCAGCGATTCTTTCAGGCATTTCGCCGCGTTGTTGATAAGCTTTTTGAAAAAACCTGAAAGCTTTTCCCAGTTTCATTATTGATGAAAGAGATTGGCTCAATTTTTTGCAAAAGAAAACAAATATAATGTGTGATTTCAAGAACAATACTTAAAAATTAGTTTATTTACCCGACAATTGAACGGCAATGATCACTGTTTTAACAAACAGCGTGAGATCGTGGGACTGGTCCTGTTTCACAAAGCTGCTAGCTTCTTGATTTTGCTTGAACTGGTTTCACAAGCTTAGCACTATTTGGAATCTGATATTTGCCGATTGCTAGATCTGGCAACTGTGAAACTGGACCCAAGTTATGAAGTGGTTTATCCATAAGCAAAGTCCAAAGTCCAAGTGAAGAACAGGAGTGTAGAATAGGCGAAGCGTCACAGAAGAAACAGTTATTTTGAGCTCTAAACAATGATGAAATGAATGGGTAAGAAAACAACACTCATTCTAAAAGCTAACGCTAGAATTTAAGCATTGGCAGAGCAGATTAAACATTGGCAGGCCAGAGTCTTCCAAACTCAAGGCTCCAAAAACTACTTTCGTTTATGATACAGCCCCTAAGACTTTGTGAAAACAGTTTCTGGAAAGGTTTCGAGCCTTATTTGACCCGACAGGGCTAAAACATTTCTCAATTTCTTATAAATAGTTAGCCTTAAATCTAGCTTTGAAATGAGCTGTGGCTTGTGGCCTTAAGTGGCCTTTTTGAACAGCTTTAGTGAAGTGTTTCACCTCTGAAGCTGATGATTTAATGCTGTCCGCATCGGCAATCTCAATATCTTCCACTACCCTCGTGGAAGGGAATGGTTTCTTCAGCGTCGTTCGCCCCTTCACTTCTTCGACAATATAATTCGGTGGCACTAATTCTTGCTCGAAGTTCTAAAGATGAACTCTTTATCATCTCTACTTCTAACATTGAATTGAGCATAAATTGCTATAAAGTATGTCAGCCGTTTTCTGTAATTCAAGTCAAACCAAAAGAAAACAAACCTCTTTAACTTTCTCCAATTCAACCTTGACCCTCAAGGCGCCCCACCGATCTCGCTGTTCGCCATTTGTACAACTAAACTAATTCGATTTTGATTTATGAGCTTTAAATACTTTCTGAATATTTCCTGAATGTCATCGGGGCAATCTGGGGGATCGACACTAGTCCAATCCGGTGTCCGGAAAATCGTTCTGAAGGCAAATTGAATTCTGAAAGTTGTAGCTAATACGTACTTCCTTTCAATCAGCTCCCATAACACTAGACCCATCGTGAAAACATCGTACTTGGGAGAAAGCTTAAAGTTCTTTGATCATGTCAAGAATGAGTTGTTTCAAATGTCTTTTTCTAGACCAGGCCAGGTCAGAGCCAAGAGCCGAACCTGTCTCCGCGATTGTTTACGGCATTGAATTGCTTGAAACAGCTTTCAGAATTTTACAACAAATTGTTTTACCAATCGGGTCTGACCTGGTCAACTCTTGCTTTTGAATAAAATCAAGACCTGTTCTTTATGAAGCTCTGGAGCCTGATAATGCAAAGTTCCAGTTCTAGGTGAGCTGCTCAAAGCGACTCCTTGTCGTGAGCTCGATGCAGCTTTCATTGCTCCAAAGTCGGCGATTTTCAAGAGATATTCATTAGTTGCCAAAATGCTGAAACTTGTCCGGATTATTCAAGTAGAAACTTTTCAAACACATCTTGTTAACCAATCTCTTCATTCAACTCACTTATCCGGTTTCACATCCATGTGAATGACGCCTCGTCTCTTTAAATAATCGAGCGCATCGAACAGATCAACGACCCAGCATATCAATCTGTAGGCCGGGTAGAAAATCTCGGCATTGTGTATAACTAAAGAATGTTTTTTTGTGATTGATGTGCTTTGTTTGGTTTCTTTGAACGTGGCTTTAGAAAATTCTCAAGCTAGCTCCATCTTTTAAACTCTTGGTTAGCAGAATAATTTCTTTTCTTGCAATTAACATTCACATTACTATGACAACATTGTTTTCAAAGGTCCATTTCAATTCAGGAATGTTCCAAGCCCAGTTTTTAAGGCCGGACCAGGTCTGAGCCTTGGCTTTTCAATTTTTATTCAAAATATTTTCGGCTTGACCATTTCTGAATTTTCTAGCTTAGGGTTCTAATAATAATTTATGATTAGAACACGCTATTCCAGAAACGAAAGCTTTTTCACTATAAACCTTTCAATTCTCACTTTTGTTTAGCGATCCTTTTTCGCAATACTCCAACAGAATCCCGCGTCTTGTAATATCCCGTTCGTCAACGCAGCCACTGATATATTTAATGAGATTCGCATCCTGATACAAGCGCATATTCTCCTCTTCTTTGATGAAAGCGGCTCGATTCTCTTCAGTCATTTTGTCAACACGCAGCAATTTTATCACACCAACGCTAAAGTTTTGATAGAGATTGGAATCAATAAGATCGCTAGCAAGTCAAAAAGATAAACAACTCCCCTAATATTTAGCACTACACATTGTTGCTGGCAGCTTAAGACTGGATTAATTTGTTTTACTTTCGTTTAAATTCACAGCCTTGCCTATGCATGGAAAACCTAGCGCTTAAACTAAAATAAAACTTGTGATTCGTGGAATATTAACGATTAGCCTCAATTCGTATTCTAAAAGCGACCAGTTGCATACAAAAAATGGCTCTTGTCCGTTATCGGGTCAGACTAAAGTCAAGACGTACTGTTATTTCAGTATAGCTGTTGTTTTTCTGCATTTCTCTGAACCCGGGATAACGGACAAGAACCCAAAAGTCTTCTTCATCAACACAGCATACCGCATTTCGCCAAAAGGCGTTCGATATTTAACTTTCCAGCATTGCCCAAATCCACCATAACCTATATTTTCTTTTATCTCCCAATGCACGTAGAGATATCTGGACGGGCGAAACGTTTGTTCCATTGCTGAAATCGATTTTTGTTTAAAAGATTTCAAACATTTCAGATATGACTAAAATTTACGGTAAACTTTGGGGGTCGACTCATCGCATTTGGTTCTCTTACCTTGAACTCACTGATAAGCAATCGATCTTTCTCTAGAGTTGGTTCTCGTAACAGTAATATACTATTAAAACGTTAGTTAAAAAACTAGAAAAGTTTTTTAAATCAATAAGTTTCTTTCAATAATTAGGCAGTTTGTTTGAGTTCAATCAGTCTTATCGCATCGTGGCTTTTCTTTGGCGCCAAGGTGCTCCTTTCTTCAGATTCACTCGACGAACGGCTTTCGTTGACTGCTTCAAAAGCGGAAATGAGTCAGAATGTTTTGCAGGCACTTCTGTACTTTCGAGAAGTTAATGTGCCAACTAAGACTGTTAATTAAGCAATTTATCATTTAAGTTTTGTTTCTGGATAGTCGAAGTTGTAGAGAAAAGAATACTGAACCTGTAATTAGATTTATTAGTGATTATTCTTATTTCATTGTTAAGTGATTATTCTTATTTCATCAAATTGTTATGCATTTTGTAAATTTATCTTAAATTCCAATCAATTTATGTATCAACAACTTTTTCTTTTTGCCTACAAAGAAACATATCAAAAGTAAACCAAGTTTTTGAATGAATCCATTCAAATTTTTACGATAATAAAAATTCTGTATTCGAAATTTATCAAGATATAATCGAAAATTTGTTTCTGAACCTCGAAAAGTGAAATTTAGCTTAAACTTTTGCAATCACGCGTTTGTTTTTCTTTTCCATCGTTTTTGGGTTTGCTGAATTGCACTTGATAGATAAGAAACTTAAATTGATTTCCCGAAAGCAAAAACTTTTTGCCATTTTATAAAATATATTTCTTATTCTAGCATAATATTCTGATTTATAAAGATTTATTTTTACATTAAGTTCTCTCAATTGACGTCAAATGCAATTGTTTGATACATGGACGACTTATTGACCGATTTTGTGATTCAACAGATCGATTTGAGTCGAGAAAAAGTGATCCTACTTGGAAGCCAGCATTCGAAAACGAAGCTGCTTGCCAGTCAGACGCCGTCAGTTCCTTTCTGCCTTATTTTTATATAGTTTCACTGGCTTAACTGATTCAGTTTTTATAGACTTTGAGAATTCTCCAATTTTAGGTTAAGTTTCAAGCTTTTTCGCTCAGTCACCTCAAATTTTGGTATTAGGGTTGGAATAGATAAAAATTTACTTTTTTCGTCAACCAAGAGCGTTTGGAAGGGTTAGAAAAACTGACTCTTTTCCAGGCATTTTAAATGCATAGTGCTTCTTTAATAGCTCATATCTTTATGCATAGTTAATATTTTTATTTGCTCTTGCTTATTTTAATAGTAAAGAGTTCTAGGTTGTTTAATGAAACTAATAAGTAGAGCTAAATTGGTCAACCCAGTCCCGGAAAAATCGAGCTAGGTCTAACTTACAAGGGAAGGTCACAGGTGGCCAATCGAGGTGGCCAATCGAAATGAGACCTAGATCATTCGATGCAGAATTTTACGCTGATTCCGAATCTGTTGTCCTTTTTTGCTAAATCGGTCGGAATTGCAAGGAATTTGGCAAACAAGTTTTTTGCCTCTCTTATAACACTTGCGCGCGTGCGGCAAAGAAATGGTGGCGTACCATACGCAAAGACGGAAAAAGTAGATTTTTATCTATTCCAACCTTAATACCAAAATTTGAGGCGATTGAGCGAAAAAGCTTGAAACCCTTGCGGGCGCGCGGAAAAGAAATGGTTGCATAGTTTAGTGGAGAACGTGTCGAGATGAAAAGCTGGAGGTCAAGGATTCGACTCCCTTTAAGTTTTTCTTCTTTTGTACAACCGTTTTATATTTAGCAATTACGAAGAGAAGGGAGATTAGGAAACACGATAAAACAGCTGTACAAAAAAAAACTTGAGGGGAGTCGAACCCTCGACCTACAGCTTTTCATCTGGACATGTTATCAGCTAAACTATGCAACCATTTCTTTGTCGCGGCAAAGTGTTATAAGAAAGGCAAAAAGCTTGTTTGCCAAATTCCTTGCAATTCCGGCCTATTTAACAAAAACGGACAGCAGGTTCGGAATCAGCGTAAAATTCTACAGCGAATGGTCTAGGTTTCGACTGGTCACCTTGATTTCATGATCTTCCCTTTGAGTTAAGATTGCAATGCATAAATTCATTCCGCTTTAGTGGACTCAAAGCGCTGAGACTTGTATATTTAATCATGCAAGATTTTCAGGCCAAAGGTTATCAAGTTTGGAAACGAAGCGATTCACGAATATGAAATTGTTCAAACGCTCATTCATCCAAACATCCTCAAATATTATGGAGTGGTGTTCGATCCTCAGTATGGCACTGGTCTTCAAATGGAGTTTTGTCAAAGAGGAACACTAGAGAAGAGTAAAACTATTACTTTAAAACTAGTTAAGAATTCATTTAGTAATATTCGATTCTCGGATTATTTACACGATCAATACAGTGATTTATTGGGCGGAACAACTTTTTTCAGGCACTTATTTATCTCAAAGAAAAGGAGATCGTTCATCGTGATATAAAACCAGCCAAGTTTTTGATTGGTTGATAATTAAATTGTCATAAAATGTTTAGCATTTTCGTCACTGAAGATTTTTCTCTAAAGATTGGCAATTTTCAATATTCGATGGGAGTTCAATGGGAAGTGAACGAAGATTTAGCGGTTGGTAGAGATAAAAAATCTTTGGTTTTTTGCACCTTGCACAGGTTGTCATATGAAAAACCGAAGCTGAACTGAAATCTCAAAAGGTTAACGGGACTCTAGAAAGACTCTGAGACTCTAGAAATTGAAATCTCCTCACAATTCTGACCTTTTTTTGCGTTTTTGGATTTTCGGTGCGGTGGAGATAGAAAATTTCTTCACTTAATAAAGTTTTTCATCACTAATTTTTGTGTTTAAAGATTTCATCATAAAACAAATAAGAAATCTGACTTTTTCCTGTCACCTAGGCTATTCAAGTTAAACTCCGAACATTCTACATTGTATTAAAATTGTTTGCTATTTAAACTAGGTCACTTACTCCACAGACATCTACAGCATGGGAATCGTTTTCTGGGAAATCATTGAAAGACGGTAAGAAAAGTTTTAAGAAAATTCAAAAATAGGTTTAGATACGCATTTCGATCAGAAAACAAAATCTACAACGACTACTCGCATTTTGCTGATTTTCAAAAGGAACAAACCGCAGGACTTCATTTCTCGTACTCTGGTTGTAAGGAGTTCAAGGAAACTATTCTTGAGTCGGTTTTGCTTGGTTTTGATATTCATAAAATTGATTGTAAAACAAGATCAAGCCAGATATTGACAAGAAAGTTAGCAAGAAAGTCCGTAGAATTTTTTTGGAAAGGAAAAAGTTCTGCATTTTCATGACAACGCTAGACCTCATATTGCTAAGCTTACAAAAGAAGAATTGAAGGGGTTAGGGACTCTCCCTGATCTCCCTTATAGTCCAGATCTTGTTCCTTCTGATTTTCACCTTTTCCGGAATCTAGCTGCAGAACTCCATTGGGAGCACTTCGGAGATCGCGTCCAGGTCGAAAATTTGTTCCGCGACTTCTTTACCGCTTAGTCCAAGAATTTCTGGGAGAAATGAATCCGTGCTCTATCCAATAAATGGAAGCGAATAATAGATACCAATGAGCTGAGGTTGAAAACTGGCTCTGCGGTTTCTTCCGCCAACCAAAGAATTTTTGAGAGAAAAGAATCAGCGCAATAAATGGCAGAATATGATTATTAAAAATGACAATTATCTTGAATAAATACTTTAGCTTTGAGAAATCATCGTGGAAACCAACAGCTTTGAGAAATCAACTTTTTCTACGAACTTTCTTGCTAATCTAATAGTTACAATATTGTAACTATTAGATTAGATTAATTATAAACATTAGATTAACTATTAACTATATTAAAAAAAAAGCTTTAGATGTGCTGCTTTTGACCCAAGAGAAAGACCGAATGCGGAAGAAGTTCTCGAGAAAATTATCATCATTAAAAATGTTCGAAATTCTTTTTTAAAAATTTATTGAAACTTCAGGACAAAGAGATTCAACAATATGAATTTATGCCGATAATTGATAATGATCGTACGAGGATTATGAGACCGGATAACGTGCTACCAAATTCGTTTACTCCGAGAGAGGAAAGTGAAGTTGAAAGTTGGTGTAGATTTAGAATTGATATTGAGTAACTTTACAGCTTTTCCGAGTTTGAATTCTGAAGCTAATCATGATTTGATCACAAGTTCTCAAGTCGATGATATGCAACCATCTACATTGATGTTTTCAGATGAAGAAGAAAGAAGTCTTATCCAAAAAGTGCTGTACTTTTTAGATTGAGTATTATCCTGTTCTATTTTTACACATTATCCACTAACAGATTTGTTCTATTTCTAAACATGAAAGTAAACTAAAACTGAACTTTATCTAGGTTCTAACCTTATCTAGTTATGACCTAGATATTAAGCCTAACTATGGCTTACTATCTAGGCCATAGTAAACCATAGTTAAGCTATTTAGTCACTCCGTCCGTCCGTCCGTCTGTACTGGCTTTTTCTCAGCATTCTTTAAGCCAAAAAAACTGAAATCTTTTTAAAAAGTCTCAAAATAAACAATAGTTGTGCTATTTAAGTTAAAAAATTAAAAAGTCAAGATCCAGTGGGACTACCGGGGTCGAACCCGGATCTTGTGGGCCGTAGACAAGTGCACTCCCGGCTAGGTCAATGCGTCTTCCACAAAACATCGGCTGGTTTAGAATAATACGCTTAATATCTACAAGGCTTTAGTACAGAGATTGTCTATAAAAACTGGAGTTTAAAGCAAAGTTCAAAAAAGGAAAAGTGATTTTAGGTTATTTGAAGTTTTTTTGACCTTTAGTTTCTAACTTTTTCTAAAATTCAATTCAAATTCTGAGCTTTTGGAGAAATCTGTACATTCATCATTTCATTTAGTCACGTTTCATTGTATACTTTAGCCAACCTCACTATTTCAACCCCTCTACACAATCAACCAATCTGGAGAAGGAACTTTCAACAAACAGCTGTTTAATAGAATAATGGATCAAGTTGGAAATTGCAAAGTTTGTTGTAATATGACGCTCTGATATGAGCTATTTTTATTCATTTTAGATTGCAATCATTTCCATTGCCGGTCTTCCTCGTGGTGGGAAAACTTTTTGGCTTAACTTTCTTTTGCGGGCACTTCGCAAAGGAGATGCTCATTTTAAACCGGATGAGATTATCGGGTGAGACAGAATTCTGAAGACAGATCTAGGCTTGGATCCTGACAGGATCAGGGACCCTGCAAGGAGTCAATGTCAGACTTAGGCCAGCCTTTGGTATGTTTCTGGCCTTGAGTAACCTGAAGAAATCTTTAAAACAGCCCTGACCCTCATGATCATTTGGCACTTCTCAAGATTTTTCTCTTTGTGCCTCTTGCTCCATTGTTCTCGACTCATTGTCCCATTTTCTTTGGAATTCTGCAAGAAAGGCTTAAAATTTCAAACATAAAAACTCACTTCAATCAATCGCTTAAATATTCTAAGACCGCTTTATCCATTGCTGAATCAACTCTGTTTTAAGGTGGAACTGGGTGCAGGAAATAAGTCTTTACCGACTGTAAGCAAAGTAAGACAGTCTTGGCTTAACAGTGCTCGCAATCAAAGTCTTGGCAAGTGCCGATATTATTTAATATTGTTAATCTAACATTAAACCATAGATAAGCTAAACCTTAAGAGATTGGTAAGCTTGAAGTACTCAAATCAACACTTTTAGACTTTTAGTTAGCAGTAGACATGAGAAAATTCCAAGCCGAACCTAATTCCACCATTGTTTTCTCGGCTGTTTCTTGGGCGATTGCTCTGAAATTTTGTCTACAAGCTGAAAATGTCGATTTCTATCTGTGAACAAAATTTCAAAGTAATTGGCCAAGAATCAGCCAAGAAAACAAAGGTGGAATTAGGTTCGGATTGGAATTTTCCCATTTCTAGTTAGCAGTATTGTATCGTTGGGTCAAATCTCAACTAGGGGAAAAGGGATGTGTAAATTTGCGTGAACAAAAGTCACAAGAATCAACCAAGTTCTTGTGATTGTTATCCACACACTTTAATCGATGATCTGTGTCAAAAAAAAGTCACAAGCATTTTGCTATTGTTTCTCGTTTTGAACAAGGAAAGGCGTCTAGATTAGACCTCGGGATTTTCGGTGTGAATGTGAATAGGTGTCCGAGGGAAAAATGACATATCTTGGCCAATTTTACCTGAATCGTTTTACCTTTGTTTTCAGTCGATACAAAATTATATTCTGCAGCAAATGATATCGAAAACAAAAATATCAGAGTAAAATTAGATATCATTTTTCCGTTGCACGTCTATTGACGTCCCCAGCGAAAATTACCGAGTCTAGTATGCATTAGATAGTGTTTCAAACAATTTTCCTTCAAACTAATCATCATTTTTCTTTATTTCAATGTCTAGGGGCCCAAGTGGAGCATCGTTTCAATCAGGATTATATTCTCATACAACTGGCATCCAAATTTGCACCGAAACTTTCTTCATCAACAATAGCGAAAGCGAAAAGGTTGGGGTATTGGTTTTTATTAAAGTGTAATCGATTTACAGATTGCTGTACTTTTATTGGACACTGGCGGTCTCTTTGATCTCTTTATCAAATGGGAGCATTACTTACGCTGCTTTTCCATACTCGTGCTGCTTTCATCAACTCTAGTAACGTCAAAAAATCTTCCAAAACATTGTATCAACAGGTTTACAACTGTTTCAAATTTCTCACGAGCAGTGATCTCGAAATATTTCTCGGAATTCGACCGTATATTGGCTATGATGAGAAGTTTTTGATACAAGTTTGTTGCTAAATTTGAGCAATAAGCAAAGCTTTCAGCATTTGATTCTCCTATCTCGTGACACTCCTGGAAGGATTGGATTTGATAAAGATTATGTGGAAATGATTAAAACTTCGCAACTAAAAGATTTCTTTGGGCAGTTTGACAAATTTGACGCTGTGTTTGTGCCACATCCAAGAGCAAAGCTGAGAACGGCAAATTTTCAAATTTTTGCAAGAGGTAAGCTATCAATTGCAGATAAAAAGCTAAATTTGAGCAATAAGCAAGGCTTTCAGCATTTAATCCTCCTATTGAGCTTGGGAAAAAGGTGTAGAGATTTACATTTGAATTTGTTGAAATATTGGGTTGGGGAGAATGAGTCGGCGCCGAAAATCAAAAAAATGTCTAAAGCTTCTATTCGACTTCGTCAAATAATATGCGTTTGATATCAGTAGAATGGTTAACTAATTCTCTACAAAATGACATTTAAAAGAAAATTCAAACAGCGCCTCCGCTCAAGAAAAAGCCATTTTTTCACAAAAACTACAAACTGTCATCTAGAAAAAACCATTGGTGGGATCTTCCTGCAAATTTGGCAACTTAAGTAATTGAATGTGCTCTATCTTTTTTATATAAACACCAAAGAAGGTTTATGTGAAAGAAACTGTTCAAATGATGAGTCGGACTCTTTGCCATTTTAACCAGCTGCGTTTGGAAGTTCATAAACTCCACGAAAGAAAAGCTTTGTGGAATCTCTCAAAAGTGATTTTGTAGAGAAATAGTGGATCCTTTTGATGAAACCAAACGTATGTTTAAAGAAGGCTTTATGTGTGCAAAAAGTCCCTTTAAAGTTGGGCGCCGACTCATTCTCCCCAACCCAATATAATAGCTTTATCTAAAGTATGAATGGCTGGATTTTTAATCCAAATTCTTCATTCTTTTAAACCATTTAAGCCACTTGTCAAAACAGTCAAGCTGATTGTGAGAAAAATTCGTGAAACGAGGCTAACTTTATGCAAATATCAGTTGTTGTTGCTAGATTATTGTCGCTAGATTTACGAGTATCAAAAAGACTTGGGTTGAAAGGTAAATTCTGTCCGTTTCTCTGTTTTTTTGAAGTTCTTAAACTCAACCAATCTACACGTGTTATGGCTCATTCGAAAGCTGAATTCAAGGCGGAACAAAGAGGAAAAACCGTTTTTAAATTCAGTTTTGAAGTTTTTACAGGCGTTTTAGTGAGCGCACAAGAGAGGTTTGTCAACTTATCCCCAGAAAATGCGATCGCCGACAGATTTGCACATGCCTATATGCATTCAATGCAAAAATTATGCTGATTCCGAATCTAAAAGAATTTTTTCGAAAAATCGAAGCCTCGACCCTTTTTAGAGCTCTGAAAGCGATGATCCGAGGGTCGAGGGTTCGACTCCGGGCGCGGCAGATTTTTAAAAAAATTTTGAAAGAAGAACAAGTTTTGTCTTTCCTAGGGTCATTTTCAACGCTGATTCCGAAAAATTTGGTTTCAGCCTAGGTTTCCGTGCTTAAAAAATGAAAAAAAAATGCAGAAAGTTGAAAAACACCATTTTCGGATTCAAAATGCTACTAGTTTTCTCAGAGTTGACCAATTTTAATGTTTTGGGTTTTAAAAGAAACGCAAGAGTGTTGTTGACAAGAGTTACTATTTAGAATTAAGTAATTTGCTTGTGGCAGTGGGAATTCGGCTTTCAAAGAGAGTTCGTTTTAGCCGTTTTCCATAGAGAATGACGATTTTTTTTCCAATAGATTGCAATTTTAAATCTATAATCTGTAATAATCTGCAAAATCTGTAAGACGGATTGCAAGAATTCTTTTAGATTCGGAATCAGCATAGTTTTTTTTGCATTGAATGCATATAGGCATGTGCAAATCTGTCGGCGATCGCATTTTCTGATGGTAAGTTGACAAATCACTCTTGTGAGCTCACTAAAACGCCTGTAAAAACTTCAAAACTGAATTTAAAAACGGTTTTTCCTCTTTATTCCGCCTTGAATTCAGCTTTCGAATGAGCAATAAAACGTGTAGATTAGTTGAGTTTAAGAACTTCAAAAAAACAGAGAAACGGAAAGAATTTACCTTTCAAACCAAATATTTTTGACGCTCGTAAATCTAGCGACAACAATCTATTGGGTTGGGGAGAATGAGTCGGCGCCGAAAATCAAAGAAATTTCTAAAACTTCTCGCAGACTTCGTCAAATGAAAAGCGTTTGATATCAGTAGAAAGGTTAACTAATTCTCTACAAAATGACATTTAAAAGAGAACTCAAACAGCGCCTCAACTCAACAAAGGATCATTTTTTTTCACAAAATCGATAAACTGTCATCTAGAGTAAACGGTTGGAGGGATCTTCCTGAAAATTTGGTAACTTATGTAATTGAGTGTGCTCTATCTTTTTTATATAAACACCAAAGGAGGTTTATGTGGAAGAAACTGTTCAAGCAATGAGTCGGACTTTTTGTCATTTTGATTAGCTGTGTTTGGGAATCCATAAAATCCCAAAAAAGAAAAGCTTTGTGGAATCTCTCAAAAGCCATTTTGTAAAGAAATAGTGGACCATTTTGATGAAACAAAACGTGTATTTAAAGAAGGTTTTATGGGTGCAAAAAGTTTCTTTAAATTTCGGCGCCGACTCATTCTCCCCAACCCAATAGCAACAGCAACTGATATTTGCATAAAGTTAGCCTCGTTTCACGAATTTTTCTCACAATCAGTTTGACTGTTTTGGCAAGTGGCTTAAATGGTTTAAAAGGTAGATTGGTTGAGTTTAAGAACGTCTCCCACAAAAAAAAGCGGACAGAACTTACCTCCCAACCCAATAACTATCGATTTGACTTTGATGATCTCACTAAAACATTTAGATATTGGAAGCAACTTTCTAAACACATTAGCCGATCTCGCTGAGAACATTTTAACAAAAATTCACCCAAAAGCCATTGATGACATTTTCTTCACTGGAGTTTCATATAGAAGCTATGTTGAGGTAAGGTGGGGGCAATTTTAAATCTAATTTCTTTCAGCAAGTGATAAAACAAATGGAAAGAAAAGAAAAGAGCAACATTACGAGTCTTTTTGAGGTAACTTTATCAAAAAAGAAAAACAAAACAGTTTCCAAGTCCTTCAGGCAACAAACGAACTTGCATTCAACGAGCTGAGAATGGATGCATTGAAGGAATTCGAGCGATTGTGGAATCAGGTTTGGAGGTGAATGATCATAATCACTGTAATTTTAGCAAAATGAAATTAATGCCTACTCGCCAATTGATCCCGAACTCTTCGAAGAGACTGGGAAAACGATTTTAGAGACTGTGACTCAAGTGAGGCCGTTTCATTAAGGCTTTGTGCTTAAAAGTCTAAACATAGCTTTTCGAAGGTATTTAATTCCTCATCTTTATGATGTTACGCTGTTTTTCATTAAGGAATTTAGTGTGTTTGGTGTTTTAGCAAATTTAAGCATAAAGAACATTCGAAATAGTTCAATTCATTGACATTGACTAGAAAAGAGTACTAGAACATCGTGGGATTCGAAACGAGAGCTAGTCCATTCGATAGAAAATCAAATAATCAAATAAGTTTTATTTCCTCCGGACTATAAATGTGATTTTCGTTATGTCAATTTTGTCAATTTTCAAAGACAATTGTCAATGTCAATTTGTCAATGATGTCAATTTTTGGACAATCGCTACTGGATTTCAGACCTTTGCGATAACCTTAAAATACGGAGGCGAAGAAAAGAGGCAACGATTTGGGCAATTCATTCAACAACTTCGGGTAAAGCTTTGGTTTTTATAAAAAACTCGAATTCTCTCAGGAGCTGAATGTCGAACGTGCTCAAATGAACTTTCTGCGGTTTCGCGATTTAAGGATTTCGGAAGCATATGACCGCGCTATGCAACTTTATCAAAGAGGAGTGCAAGTAGAGTTGGACTTACGGATTTCATCCCCAACTGGGTCCGGTCAAAAGCCTACCTGCCTTACCTGCTTGAGTACTTGGGCTACTTGTATCCTGGTTACAAATCCTAGACTTTAAAAGGATAACAAACCAAGTCTAGCTGTAGCCCAAATGCTTTAAAATAATTGTAGCTTTAATTCTAGCGAAAAATCGTCAGCGGAGTTGACCCAGCAACACCAGAAGAACTCCAAAACGTTCACAACAATGCCGTTCACGGAGCTATTGAATTTTTTGAGAACGGTACACAAATGGAATTTATAAACGATATTACAAATAAATCGGAGCCTTTAGAAGCCAGCTCGTTCCCCAATTGCTCAACCATATTTGAGGAAAAGAAGCGGAAACTAGTTGCGAGCTTTAAGGTGAGAAAAAAAAATTGACAAAAGCAAAATCCACTTAGAACTCATTGACGAACACACTGCGAGAAGTCTCGATTCAAGCTATCAAAGATGTTTTCTATGATCTATGCGAAACAATGCTACGGAATTACAGAGAAGAACTGGCGCAGGTCAATTTCAGTGCAAACTGAGCTTAAAATCAGTTAGACAGTGCTTTTTGTGCAATAAAAATCTCAAAAGCATCCTTCAATTTGTATCAGAAATTCTCTGTAGAAAATTATCGCAATTTTCGCAAAAGAAATTAAACTAGTTCGCGAAGCTACAGCTAAAATATAGCCGAGGCGATAACTGTAAAGTAAATTAAACTTTACAGCTTCGTCTTCGTCTCATCGACTCCGACGCCTTCCAAATCGAAACTCTTCTGAATCAAGAGAATGAAAAATTTGCCGATTATAAAATGAGAGAAACCTTCCTGACGGTTCAAAATCTGAGTCAGAGATTCTCCATCATTCCAGTGGTGGACTTGAAGAAGTTTGCCGAGAATGTCTTGCAGACAGTATTGGATCCAATGATTAAGGTAATCTTTTGAAATATTTTGATTTTTAAGTCAATTCTTTTAGGCTTGTTCAGAGGATTTTCTGAAATCCATTCATTTTGATCAAGAAATCATATCGATACAGACTTCCGGGTTTCAACAAGCCGACATTCGGGCAAAGTTGACACAGCTTTTAGGTGAGTTTTGCGTTTTAACAACTGTTTATAGAGTGTGTTCCTCTTAAGTAAGACATTCTTAAAAGTACTATCAGTAAAAAAGTAGTTGTCGCATATTATTTAACAATAAAAATGGCAAAAAATCTTGCGAAGCGCTTTATATACGGCTGTCACACAAGCTATTTAATCATTTGGCTGAGCATCTTATTTGGGAAAGTTTTATACAAAAGGAAAACTGAATAGCTTGCAATTTCGCATCGTGCACCTCTCCAGACATTCTTCCAGTGGAAAACGCTCACTAACGTTCGCGTTTTCCACTGGAGAGGTTCACGTTTTCCGCGCAATCTAAGCCCCGCCCCTTTCTGCTGATGGCTGCGCACAGATGGACAGATGGACAGACGGATAGATGGACAGACGGACAGATGGACAGACGGACAGATGGACAGACGGACAGATGGACAGACGGACAGATGGACAGACGGACAGACGGATAGACGGACAGACGGATAGACGGACAGACGAATAGACAGATGGACAGACGGACAGATGGACAGACGGATAGACGGACAGACGAATAGACAGATGGACAGACGGACAGACGGACAGATGGACAGACGGACAGATGGATAGACGGATAGACGGACAGACGTCTCTTTTGCTTTATATATAGTAGATTATTTGTTTGCGAGGAACACACTGACTGTTTATCTCAAGGCTCAAACTGTGCTGCTGGCTATTTACCGTAATCAACAAGATAGTTTGGATTCTTTTAGTTCGTTAAAATCTGGATAAAGGCACTGTACCACCCTCGGCATTTCTTTCGACCATTTTCCAATTCCACAATCAAATTGAACAATCACAGATCAAGATAAGATGAAAGCTGAGTTAGGGAATCATACCGACACACAAATAGACAATACAATGCTAAAATTTTTCACTTTTTAGTTTCAATCATTTCATATCCCCGTTTTTACAGTTGAGGTCCAAAACTCAAGGGAAACCACTCGTGAAACATTCAAACTATCCTTGGAAAGAACGAAAGAAATGGCGCTTTTGAAAGACAAAGTTCGGAAGACATTCGAAAAACAAGTTCTCGCAAAAGAGGCTCGAGAGCATGATATACACCAAAAGCACGTTTTTTCTTTTTTTATAAAATTACTCAAATCTTTTCTAGGGGGTTACCGCAAATTCGTTGAGTCTTTGAGTATCGGCATTCATTTGAGAAATATGCAAGCCCGAGTCGCCGTTTTTGTGGGAGACGAAGCGATTTGTATTCCGGCTGGGAATGGTAGTTTTTCGAGCTGAAGAGAGAATCAAAGAAAATTTAGGTCAAAACGTTTTCTCCGTGCCCTCGGAGCAAAGCGTCTTTTTGGATTCATTTCTTGGGTCTTCAGAAAGCAGCACAAGTATGATCTTTGCACAACGTTAGTTACGTTAGAAATTGAGCCCGAGTTCCAATTGGTATTGGGTTGTAAACCTGGCTTGAACCCAAATCCGAAACAATATTTATTGACAAACAAAAGAGCAGTTTAATGGAAATAGTCTCCATTATTTGCGATGACTTTCGCCCATTTTACTGGCAATTAGCGGATTCCCCTCTGATAGAAAATTTTTGATTTCGAGCCAATATAGTCTTGGAGTCACTTTTTGAGGTCTTCTCTATTTTGAAAGTGCTTTCCATCCAGGGAATGTTGCATCGATTGGAAAAGATGGTAAGCTGTAGAACTGAGGTCAGGAGGGTAAGCTGTAGAACTGAGGTCAGGAGGGTAAGCTGTAGAACTGAGATCAGGAGAAAATGGTGGATGGGGTAAGAACTCCCAGTTCAACTCGTGGATTGTTGAGCGGTCAACTTTACGGTATTTGAACTGGCGTTCTCGTGTTTAAGAATAATCTTTTTCAAATTCAGGCGCTTTTCCTTAAGTTTCTCATCAAGTTTTTGAGCTGGTCGCGCCTTCAAATTTGTTTTTAAAAATTGGCTAAAGTTAAATTGTTTGTAGGACTGGATAGCATTTTGAAATTTGCAAATTAGCAAATTTGCTATTCATTAGACCTAGTTTCTCAGCGTTTTTCATTTTTAAATTTTAAAGAAAAGCCAGGGATAGCAACAAAGACGGAATGGTCCAAATGGGTTGGTGAACTCAATAAAATGAATAGCTTCAATCGATTCGCCGACCTCGAAAACCCCTGGAGACAAATTTAGAGCTGAATATCTTTTTGTGTCATCAACAAAACAAAAGGGAAATCAAAGGAGAAGAAAAACTTTGATCCCGAATTTGCTCGGATTTTTGCTACAATTCTGCATTTTAAAAAGACTTTAAAGCTTTATTTTTATCTTGCTGATCAGCTGTCATCAGATCTTCTTTAGATAGACAATTAACCCGCGCCGGTGTGCTCTTTGAAATGGAAGAAATGTCACCAAGGACAAAGGCTTTAACAAGGCTTTTTCATGGATTAAATGTATGAACACGCCAAATCAGCTCTTTTATAATCTCTTAATTCACGCAACTACTACCAAATTTTAGCAATCTTGCGAAGAATTTCTTGGAAGGCCGATTCACGAATGCGCATTCGCGATCCCAAGTTATCTCTGCGATTTGGAAAAGCTGGAGATACGGAAAGCTGCAAAAAGTGCTGGTCTTCGAGTTTGCTACGGCTTATCAGAGCCGGTGGCCGCTGCTCTGGCTTCTGGGATCAAGAATTCAAGCAACAAGTCAAAGTACATCATGGTTTATCATTTGCGAGGTGGGTGAGCTTTGAAGGTTTCATTTTTTAACAGGGTTTATTCTAGTTTTGTCAGTTTTCAAGGCTCAAGTCCATGAAATTGTTAATGTTAATGTTAATGTTAATAAAAATTACCGTAATCTCGCTTATTTTGATTCAATAAAACAACTTTTTCAATCTACCAAATATGCAAATATTGTTTGTAAATCACTTGCAAGTTTGCTGATTTAGGTGACGGTGTTATCGTATCGATTCTCGAGATAAAAAAAGATCATTTCAAAGTGTTATCAACATCAAAAAGTAGCACCGGTAGTCAAGCTCTTGAAATAGAGTTGGCCGTTTATTTAATGAGAAAAATCAAAAAGGATTTCAACGAAACGCTCACTTTTGAACGAGCTCGTCGTCGACTTTTACTCGCATGCGAACAAGCAAAGATTGATTTGACTCAACACGAAACGGTTTATTAGATTTTTAAACTATTGGGTTGATGAATTGAAAACTGCCGGCTATTGTCATATGTGATAGTTTGAGCACTTTCTTCAAACGAAACCCATTTTGATGTCAATGGAAAAGTTGGGATGAACAAAGATGACAATTCTCCTTTTAAGTCACCTCTAGAAGTCCACTCTTTTAATATTTTTAATTTTTTGGAAAGATTCGAACAAAAGGAACAGCTACGAAAGCTACGAAGCTCCACCTCTTTTTCTGTGTAGATTTTTCGTAGCTGCCCCTTTTGTTTGAAATTCCTTACGAAGCTAAAAGCTAAAAGATATTCAGCTGAATGGGCAAAGGGGATACTCTGAAAGTATAGTTATATCGATCATTTCATTGTATCAAAGTTCGTTATCTCGAAATTCGACTGTATCTATAAAAGCCCGATGCTTATTGATAAATTTAGCCATAAGTTCCTTATTGATATTATTTTGTGGCTATATTAAGTAAAAACTCTGCTCCAGAAGGGATCACTATTGGGTTGGGTGAATTGAAAACTGCCGGCTATTGTCATATGTCACAGTTTGAGCACTTTCTTCAAAAGAAACTCATTTTGGTGTCAATGGAAAAGTTGTAGAGAATCAAAAATCAAGCTTATATCCAAATTTTCAGAACGATTCAAAAACTGGTTTTCAAGAAAGGCAAGAAATTTACGAATTTTCACAAAACTTGCATTTTAAGCGAAACTACTAAGTGTATCTTTTTGGAAATTTGGCTATAAGCCTAATTTTTGATTCTCTACAACTTTTCTATTGACACCAAAACGGGTTTCTTTTGAAGAAAGTGCTCAAACTGGGACATCTCCAGTCTTCCATTTTTGAGTCTCACACTTGTCTCACACACAAACCAAAATCCTACTACGAAAGAGGAATCCACAAATTGCCTGTAAAATGGGCAGAAGTCGTCAATAATAATGGAAATTATTCAACATAAAACCATGAATTCATTCCAAATAATTGGATTGAATTGATGGCTTTATGTTGAATAAATTTTAGTTCAAAGTCCGGCAGTTTTCAATTCACCAACCCAATAAGAATATAAATTTAGGCGTTAATCAACATTCCATCGTTGAAACTTTTTGACTTTAAAATCACGATCAAACGAAAGAAATTTGAATGGATTTGTCGGGACGTTTTTAAAGAAATGATAGCTCCGATAGATGTGGCTCTAAAAATGGCAAATCTAAAGGCAAAACAGGTTTGGCTGACTTTAATTATGCATTTGATTTAAATCTGCATTTGATTTAAATCCACGGTTTGCTTATTTTCATGATTTAACAAGTAACTCGTTTCTTTTTTAGATTTCTTTTTCAGATTTCTTTTTCAGATTGACGACTTACTAGTACTTGGCCATTCGACTCAAATTCAGAGGATTCAAGAACTTTTGAAAAGCAAAGTGAAATGTGAACACAAAAGTGCTGTAAACTCGGATGAAATGGTGGTTGAAGGTGCGGCGATTCAGGTGAGTAATTCAGGTCTCTTTGTAAATTTGTTTGATTTAATTGCTCAGTGGAATCGGATTTAAGTTTCTAGTCAACAATGAATGACAACAATGAATGCATTGTTGTCATTCATTGTTGTCATTCATTATTGTCATTCATTGTTGTCATTCATTGTTGACTAGAAACTTAAATCCGATTCCACTGAGCAATTAAATCAAACAAATTTACAAAGAGACCTGAATTATTGTAATTTCAGGCAGCTAAACTCGGAGGCTACATTTCAAAGCGCTTAACCCAGTTGAGTTTCCGAGATGCAACCGCTCTGTCATTGGGTGTCCGATTTCGAGGCAATCTCATGAAAGTTGTGATCCCGAAAGATTCACCGATTCCAATTTCAAAACAAATCACTTGCACAACAACGTACGATGGACAAAGCAGCATGGAGATACAGGTGAATTTCAAAAAGAACAAGTTACTCAAAAGAAATGTGTTTTTAGATCTATGAAGGTGAAAGAGCAATGGCATCAGCTAACAGATTGCTGGGGACTTTACAATATAAAATTCGTCGTGGAGAAAAGGGGTTCGTTCATGCGACTGTGAGTTTCAACGTGCATCGAAGAGGCGAATTGGAAGTGTTTATTGAGGATCCGCTCACAAACGACTCGAATTTTCTCTCACTTCGACAATTGCGAGATGGTTTTTATGAAGCGGTAAATTATTGTTTAAATGTGAACTTCACAGGATTAAGATAAAGTTTATGTACTAGACAAAATTCCAAGCCGAACCTAATTCCACCTTCGTTTTCTTGACCAATTCTTGGCCGATTGCTCTGAAATTTTCTCTATAAGCTGAGAATGTCGATTTCTATTTGTAGAGAAAATTTCAGAGCAATCGGTCAAGAATTGGCCAAGAAAACAAAGGTGGAATTAGGTTTGGATTGGAATTTTCCCATTTCTAGTTAGCAGTATTGTACCGTTGGGTCAAATCACGACTAGGGGAAAAGGGATATGTAAATTTGCGTGAACAAAAGTCACAAGAGTTGGCCAAGAAGGTGGAATTAGGTTCGGATTGGAATTTTCCTATGTCTGTACTCGTGCTCCTTAATATAATTCACCTCACCAGCCTTAAATTACGGGACTTTTACATAATTGTTCATACCTTAAGCTTAGGTGAGAGATAATTAAGAGATAAGAATGGATCTTGGTCTGAATTTTTAAATTTACAATTCTTAAATTTAGGATGAAGTCAAAAGAGTGATCCAAGAAGCAAATAATCACGCTAAAGAGGATCAAGAATTCATCAAAAAAAACATTATACTGTCGGAGCTCGATGATTTGGCTTTTCAAATGGCAAATAATTTGAAAAGAGAGGTTTGTGAATTTTTAAGCTTAAATTTATTTCATGAAAATGACATTAAGCTTGAGTAGAGAGTTTCCAATTGAATCCTTGGGTTGCAGGCAAGGTCGCAGGCAAGCAAGCAAGCAAGTAGGCAAGCAAGCAAGCAAGTAGGCAAGTAGGCAAGCAAGCAAGTAGGCAAGCAAGCAAGCAAGCAAGCAAGTAGGCAAGCAAGCAAGCAAGCAAGCAAGCAAGCAAGCAAGCAAGTAGGCAAGCAAGCAAGCAAGCAAGTAGGCAAGCAAACAAGTAGGCAAAGCAAGATCTCGTCTTGTCCAGAAGCTAGGTTCATTTCTGATTTCTGGCAGACCTACAGAGAGTTTCCAATTGAATCCTTGGTTTGCAGGCAAGCAAGCAAGCAAGCAAGCAAAGCAAGGTCTTGACTTGACCAGAAGCTATGTTCATGTCTGATTTCCGACGAACCAGAGACCTACAAGGGAATAAGGAGTTTCTAGGCAATCATGCCAATCAAAGAAGCGGCTATTTTTCAGAAATTGATGGAGTTTTTTGGAATTTGTTTTATAATTGCTTTCTATAGTGATAGGTTTGTCAAAAATCGCGTTTTTCCGATGCATTCTGCAAAAACTAAAACCGGATTCGAAAGCAGCGTAAAAAAACGGCATCGGATAGACTAGTTCTCATTTGGAAAGGCCACAGTGATTTAGTATCATTCCCTCGCTAGAAAATAAATCAGAAGCCAGCTCATAAAAGCCAAATTCTGCTTTGAATTCAAAAATACCTTTAAAACAATTCTAAACTTGAGTACGATTCACCGGAAAGAAAATTTCGAGAATTTTAGTTTTCAAAACTTGGAGAACCCTGGCTGACTTTGATCTCAAATCGTGGATACGAGGAGATGCGTTGGATTCACGAACATTCAGCTACGAAATCTAGGAGTGTTCTTGAAGTGAGACTTGATGCTTTGAAAAGATTTTGTGCGATAGCCAAGAGAAGAAAGACAAGATGGCCCTAGAATAGTTTCATATTTCTTTCCGTGAATCTCTATAGCTTTTCAAATTCAAATATTCCCCATTGAATCTATAAATTTTAGCATAATTTATTGCTCTTTGTTTCATTATTAGGATTTTGCAGTTGTTCTTAAAATCTCTGTTTGGAAAGCTCCTTTCGTTCTAGACTTTCCTGGAATTATGTTTTTTAGATTTTGTTCAACTGTAACTCTTGTTTTTTTGTTGTTTTTTTTGTTTGACTTTTGTGATAAACAATTTTATAGTCAAAACAAAAGTAATGAAGAGAATGTAGAACATTCAGCCGTCGTAGCCGATCGGATAGGAGGCTTGGCTCCTAGTCGGGAGGTTAAGGCTTTAATCCTAGCGGCTAGAAAGATTGGTTCTTTTTCCCGTTATTATGGGAAAAGAACCCGTTTCTCTCGTTATTATGGGTTTTTTTCTTAACAACATTTCGGCAATAGGGGTAATTAGGTGTAAAAATTTCCTCCATTGTGTTGTCATTCATTATTCGTGTCGAATAAATCTACTTTATTCAGATCTGTCTTTGTTTATCGGTAAAAGCTACGTGACATTTATGTTCCTTGTGAGTTTCCTGAGTCTTTGTCTTGTGTCTTATATGTCTGCTGAAACAATTAAAAATTGTAAATTTATCTGTACCTTCTTTGCCTTCTGCATCTTCTTTGTCTGTAGAGAAAAAACTCTTTCAAATCTTTCCTTACTTAGTACAACTCAATAGCCACTCAAGGATTATGGACATCATTCTTTGTCCCGGCCTCTTCTCCCACCTGTCCAAGACGATCTAATCCAATGAAATCTGAAACCGTAAACAATCACCACACTCTAGTCAAACAGGGCAGAACACACTCAAATTGTGATCAATCAACGTTCTCCCGATTCCTGATCTCATTCATTTTAACTTCATCGTTGAATGCTTTATCTATGTTCTGTGTATGCATTATGTCTTGTGAAACAATTAAACATTATAAATTTATCTGTACCTTCTTTGCCTTCTGCATCTTCTCTGTCTGTAGATAAAAACTCTTTCAAATCTTTCTTTATTTGGTACAACTAAATAGCCACTCAAGGATTATAGACATCATTCTTTCTCCCAGCCTCTTCTCTTACCTGTCCAAGACGATCTATTGTCAATGCTGATAGCATGGGATTCAAAAAGAATGTTATATTATCTTTGTTCTTTATGCCTAACATTGTGGCTTTACAGCTAGTGTCAAAATAAACAGCCAATTATATTCTTTGAGAGTTAAACTCTGTTACCAAAACTGACTCAACAAACAATTTCAACTTTCCGTCACATCTTTAAGTGCATTTCACTTATATTTCATTGCAAACTTTTATTAGAATCTTGAAAGGAAAGGAATTATGATTGAATTGAAATGAATTATGATTTGAGAATGGAAATGCTATAAAGATTATGCAAAAAACATCTCAAGATTATGCAAGGATAGATCAGAGTTCAGTCTAGAAATCTATGGCTTTGAGAGAGAAATAGGCGAATAATAAAATAACCGTAAGCATAAGGGATAAGCATTTATCGTTATGTGAATCGTTGCACATAAAAGAATCTCAAAATCTCATGAGAGTTAAATTCAAAGCAAAAAGAGTCAGTCTTGTCTCACAGTAGTCTCACAAGTGTCTCACAAGTATAAAATTTGGTTATATCTTTTCTTAGATGCTCCAGATGGGGCACGTTTATAGTTTAGAGCATAAAGTAAACTCTAGAGAACAACTTTCCCAATAAACCTGGGATTTTTTTTTGGTTAAATTTTTTAATTTGATATACTGATAGATTGATTTAAAGATTTGAACTCTCTATAAAACTAAATAATAAAATTTTACAACCGATTACAATGGAATGATTTGGCTTTTAACTGGATGGCACATTTTAGGGTTTAGTTTGGCAATTTAAGCAAAAGCGGAATACCGGTAAAGGGATCAAAAACTGAAAATCAAATAAAGAACAGAATAAATTGAATTGAAGATAGAAAATCAAGCGTTGACTCCACTGATCGTGTCCAGAATATGAATCGTTGAGCGCGGGAAATCAGGCTTTTCTTCCAATGGCCGACGGAACTAAACGGTATCTTCTTTGCCTTCTTCTATGCATCTTCTCTGTCTATAGATAAAAACTCTTTCAAATCTTTCTTTACTTGGTTTTTTTTGGCTTTCCTATTCCTTGGTACAACTAAATAGCCACTCAAGGATTATGGACATCATTCTTTATCCCGGCTTCTTCTCTTACCTGTCCAAGACGAGCTAATCCAATACTGATAGCATGGGATTCAAAAAGAATGTTATATTATCTTTGTTCTCTATGCTTTACATTGTGACTTTTCAGCTAGTGTAAAAATAAATAGTCAATTATATTCTTTGAGAGTTAAACTCTAGTACCAAAACTGACTCAACAAACAATTTCAACTTTCCGTCACATTTTTAAGTTCATTTCACTTATATTTCATTGCAAACTTTTATTAGAATCTTGAAAGGAAAGGAATTATGATTTGAGAATGGAAATGCTATATATTGGGTTGATGCATAATTATCCGGACTTCTTTTATTAAAGATTTTATTTAACAAAAAATAACATAAATAGTTAGAAAAATATGTTTAATTGATTATTCTGGAGCATATTCACCGCCTACATCAATAACTGATTGCCATTTGCTTGGAAGACGATCGATTCCACGAGCGAAGAATAAACGATCTTTGGAGGCAATCCACGCTTTAACATCGTCTATCAAGTCATCCAAATCGTTGTAGATCTTATTTGTTTGCCAATTTTTGAGCGATCGATTGACGTGGTAGTCCGTTGGGGCTTCTCCAGTTCTTTGAGATCGCGAAACGACTCTGCGGCAGACCATCCCTTTTCGAAGTGGTAGAGCATGATATGGCGAAGATGGATATGATTGTCGACACGCATTTTGTTCACTAAAGAATAACGAATATTTAAAAAAAAAGAAATAGACAAAAAGCTTTCAAAACAAAAAAGATACAAGCACGCAAAAAGAAGTCCGGATAATTATGCATCAACCCAATAGATTATGCAAAAAACATCTCAAGATTATGCAAAGATAGATCAGAGTTCAGTCTAGAAATATAATGCTTTGAAATTGTAAATTTATATGTATCTTCTTTGCTTTCTTCTATGCATCTCCTCTGTCTGTAGATAAAAAACTCTTTCAAATCTTTCCTTACTTAGTACAACTCAATAGCCACTCAAGGATTATGGACATCATTCTTTGTCCCAGCCTCTTTTCTTACCTGTCCAAGACGATCTAATTCAATTGTCAATGCTGATAGCATGGGATTCAAAAACAATGTTATATTCATAATTCAAGCGATTCTTTAAATTTTAAAGTTTTAATTAAATTGTGACCAGTTTAAAAGTTTTTGAGTTTAAAATTAAAAACTTAGAGCATGGAAATGTCATGATTATCCAGAACGCTTACAGTTTAGTTTTCACAGTTTCCGATAGACTTCGGAAAGCAGAACTTAACCAAAACCAAAACCACCAAAACCAAAAAGAGATCAAAACCAAAACCAAAAAGAGATCAAAACCAAAACCAAAACCAAAACTAACCAAAACTCGCCAATATCTCGCGATTGGGAGGAGCTAGCGAAAATCTGTTTGCAGATTTGAAATCAGCGTCCAAAAATCTATCCCATAGGCTATTTTTTTGTTTCGAAATTTCGAGGGTGTGTTTTGGTCCTTTTTTCGGCCGCGAGATTTTGGGGAGTGAGAAAAAGCGAAAGGCATGTTAATTTATTGAGTTTTGGTTTGTTTTGGTGTTTTGGTTTTGGTTTTGGTTTTGGTCTGTTTTGGTTTTGGTTTTGTTTGCCGAACTCTAGTTTCCGAATCAACTCCCTTACTCGAAAGTAAAGCAAAACATCCAGCTTTCTTATTATAAACTCAGAAAACAGTAAAACACTTTTAAAATCAAGTTAGGACAATTTTGAAGGCCCAGCAAAAATGCTAACAATCGCAACAGTAGGATTAGTCCAAATCTGATAAGCCAAAGATAATTCGACGCAGAATTTCAGGCTGATTCTGAATCTGCTTTCTGTTTTTGCAAAATAGCTTTCTATAAAAAGTTATACGTATTTTAAGTTTCAGAGTGAAAATGCAAAAATTTGGAGCCGAATAGATTGCCTTTATAACCGTTCTCGGGTTTTAGATGTGAACTAATGACATAGTGGATAAAACGCTTGCTTACAAGACGAGCCCTGCATTTTTTGCTTGAGTTTGATTTGTTTTTGGCAAAACTTTTGTTTTGTTTAAAACTTAAAACAAGTATAACTTTTTATAGAAAGCTATTTTGCAAAAACAGAAAGCAAATTCAAAATCAGCTTCATATTCTGCGTCGAATTGTCTATGGCTTATCACATTTGGATAAATCCTACTGTTGCTTTTCCCTTGTAAGGTTTATTTTCCTGGAATTGAGCTTTCCAAATCTGTTCTGTCTGTTAAATCAAGTTCAAGTTTGACTATTGGAATCTTGTCAACCTTGTCGAATCTCTAGTATCTCAATTTTGCGCTTAGAATCAAACCATTCTAAGCCATTACTCAAGTTCTTGTGAGTATATTCTTTTACTGTTTTCAGCACACTAACAGCATTTTGTTTAGCATATCCAACTTACCGATTCTCCAAAGTACCCGGTCAATCGTTCGACCATTGCTTCAGCGCTGCTTACCAGCACTTCATGGTATTTCTGTTGATCCGGTCCAACAGCACTTCCATTTGCTGTTAATCCTCGTTCACAAGCTTTCATCAACTCTCTAAATCTTCTTACTTGAATATCTAATACACTAAATCTAAACCTAAAAGCATCACACAATTCCTCCATTTTCTCCTTTCCATATCGCTCTTGTTGATCTGGTTGCGAGAAAGCCTCAGCGTAGGCGAGAGGACCAGCATTTACCTAAAAATTTTAGCAATGTTTTGAACTTACAGTTATTACAGCCAGGCATATCTTAGTTCAGATATCTGGTTGATCCTACCAAGTGGTCACCTCAGGCTGAAAGACTAAGCCATGCTTATCTTAGTTCAGATATCTGGTTGTTATTGTTTTTGAATTTTTAGATTACTATATATTGAAGCTATAAGCATTACAGTTGGCATGACAGCTCCTTGAAGCAATAGTTGAAGTCCTTTTATGTCAAGTTGTCGCCCTTCTTCAGCCAAATCAAGGATTCGAGCGATTTGTCTAGCCTGAAATCTTTGTGCTAATTTGTAAACTTTTAGTTTTATATAATATTTTATCGCTTGAATCCTTTTGTTTCTTTATTTTACCTTTGTCTTCAACTTTTGTGATGCAAACTCTAACGGTGTTAGTGTCACAAATTGTCGTTTACTCTTATCGATCGGTAAACGTCGTCGATTGCTTGGGAAAGAACCGATCACTAAAAATAAGTAATAAGTATGTTCGGAGTTTGGAAATTTCTCGAATTCGACTAGAATCAGTACCCACGATTAGTCAGTTTTCGGATTGTGGAACATTTAATACGCGCCCCGCCTTCTTTGCCATTGGCAATCTAATTTTGAACTCAAATATCTTGGTGTTGGGCTGTTCAATTGAAATAGTTTTTGTACCAATCAACAGAGAAAGAATTGACGCATCTAATGATACTAAGAATATATGAATTGGACAGTTCAACTCCAAGATATTTGGGCTCAAAGTTAGATTGCCAAGGGCAAGGGGAGGGGCGACAGACCTTTCATACGCGCCCCGCCTTCTTTGCCATTGGCAATCTAACTTTGCGCTTGAATTTCTTGGCGTTGTGCTGTCCGATTTCAATAGTTTTTGTACCAATTGACAGAGAAAGACTTGGCGCATCTAATGATATAAAGAATTTTGAAATTGGACGGTTCAACTCCAAGATATTTGGGCTCAAAGTTAGATTGCCAATAGCAAAAGGGGCGGGACCCGGATCAAATGTCTGATAACCAGTAATACTAGCCAATCTTTGCTAGACTAGCTAATGACATGAAATCCTGGACCTTGAAATAGGAAATTTGTGATTTTACCAGAAATCTTCTTGTTCTTTTGACCTGTAATTATCGTCTTTCGGAGTCCTTGTTTCTGTAGAGGAGGCTCGCTCTTTTGATCCCAATCTCCATCCTCCACAATCGGACTCTCGTAGACAAATGTTCTAAAACAAATATTCATTGAAAATGGTTCAATTCAACAAGTTTATCAACTTCCATCAAACCTGCAATTCGTGTGAACATCAAAGTTGAGCTTATCCTTCTCATCGTCGTACATTGGCTCGACATGAGTGATATAAACATAAGCAAAAGTTGCATCGAGAGTTGAGAGATCACACTGGAAAACGGAACTTTCATTTTTCATTTAAAAGAGAGCTTACTTCTTTCTCAGGCTCAATCTTGATTCGATCGTGTCCGACGAGTTGCCGACAATATTCTTGGAGGGAACAACTTGCAGCAGCCAGCGAAGTTAAACCGGCTTCTCGATAGATCCATTCGCTTTGATGGAGATCTTTTCTGAAACGCTTAGTGCTATTAGAAAACCGTTTCTCAGGTTAGAAACAGGTTCTAGCCTGCCTCTGAGCCATTTTCTGATAGCTAAGTCATTTTTCCAGGCCTGGTTTTTCCAAGCCAAGTATGAGCTTGGCGTCTGACTCTGAACTTATTATTCTTATTCTTTTTCCTATTCTTTTTTTACAAGCTCTAAGGTTCTGCAGATAATTCAGCCTGGTTTTTGACTTTGCCTAGTTTTGATTCTAGATCTAGCTTTACTGAAAGCCCTTCCCGCCAAGCCAAGAATGGTTTTAGCTTTTGATCTAGCTTACAGTACAGGTCTGGTTCTACAACAGTCTCCAACTAACCCAAAATGACTCAATCCTAAGAAGGCGACTTTGAAGTAAGAGCCCAAATGTCGCCTTCCACTTGTTGATGCTTCGAGAGCTCGAGATGATGATTGATTCAGCTCAGCATACACGGAACGAAGAAGCTGAAAATTAAAAGCTATAGCTCTTTTCCGTTGTCCGGAGTTTTGAATGAGTAACCGCCACAGAAGTCTAAGAAAATCAAGAGACAAGAAGCTCAAATCAAGACTGATTGCTACTTTCCTACTTTCCTTGCTACTTTCCTTGCTACTTTCCTACTTTCCTTGCTACTTTCCTTGCTACTTTCCTACTTTCCTTGCTACTTTCCTTGCTACTTTCCTACTTTCCTTGCTACTTTCCTCAATGATTGCTCTCTCAGTTTTCTAGAAAAATACAGCCAATTTGGCTGAAATTTGGCTGAAACGAAGCTGAAAATTAAATACTATAGCTCTTTTCCGGGATTTTGAATGAGTAAGCGCGCTTGGAGGACTCATAACTTTGTTTAGAAATAGTTTTTATAGACCTGACCGCAATTATTATAGGAAAATACAAATCCCCGGTCTAGCATTGTCATTTTGAAGGATGATTTTTCTCTTTGAGGTCTTTTCTATGCCAAAGATTTGGTTAACTTGTTAAGCTTTTGTTGGGCAAAGATTTATTTACAAAGGAAAGCACTTAATACTGAAGGGATATGCCAGATGAAGAGCGATTGTGCGCGCAAAAAGAACGCCAGTCATTTACAAGGATTCTTCTATTGTAAATTGTTCAATAAGAAGAGATTCAGCTGTGAAATTTGTACCCAGGGGTTTTCGAGGTCGGCGAATCGATTGGAGGTATTAATTTTATTGAGTCTACTAAGCAGAACTCGAGTCTAATGGATCTAAATAGATTCGGAAACTTTTTTGATTGGTTAAACAAGGAGCAAAACTGAGAAAACAATGCTATCTGACTGCGGTTTATTGTACTCACATTGTAATTCTTGTTTCTCTCCAAAGTCGGAATCAACAGTCGATAGATTGGTCCAATCGCTTCAAATCGTTCAGCCAGCGTCAACTCGCGGCAACATTTGTCAATCTTTGAGGTCAAGTTTTCCTGTAATGAATGATTTAAAAAATTAATTTTTGCCATTTATGAACCAGAGTGAATTCAGCTGGTTGCACCACTTCAAAGCTGGAACCACGAACACCTTCCTCACTCGCGATTGTTGAAGAAACCCAGTCCAAAACTGACCAATCAAGGTTGAGAATCACACCTGAAATTTGTTAGATTTCTTTGACCAAGCCTAGATTGACTTTATTGCAAGTCTAGCTAACAAAAAGTACTTAAGCAAGGCTCTAATCTTGCCTAACTGGTTTTAAAAAGGTTACAGTTAACCTTGCAAATGTTTTAACCAAAACCAAACCAATGTTTTCTCACCTTTTGTTGCTAATTCTTTTGCGATGATCGCCACTGAATGAGCGTATGCGACAGCAGCTTCTGAATGCCAATCTCCAGTGGAATGCACCTCTGCAAGAGCGTCGAACCAAAGAGATCTGAAAACAATTGAAGGATCAAGAGAATCTGAATGGCATCAAAGCTAGATCTTAAGATCAAAGCTAGAGCTAAAACAATTTTTGAGTACAGCAGTACATTGCTTATGGGTAGGCAACAGTAAGGCCAACAGTAAGGTTCACCAAACTATTTACCATCTAGCAATTTTGCTAAACGGATTTAACAGTTTAGCATTTGAATTGAATTGAAAATCTGAAATGAATCAAATTGAGCATTTAGTACTTAACAACTTTGCTAAATGCTAAGTGCTAAATACTATAGTTGCGTTTTGTTTCTTGTTGTGGCGAATAGCCACTAAAAAGTTACCTAACTCTGGCAGCCTAAAAATTGGAGAAATATTGAGGAAATCGGTGCGCCTTCATTCTATTTCTCGCCCCAAATCATTTATTGTTTTGTAGCTTGTTAGCTGAGTATCTTGGGTTAAAGCCTATATAAGGCAACTGTTGTTCATTTGGTTTGGTTATCTTTCATTTGGTTTGGTTATCTTTCATTTTCTTTCTGCTTTCCTCTCATTTGTGTGAAAGTTGTGTCCTAATTAGGACGAAATTGTTTCTGTTTTTTATCGTCGCTTTTAATTCAATTGTCGATCTTGTGTGAAAATTGCTCAAGTGAGAGTGCTCAAGTGCTCAAGCCCAAAGATTCCGAGTCAGTCGGCTATTGAATAAAGTGTTTTAGTTCAAGTGAGATCAGATATCTCGAAACAAGAAATAACGTGTCTTGAGTGAAGAGTACCAAGCACGCGAACAATATTTCTTTACACTTGTAGACTGAATATTCTGCTGAATATTCTGATGCTGCCACATAAAGCTATCCAGTCAGTAGAAAGCAAATACCGTTTGGTGCTAAATTTAGCTAAATGCGTTGGTGAACCGGTTGAATTTTGCAAAATGAAAATTTGCTAAACGTAAAAACTCGCAGCAAAACTCGAGGTTCACCAAAAAAGTTTGATGGGCTAAAAAATTTTCCTGATCTAGCAGACCCTAATCTGAATGTCAATCATTTTACCGATAAGCCGCGGATCCACGATAGCTGTCAGCAAGTTGAATGTGCAAATCAGCTAGTTTAACCTAAAAACTTTCGATAAAAAACTTTCTGAAACAGTTACCGGATCGTTCTTGGCCGGAATGAGAGCACTAGTCGCTTCGAGGACACCACGGAGTTGCTTGACAAGCTCCTGAATGGTAATAACTGTAAGCTATAACTATTTTACTGTCTGGTTACTGTATTACTACAAATTTATTAGAAGATACATTAAAATATGCGGTTCGAGTCTTACAATATACAGTTGGAGTCTACAGAAGCTAAAAGAGAGCTTAAAAGAGAAGCTGATACCACTTACTTTTACAGCACTCTCAAATGGTCCACTCTTCTTGTCATCTCTTGGAATTAAAGATTCAAGGCAGCCAAGGCCTCGCTCAAATCTGAAATTGATTTTAAACAAACTTTGCGAACAATTGATTGCGACGATTGAATTTTACAGCTCTTTTAAAGCCTTTGCTCACCTTCCCAAACATCCTGACAATCCCTGTTGTGAGCCAAGTAATCTTGCCAGTGCTACACCCGCTTGACTGCCTGGTCTGCCCAATCTTTCAGCTGCTTGAATCTCTCGTTTTGCTATTCCATTCACTTTTGACAATGGAGCCACCGAGTGAGATAGAGCTTCGTTGGCTAAAATCGATTCTTACGAAATTCTTATGCATAAATCAATCCCGTATTTTCTCTAATAGTAGTGCACCCTTAGCGTCGCCTAAATTCCTCGAAATCTCGAGAACCGCTTATCAGAACCTATCGATGTGGGGTCGGAAAATGTAGCTGACGATGAGATCTAGTGGGGGATTAGCGTGTTGAGCTTCTGTGAAAGCTTGGAAACCGTAAAATAGTCACCAACTCGGATCCTAGCATCTGTAAGCCAGGCCAGGTCAGAGTCCAAGTCTAGATACTTAAACAAGGAATCTTGAAAAGCGCTTATCAGAACCTATCGATGTGGGGTCGAAACATGTCGCTGACGATGAGATCTAGTGGGGGATTAGCGTGTTGAGCATCTGCAAAAGCTAGGAAGCCGTAAAATAGTCACCAACTCGGCTCGCCGGGGTGCACTACTATTAGAGAAAATACGGTAAATCAAGAATCAAGAATCAAAAATCTCTTTAACATACCTCTTTCGAAATTCAATATTACTGAAAAATATAATTACAGTTTTTGATTTACACTCACCAAGTGCTGCTTGTGCCGTTTCATAGCCGGCTCGGAGTACGAATTGAAGCAATGCAGCGGCTGATGTTTGAATACTGCTCAATCGGGAGGCCATCTGGAATTAGGTTTTTGATCTTGATCTGTAAAGCTAAACTAGAAGCAGTTAATTAACACAAAACAAACTTGAAGCAATAACTTCTCGATTAGCAACGAAAGTGCGTCAAGAGATCCTGTTTCGAAGAGGCGAGGACGGAACTGAACACAAAGCTCATATTGTAATTGAGGTTTTTGAAAAAGCTTTTGCTGTATTTGTCTAGAATTTGGTTGCTAGAAAAATAGAGCTTCAAATAGAATTTTCTAGTGTACTATATTGGACATTTGATCCGGGTCCCGCCCCCTTGCCATTGGCAATCTAACTTTGAGCTCCAATATCTAGGAGTTGAACAGTCCAATTCATATATTTGAGTTCAAAGTTAGATTGCCAATGGCAAAAGGGGCAGCACCCGGATCAAATGTCAAATCACCTAATAATGCTAACAATGTCATGCACAATTTGTTACCAGATTGATAAACGCTCCCAGTGAGGCCAACGTGTTCAGCCGAACGGTTTCCGGCCAATGAAGGTCTAACAGGTTGAGATGGATTGTCAACAGATATCGGAATCGTTTCTCCCACGTTGAGGAAGTGTTCGCACCGTGCCATTTACCCTGAAAACGCAGTTAGCCTTTCAAAATCTTCATTTCAAAGTCTCACAAGAGCAAGTGATCTCTTTGAACTTTCCCCTTTTTGAACTTTTGAACTTTCCCGCTCTAAAGGCACATCCACATAAAGTTTCAAGTTTTCACTTACAGCTAACTCTCTCAAAACGGTGTCCATCGTGTCGAGTACAATCATTGCGACTTCTTGGCTGAACAGATTTCTTTCCAAAGTCAAATTTCCTTTACTACCTCAAGTTCAAGATTTGCAATGCACCAAATGGAAGTGTGCTTTTGGTGTCAAAATCTAAATTTTTGATTTATAAGCTGTGATTTTGTAATCAGACTAGACATGAGCGCTACAAACTACAAGCTCGGCCTAAAAACCCTTGTAGAAACGCGTAGAATAGAGATTTTTCAAAACTTTTTTTACCAAAAACTTGAGGCAACTTTAGGCTTTCGAATGAAAGCAAACTTTAAAAAAATCCATCATCCGAGAACGAGCTATTTATAACCGTTTGTAGTTTGTATTGAAACGAGACTACAAACCTGGAAAAAAACGTGAAATCTCAGCAAATAGAACATGATTTCGCCTGGTTTTGGTGTCATTCAAAAGCTTAAAGTTCACTCAATTTTTTTGGTAAAAAAAGTTTTGAAAAATCTCTATTCTACGTGTTTCTACAAGGGTTTTTAGGCTGAGCTTGTAGTTTGTAGGGCCTTTGTTTCTGAGCTTGTAGTTTGTAGGGCTTTTGTTTCTGAGCTTGCAGTTTGTAGGGCCTTTGTTTCTGAGCTTGTAGTTTGTAGGGCTTTTGTTTCTGAGCTTGCAGTTTGTAGGGCCCTTTGTTTCTGAGCTTGTAGTTTGTAGGGCTTTTGTTTCTGAGCTTGCAGTTTGTAGGGCCTTTGTTTCTGAGCTTGTAGTTTGTAGGGCTTTTGTTTCTGAGCTTGCAGTTTGTAGGGCCTTTGTTTCTGAGCTTGTAGTTTGTAGGGCTTTTGTTTCTGAGCTTGCAGTTTGTAGGGCCTTTGTTTCTGAGCTTGTAGTTTGTAGGGCTTTTGTTTCTGAGCTTGCAGTTTGTAGGGCCTTTGTTTCTGAGCTTGTAGTTTGTAGGGCTTTTGTTTCTGAGCTTGCAGTTTGTAGGGCCTTTGTTTCTGAGCTTGTAGTTTGTAGGGCTTTTGTTTCTGAGCTTGCAGTTTGTAGGGCCTTTGTTTCTGAGCTTGTAGTTTGTAGGGCTTTTGTTTCTGAGCTTGCAGTTTGTAGGGCCTTTGTTTCTGAGCTTGTAGTTTGTAGGGCTTTTGTTTCTGAGCTTGTAGTTTGTAGGGCTTTTGTTTCTGAGCTTGCAGTTTGTAGGGCCTTTGTTTCTGAGCTTGTAGTTTGTAGGGCTTTTGTTTCTGAGCTTGCAGTTTGTAGGGCCTTTGTTTCTGAGCTTGTAGTTTGTAGGGCTTTTGTTTCTGAGCTTGCAGTTTGTAGGGCCTTTGTTTCTGAGCTTGTAGTTTGTAGCGCCTTTGTCTCCCCACCTTCAAAACCATCAAACGTTTGAAAGTTTCCAAATGAGCTTAACGAGGTTGGACGCATCGTGTTTCGATTTTTATAGCTGAAAATTTGATTTTAAGTTTTCACATTAAGATTTTAAGTATTTTCAAATTAAAATTTAGCAATTAAACCACAAACCTATTCGTGGAGAGCGGTTGATTCCGAGTCTTGTAGCTGAACACTTCTAAGCTTAATTCCAAGAGTCTAAAATTATATATTACTATTGCAGTTGTTAACGAGATGAAATTTGGAAATCCTTGAAATGCTTTAAATTGAATTTAAAGTACCTCAAAAACTTCATCGAATCATTCTCCTCATACTCCGACCAGAGCAATCCAAGAATTCTAACCGGCAAGCGATGGATCACCCAGAGAACAGAAACCAATAAATCTTTCACTTCTTCCTAAAAGTATTATAATAATATAATATTTTCATAAAGTATTAAAGAAATCTATTGGGTTGTCCAGTTATGAATGCGCGTTTTTACTATTTTGTAAATTTCTCAAGATATCGGACAGATGTATATGAGTGTTATATACCATTCGAAAGCTGAAGATCTCCTCTATATTTTCGAATAAAAAAGTTTTTGAATTCATTCAACTTTTTGGGAAATTGACTGCACAAAGGGAGAAGTCGTTTTCGAAAAAAAACCCATTCCAGCTTAGCTATTCCTCAAGTTTTATGGTGTAAAATAGCCGCCCAGAAAAGAAAAGTAAAGATGCTCTGAAATTGTTATATTTTTTAAAAAGTTGTATTGATATATCTATTGGCCAAACATCAAACGGTTAACTCAATTTGAGCGGAGCCAAAACTTGATCCAAAGGCACCCTTCCATTTTTTGGCCACCTCTTCTTCTGTGCAGTCAATTTGCCCAAAAGCTGAACAAATTCAAAAACTTTTTATATCAAAGTGTAGAGGAGATCTTTAGCTTTCGAATGGTATATAACACTCATATACATCTGTTCGATATCTTGAGAAATTTACAAAATAGTAAAAAACGCGCATTCATAACTGGACAACCCGATATTTGCTTTTCACTAACCACATCTAGCTTTTCAGTGAGCGGAGCGATTTGTGGTGCGTTCTCACGGGCACTCGTTTGTAAGTAAGGACCATTGGCTCGGAGTGTCTAAAATTTAATTTTAAATCTTCAAAGTTGTGTTCAAAGTTCAAATTTAAGTGTACTTGCTTTTTTTTCTTCTATTCAACTTTATCTTTAACTTTAAAAAGCATGAGTAACTTTTACTCGATTAATCGACGTTTTTCGTTGACTAACTCCGAATAATCCTCTTTACCCGTCGAGTAAATTGAATATCTTTACATTTGAAGGGGATTTGCCACCCCAAAATCAGTTAAACAGCTGAATTTCTTTAAAAAAGTCGTATATAAGGCGACACTCGTGATTTTTTGCGCCTTTATCTCTATGTACGACTTCTGTTAAAGAAATTCAGCTGTTTAACTGATCTTGGTGGCAAATTCCCTTCAAATATAAAGATATTCAATTTACTCGACGTTTAAAGAGGATTACTCGTAGTTACTCGACGTTTAAAGAGGATTACTCGTAGTCACTCGACGTGTAAAGAGGATTACTCGTAATTACTCGACGTTTAAAGAGGATTACTCGTAGTCACTCGACGTGTAAAGAGGATTGCTCGTAGTTACTCGACGTTTAAAGAGGATTACTCGTAATTACTCGACGTTTAAAGAGGATTACTCGTAGTTATTTGATGAAAAACGTCGATTAATCGAGTAAATATTACTAATGCGAATCTTACTCGAGTCACTATTGGGTTGTTGAGTTGAAAATAATACAGTTTTAAAACAAATTTGATTCAACAACAGGAACTTAAGCTAATCCAAATAGTGTCCATTATTTTTGATAATCTTTTCCCATTTTTCTGGCAGTTCCCGAATCCCCTTCTCGTCAAAAGTCTTACTTATTTAGGAGGAACACACTCTAGTCTCGACTTTTGCTCACCTCAATTGTGATGACACTTCGACGATCGAGCGAACGCCATTTCGCTGAAGCAAACCAGCCTAAAGATTACTTGAAATCAAGAGAACCAAGAAATCTACAGTATCTAAACTTTGTCTAAACTCTGTCTAAACTCTGTTTAACTTTTTTAAACATAGTAATACCTTCATCATGCGTCCTTTCAACAACAGTCTCCAAATCTGTTAGATGATCGATTGCAAAGCGAAGAATCGGAGTGTAAAGAACAGCAATGCGACGTTGAATATTCTGAAAAACGTTTGAATTTGAAAATTTTCCCGTTTCCGATCCGACCGTTTCCGCATATCGATTGTCAATGCTGTGCTTTGCGAGGAGATTTCTCACGAGTGAAATCGGCTTTCTTCGATAGTCTCGGGATTCTCGGAGACACTCGTAAAGCTCCTATAATTATTGTCTTAGCGGAAATTTGATTATTATATTCTAAATAACAGCAACTAGCGTAAAAACTTTAATAGAAGCCTCTCTAATAAAAGCTCTTCCCTCTGATCCCTCGAAATATCGATTTTTTTGGGAAATTTTTTTGACGCAAATAGAGAATTGGGCATAAATAAGGCAAAACTATAATCGGCAGTAAAATTGGTTAAACAGTTTTGTCAGTAAACAAAAAATGTCAGCTCTCGAGCTAAACTGGAGTTACTATTGTTATTGTTGAATGATTTGTCTATACTTATGTGATCTCCCTTGTGCTTTTCCCTTTCATCGCCGAGAAGGGACAGTCCTTGGGATTGCCTAAGAGGACAAGTGAGGCTCTCACTTGGAAAAGTGAGGCTGGAGTTACTATTGTTATTGTTGAATGATTTGTCTATTCTTATTTGATCTCCCTTATGCTTCTCCCTTTCATCGCCGAGAAGGGACAGTCCTTGGGATTGCCTAGGAGGACAAGACTCTCACTTGGAGTCCCCCCTTTTCCTTTCACTCATTCGCAATCTATTCGTCTTATCGTACTACTGTAAATAAAGATACATATCTTCCGGGTCTATGCAACTGGAGTTCAGGTCGGTCGGTCGGTCATTTCCCAGGGACTCCCCTCTAATAGGTTGGAGGAGTTGAGTAGGGTTGTCGGAGTGTTAGAGATGGCAGGATATCAAAGGGGGTTTACTCTCTTTAACTTAACTCAAATTCTAGTCCATATCCGTTTACTCCTAAGAACAAACAAAAAAGAATTTTTTGGAAAAAACCGACAGAAGGACTCAGAGATTTTCAGAGATAATTTCTGGAGGCTCCGGGTAAGAAGGTAAAATATTTTTTATTCTAAAACGTCTTTTACAAACGTTATAAGCCAAGGGCTATTGTTTAAAAGAGTTTTTGAGAACAAATAAATCCTTGATTCATGTGAGAGACTCTATTTTTTTTAGTCGACCAATTTTGAGAGGTTGAAAAATAGAAGCCCTTCTATTAAACTTTTTACTTTTAGCTATTCAATTTTGAAATCACTTCACCTGAAACAAGATTCCGATAGGGAAATGACGATTGCAGTATCCTTCACTCAGCCAGAACTCTTCCAGACAAAGAGCGTCTAAAATTTTATTGGGGAACTCGTTTTGGTTTCAATTTTAATGCTAAAAACCTAACAGTACAACTAATTTTTAGCGTTAAAAATGCTAACAATAAGCCCTTACATCGATCCATTTCATTCTGTTCTCCAATTGATGGCGTTTGAAAGAGTTGAGTGATGAAACGAGAAAGGAAACCGGCGGTGTTACCTAGATTTGTTGAACTTAATAGTTGGAAGTTGAAGCTCTGGTTTAGCTCTGGTTTAGCTCTGGTTTAGCTCCGTTTAGCTCTGGTTTAGCTCTGGTTTAGCTCTGTTTAGCTCTGTTTAGCTCTGTAAACCAAAGCTAAACCAAGGTATACTAAGGCTAAAAACTATGCAAAGCTAGGTTCAATAAATCCAGTCGAAGACTTTCCATTCTTACCCGCATTCACTGTTGTAGCATCTTGCGCATTGCTCTGATAGTTTATCCGTTGAATCGTGTTTTTTCGATCCATCAACGTTGGCAATGAAAGTGGGAGAAAGTGCTCGTGTTGACAGACGATTGACAAGAGATCCAATTTGAACTCTCTCATTATCTGAAGATGAACTTTCAGCTTTCAACTTTCAGCTTTCAACTTTCAGCTACATACGAACTCACCCTCAAGTCCGATTCATCTAATTTGAGCACAGTGAAATGCATCCACCGAAAGACGGCTCCTCGATCAATCAATGAGAGACAACACTAAAAATGATTGATTTTTGGGTTTAAAGATTTAAAGAAGAGGTCTAAATTGAGAAAGATTCTCAATAAAATTAAATTCTCAACGCTTGCTTGTAGTAAAATAACTTTTTTGATGATTTTATGTAGAAATTACTAAATTAAATCTGTTTTTCAGTTAAATCTTGAGTGTTTAAGCTAGTTTTAGTTTAGAGGAATCTAAAATTTGTAGAAAAACTATAGACAAAGAGGCAAAGTTTCTTACTAAAGATTTGGGTGACACCTGAAAAACGGGAAAGCGTTGTAGATGGTCTCAAATAAAGATATTTAGCTTTAAATTTGAACCTGAGGGTTTTCGAGGTCGGGGAATCAATTCGAGCTATTCATTTTATTGAGTTTATCAAGCGGAACTCGGGTTTAGTTGGTATAAACACTTAGATTAGTGAGAATTAGTCCTAATTCGGTACTAATTCAGATCCCTTCTTTAATCAATACCTTGTAGAAATTTGCCAGCGCTGTATTTGCTAGTCGACTCTCATCGGGGAACTCTTTGTGCTTTGCGATCATCTGAACAATTTTGATTTCGACTTATTCTCGTCACTCACCAATGGGATCAGTGTCTCGACGAAGGCCGTGATTTGATCGATCAATTCACCAGGCACCCGCTCGTTTCTTGGATTCTAAACAGTTCTTCAATTTTAATTTTATTTTTCATTGTTAATTTTAAAGTTTAACTCCTCATAATTCTGGTTATGGTTTCAGGAATTGATTCCCCAATTGGCTATGTGGACAGGATTCTGTTTGTTTAGGAAAATGTTTCAGTTTGTGTCGTTCTATGCCCAAAATGATCAGGCGACCCAGGAATTGATCCCCATTACCTTGTATGCAAGGCTGGCAAAAAAGCCGAAAGCCATTCTAGCCAAGCCAAAGCCAAAGCCAAAGCCAAGCCAAATCCAAAGCCAAGCCAAGATCCAAGCCAAGCCAAGCCAAAGCCAAAGCCAAAGCCAAAGCAAAAGCCAAAGTCAAAGTCAAAGCCAAGCCAAGTCCAAAGCCAAGCCAAGATCCAAGCCAAGCCAAGATCCAAGCCAAGCCAAAGCCAAAGCCAAGCCAAAGCCAAGCCAAATCCAAAGCCAAGCCAAATCCAAAGCCAAGCCAGGATCCAAGCCAAGCCAAAACCAAAGCCAAAGCCAAGCCTAAGTCAAGCCAAAGCCAAAGCCAAGCCAAAATCCAAGCCAAGGCCAGCCACTTTCCATTGGCCTTGTCCTGGAATTTCAGGACAAGGTTTTCCTTTAGTTTCCTTAAACTCCTTACAACCAGAGTACGAGAAATGAAGTCCTGCGGTTTGTTCCTTTTGAAAATCAGCAAAATGAATTACCGTTGGACTAATTTTGATCTAAAACCTTAACTCTAACTTGACCTGTAAATTTGACTTTTTTGCCAAACCTGTTTATGTGTAAGTTTTGGTTTTTCAGAATCCCGGTGATTTGGAGTTCAGCTTGATTTTTTGATCTTTTCACTGACCTTGAAATGCCCCATTCTCATGATGAACTGAGCCATCGTCTTCGAGATGACATCAAGGAGAAACCACATTTGCCGGAAAACCGATGCCAGCTCTTCGATAGATCCGACACGTTGAAGCTAAAGCTTTGTAAGTTGAAGAAGTTTGTAAGTTCTTTGTAAGTTCTCAAATAAAGCTAAAGCTTTATATCTTTGAGAGCTTTTCTTGAAACTTACGAAAGCCGGCAAATATTTGACAATTGCATTGTGAATGCTCTCTTCACCCTTGTCAAGCTCATCGCAATGAATTCGAAGGAATTTTCGTAGAAATCTTCGATGTCCAGATGCAACTAATCTTTCACAAATTGCGACAAGTGAGCTGAAATTTTACTGAATAAAAGAAAAAAACTTTAGATAACTTTAGATAACTTTAGATACCTTAAAGTTGAAATGGCCAATGAGTTAGTGGATGAAAAAGGCAAAAGGTAGAGTAGTCTTCTAAGAAGAACCGGTAGATATGGAAGGAGTTGAGCTGTGTCAATCGCACAAAGGTTCTAAAGTTGATATACTGTTACTCTATTCACTCGTGTTGTTCTAAAACCATTTTTTCCGAGTCAGCGCCGGGTTTCTGTGCTTTAGTTAGCTCTAAAAGGTGATTGCTTGGCAATCCGATCGAAAACTAGATCTTGCGTTCCAACCTTCCATAGTTAAAAGCCAAGATTTCGTATGCTTAGCTTTAAAAAGCCCAAAGCCCAAAGCCCAAAGCCACTTCCAGGACTTTGCAAGTCTTATTAAAGGACTTTAAACCGAGAGAAAGCTTCACCTGGCTTCACCTGGTTTCACCTGGCTTCACCTGGCTTCACCTGGCTTCACCTGGCTTCACCTGGCTTCACCTGGTTTCACCTGGTTTCACCTGGCTTCACCTGGTTTCACCTGGCTTCACCTGGCTTCACCTGGCTTCACCTGGTTTCACCTGGCTTCACCGTTAGTTAGAGTTAGTTCTTGGTCACGATTACAGCCCGTTTAAAAAATCTTTGATTCGAGCACTAGTACTGATTTTTTTAAAGATTTGATTACTTGTAAACGAGTTTCAAGTTCTCGATTGATTTGTCGATCATTGTCCGGTGCTCTGGCTAGTGGTGAGCAAGATCTTGGAGAATCGGTTGACTAGAACTTGTTTTTAAAAATTCATCAAGAAGATGATGATTAGAAAAGCTGACCTTTGTTGTGCTAGTACTCATCTCATCGCTGGAGAATTTGTTGAATTTCTCGCAGGCCTAGAAAAGAGTTATAGTTTAGTTTGACAAGCAGTTCACGATAAGGTTTTTGATCTTTGTGTAAGTTCTTCCCCTTCCAACTCGTCTAAATCGATTGTCTGTGAACGTTTTTAGAAAAGCTGAAAGGGAAAGAACTTGCAAAACCTCTTCAAATGTGTTAAAGATAAAATTTCGAAGAGCTAATTGAATAAATGATTTTTTATTTGATATTTTAGCAATGAGAATATGATTTTAAAAGCCATTCTTATGGTTAATACCTGGAAAAACGTGTGCAATTTGGGTTCCGTTGTAAAAGCTGATGAAATAAGTCGTAATCGGATGTTGAAGAGTGGTTTTGCATCAACCCATTTAATGTCTAAGCCTTCCTCCTGAAATTGAATGTTTAAAACCAAAAGCGGAATGGATAAGTGCTAACCTTTACTGCAGCTGATGGGAAATAGTTGTAGTAGTTTGATGGAAGATCGACAGCCACCGGTAGATTGAATTCCTGTTCAAGCTTTCTTTAAAGAATTGTTGAACTTTCTACCTGTTCTTCTGACTCCAAAGTAAGCCGATCTTTCTTTGTCAATAGCGGTAGCCAAGCATATCCAACGGGACTTTCAAGAGACTAAATTTTTGATTGGTTTTATCAAGAACAAGAGTGTCCCACTTCTGATGGACTCTTTGCATTAGTGACACCGGCTACAGAGATGTGAGAAAATGAGAACAAAAGGTGATCACAGGATTCGAGTGAAAGTGGAAGTCGCATTTTGATTTCCTCACAGAAAGTGGGATATTGTTGATGATGTTGGACACAGCAATGGCCTTGTGAAAGGAAGGGACCGTTCACGGAGAGACGATCAATTATTGCCTAAAGGAATTGCTCTGATGGACTATGTGAATTGAAATTTAAAGTAAAATTCAATCACAAAAGCTTGTTTCTTACAGTGCTTTTATTATAGCCCACTACAGTCCTTTTCTTGTCTACTATAGTACCTTTTTATAGCCTACTACGGTACTCGAATGTTCTGCAAGAGTACTCTAATGTCCAGTACTCTTAGTGCTTACTACAGTATTCTTCGCATAGCCTACTATACTACCCTTCTTGTCCGCTACAATACTCACAAGGGAAGGGGCTGAGCCGGCCAAATGCTATGTGAGCTATACCATTCGACGAGAATTTAATACTGATTCCGAATTTGCTTTCCGGTTTGGTTAAAGACAATCCATCAGGAGTTATAAGCGTCTAGTTTTGTTAGGACTCTAAAATGTGGTCATTTGGTGGCCCCCTTGTGTCCTAGCAGCCTCCATGTGGTCTTGATTCAGTGCAGCCGTGGCTGAGTGGTACAGGGCTCGTTTCAGAGCGAGTTCGATCCCCACTTTTTGATCTTTCTTTGACTTTTTTGAAAAAGTGCTGACTAGTGCATATTTCTTATTTCATATTTCATATTTCTTGTTGGAGAAAACATAACTTCGAGAATTAAATTCAAAGAGAAAATTAAGCTAGATGCTTCAAATTAATCCAAGGGGGAGGTTACTGGCCTCCGTCCCGTGGGAACAGTTGATGGTGATTGATCAACATTACCTTTATATGGCTTTATATACGGAAAACAATGTGCTAGATGTGCCAGATGGAATGCGATTGTACGCGCGCACAAAGAACACTAGTCAGCACTTTTTTAAAAAAAGCAAAAAAGCCAAACAGGGGAACGAAATTGCGAGGCCCCGCTCTGGAGACGAACGCTGTACCACTCAGCCACAGCTGCACTGAATTGAGTCCGCAAGGAGACCACTAAGTCCCAAATGATCGCATTTTCAGCTTTAGACAAACACAAAGCTTTAGACGCTTATAACTCCTAACAGATTCTCATTAAACAAAAAAGGAATATAAATTCGGAATCAGCATAAAATTCTGCGCCGAATGGTATAGATTGCATAGCATTTAATCGGCTCATTTGGCCTTCCCTCGTCAGTACTATTTTTGTCTACTATTGGGTTGTCCAGTTATGATTGCGCGTCGTTTTTTACTATTCTGTAAATTTCTCAAGATACCGAAATCAAGAAAAAGATATATATGAGTATTATTCGAAAGCTGAAGATCTCCTCTACATTTTGATATAAAAAGCTTTAGAATTTGTTCAGCTTTTGGGCAAATTGATGGCACAGAAGAAGAGGTGGCCAAAAAATGGAAGGGTGCCTTTGGATCAAGTTTTGGCTCGGCTCAAATTGAGTTAACCGTTTGATGTTTGGCCAATAGATATATCAATACAACTTTTTTAAAAATATAACAATTTCAGAGCATCTTTACTTTTCTTTTCTTTTTTGGGCGGTTATTTTACAACATAAAATAGCTAAGCTGAAATGGTTTTTTTTTTGAAAACGACCTCTCCCTTTGTGCAGTCAATTTCCCCAAAAAGTTGAATGAATTCAAAAAGTTTTTTATTCCAAAATGTAGAGGAGATCTTCAGCTTTCGAATGATATATAACACTCATATTAATCTGTTCGATATCTTGAGAAATTTACAAAATAGTAAAAACGCGCATTCATAACTGGACAACCCAATACAATACATGCTTGTCTACTACAGTACCCTTTTTATAGCCTATTACAGAACTATGCTTGCCTAGTACAGTAATCTTTTTATAAATTGATTATAACACTCTTGGATGAATGCTAAAAATTATCCAAAGCATTAGGTTTTTCACTTTTTTTCTGTTAGTCCTTTTGCTGTGAAACGGCAAAAGATAAAACTTTACAGTAACTTAATTTATCTTTGCATTTCTTATAGTAGTACGCTCTAACTCCTCCAGATGGAGTACTCCTCCAAATCCCCAACTCACTCCATCCATCACTTGCCCAGCACGCATGTACTTCACCGAACAAACAATGTTTCTCGCTTTCCCGAAAACCTTTTGATTATCATATCTAAAGTTTTCTTTAGAATTTATTGTTATTTCAATAAACTTTAATCTCAATGGATACACATAGAGTAGATTGACAAGATCCGAGTATGGCTCGACTGTTTGATTGCCGAATGATTGGAGATAAAAGACGGGTAATGATGGGGAATCTTTTGGCGACTTCCAAGGTCTCAATGGTAGAAGAGATGGCGAGACACGGACTAAAACTTTTGAAATTGTTATTAGGTTAGCATTTCGTAGAGAAGTTTGCACAGTGATTTCTCAAAAAAAGAAGTTATGAATTCTTCCCAAACTTTTCTGATAAACTTGACTATATTTCAACGATAGCCCAGGCTCCAGGCAAAAAATAAAAGATTTTTTTAAGCTGAAGTGACTTGATCACTTTTTGAAATCTCTAAAATTTTGAAAAGCTGCACTCATTTTTTGCAAGTAATTTCTTGAAGTCGATTTGTAAAGAATAGCCAAAATTTTCTCGAATTGGTGCATTCATTTCATTCTATTGGGTTGGTGAATTGAAAACTGCCGGCTATTGTCATATGTCACAGTTTGAGCACTTTCTTCAAAAGAAACCCATTTTGGTGTCAATGGAAAAGTTGTAGAGAAACCAAAAAATTAAGCTTATATCCAAATTTTCAGAACGATTGAAAAACTGGTTTTCAAGAAATGCCAAATTTACGAATTTTCACAAAACTTGCATTTTAAGCGAAACTACTAAGTGTATCTTTTTGGAAATTCGGCTATAAGGCTAATTTTTGATTCTCTACAACTTTTCTATTGACACCAAAATGGGTTTCTTTTGAAGAAAGTGCTCAAACTGGGACATCTCCAGTCCTCCATTTTTGAGTCTCACACTTGTCTCACACACAAACCAAAACCCTACTACGTCGGCGGTCCTTACAAAAATTTCAGCGCTTATAACTTTTGACAGAGTGCTCCATAGCAAAAACAGAAAGCAGATTCGGATTCAGCGTGTAATTCTGCGTCGAATGGTCTATGATCATTTGATTTGACTACATCCAGTTGACCATTTCAGTTGACTTTTCCATTCTCTTGTTAGATTCTCTACAACTTTTCTATTCACACCAAAATGGGTTTCTTTTGAAGAAAGCGCTCAAACTGGGACATCTCCAGTCCTCCATTTTTGAGTCTCACACTTGTCTCACACACAAACCAAGATCCTACTACGAAAGAGGAATCCGCAAATTGCCTGTAAAATGGGCAGAAGTCGTCAATAATAATGGAAATTATTTGGAATGAAATTATGGTTTTATGTTGAATAAATTTTGGTTCAAAGTTCGGCAGTTTACAATTCACCAACCCAATAGTTCAAATCGTTTCAAACCTAATAGAAATATTAAAAAGTTTAGTCTCAATTTTAGCTAGATTAAAGTATTCTGTGGAAATATAATTCATAGAGAATTTTTGTACTTACACGGAAGTGTCTCGACTTTTGGACTGAACTCCACAGAGATCGTGATCGATGCGCCCGGAATGGTCAACTTGTTGATCTTTTCGAGTCTAGAATCTCAAAATCTTGAGACGAAATCAAAATATTACTTGGAGTATTCTTGTAAATGCTTTTGTAGATCAATTTCAGGCAATTTGTTTCCCTCACATCGAAATATTGGAATGGTTTCGAATTGAGTGGCTCCTATGCTGGTATCCAGGTAGAGTGGTCTGAAAATTGAGTATTTGGTTGGAATTTTAATCTTCTTCTATGAGAGGTGCGCTTCTATTTGAGTCTTCTATTCTATCTTCTTCTAGTCGTTTGGCTGAGTGGCTAGCAGTCTTGATTAACGTTTCAAAGAGCAAGGGTTCGATTCCGACTACAGAAAATGAACTTTAGAAGTGTTGAATAGAATAGAATTGAATTGAAAATGAACAAAGTGTTGATTAGACTCGTGTTCAAGCTTTTAAAACAAAGCAGGTCCAACAGGTATCAGTTTAAATGTTAAGTTGTCTTCTAAAAAGTATTGGGTTGGGGAGAATGAGTCGGCGCCAAACTTTAAAGGGACTTTTTGCACACATAAAGCCTTCTTTAAACATACGTTTGGTTTCATCAAAAGGATCCACTATTTCTCTACAAAATCACTTTTGAGAGATTCCACAAAGCTTTTCTTTCGTGGAGTTTATGAACTTCGAAACGCAGCTGGTTAAAATGGCTAAGAGTCCGACTCATCATTTGAACAGTTTCTTTCACATAAACCTTCTTTGGTGTTTATATAAAAAAGATAGAGCACATTCAATTACTTAAGTTGCCAAATTTGCAGGAAGATCCCACCAATGGTTTTTTCTAGATCACAGTTTGTAGTTTTTGTGAAAAAATGGCTTTTTCTTGAGCGGAGGCGCTGTTTGAATTTTCTTTTAAATGTCATTTTGTAGAGAATTAGTTAACCATTCTACTGATATCAAACGCATATTATTTGACGAAGTCGAATAGAAGTTTTAGACATTTTTTTGACTTTCGGCGCCGACTCATTCTCCCCAACCCAATAAAACAGTAAGCAGAATTACCTAGCAGCCCAGGCAAAACGAGCCCTAAAGGTGCCCAGCCTTGAGCAGGCAGCTGAAACGGTTTTCTGAAGCTTCAGCACAGCTTTCGGATCGGCTGTCTTCATGTAGAGCTCTCCCTAAAAGTATTGTTTGGCTTATTCTTTCGGAATGTTTTGTTTTCGATTTGATACCCATCAAAGTTTACCAAAGTAATGGTATTGGATTAGTGAATTGAAAACTGTGGGCTATTGTCATATGTGACAGTTTGAGCATTTTCTTCAAAAGAAACCCATTTTGGTGTCAATTTAAAGTTGTAAAGAATCAAAAATGAAGCTTATATCCAGATTTTCAGAACGATTCAAAAACTGGTTTTCAAGAAATGCCAAATTTACGAATTTTTACAAAACTTGCATTTTAAGCGAAACTACTAAGTGTATCTTTTTGGAAATTTGCCTATAAGCCTAATTTTTGATTCTCTACAACTTTTCTATTGACACCAAAATGGGTTTCTTTTGAAGAAAGTGCTCAAACTATGACATCTCCAGTCCTCCATTTTTGAGTCTCACACTTGTCTCACACACAAACCAAAATCCTACTACGAAAGAGGAATCCGCAAATTGCCTGTAAAATGGGCAGAAGTCGCCAATAATAATGGAAATTATTTGGAATGAATCTATGGTTTTGGGAATTGCTGGATACTGGGAGTTGCTGGATAGCAAGACGACCGTTAATGCAATCAAATACAGTGAACAGTTGGGAAAGGTGAATGAATTCCTGAAGAAGAATAGGCCCTCTAAGTCTAAGAATAGGCTCTAAGAATAGGCCCTCATTCTCATCCACGACAACGCGCGCCCGCATGTTGCAAAACTGACTCGCTCTAAAATAAATAGCCTTGTTTGGGAACTTTTGGCGCATTCCCCATACGGTCCGGACCTCGCCCCTTTTGATTACTATTTATTCCGGATCATGAGTAATGAGCTTGCGGGAGAACACTTCGATTCGGAGGAAGCAGTCAAAAATTAGCTCGAAAAGTTTTTCGATTCAAAACCAAAATCGTACTACGAAAGAGGAATCCGCAAATTGCCTGTAAAATGGGCAGAAGTCGCCAATAATAATGAAAATTATTTGGAATGAATTTATGGTTTTATGTTGAATAAATTTTAGTTCAAAGTCCGGCAGTTTACAATTCACCAACGCAATACAGGACATGACTTTTTACTAACCTGAACATCGGGACTCAATATCCGATCGATCCGCACGATAATCCAAATGTTTTTATTTTGTGACGGCAATGAGGAAATGATTTGCTTGGCCATTCCGTTTGTGATCAATTCATTCGGAATGCTGTTGACAAGACGCTTCGAGCCACTAAACACGAATTTAGTTACGAAGCAATAGTTTATAAAGAGCAAAATTTGAATTACAACAGTCTGGGTCTCGTTTTTCTCAACTCATGTTATTGTCCAAGTCAGATACTATATCAAATCAGTAGCCTGATTAACAATCCTTGCTTTGAATTGAATCCTAACTTACTTATTAGGCTGTTCAGAAAGTCTTTTTGTTCATTCTTTTGAAAAAAATAACAAATTCACCAATTAACCTATAGTTTACTCTAAATAAAAAGTGTTTATTGTTCAATATTTGTCCCATCTTTTAAGTCAATTTCGGAAAGCTGTGCTATAAAAATCTCTACGAAAAAATTGGCTGAATGGATTACTTTGAAGATTTGGCTATATATCTAACTTTTTATGCTCTATCTTTTATCTATTGAAACGAAGGTTTGCTTATGTTTAAAGTGTCTAAATCACATCATCGAGTCGACCTTTTTGACTACCCGACTTCAGGCTCCAAAAAAACTGACAAAAGACATATTAAACCCATTTTAATGTTATTTTGCAGAAAAATCCTTGACTTTTCTAATGAAATAAACCGTAGTTCAATTGGTGCATTTATTGGTTTTAAATAGAAGTGCGAAAAGAAACGAAAAGACTTTCTGGATAGCTGAGACTTCATTTGATACTTGTAGCGACTTTTTTGCTATTTTTCACCAAGCTTCTTTTAGATGGCAACAGACAAAACCACAATTCATTGGCTATATAACTCAAAATGCGCTCAAAATTTGTACATAATATTTCTAGAGAGCTTACCTTGGCCTTCTTTCCCGATTGATTTTCCACAAAGTGCTCAAATCATTCGAATTGAGATCAACGTGGAACTCTTCACTTGCTCGTTTCCCTGTCACCACATCGAAAAGAAACAATCGAAGAAAGAATGGCTCAATCTGAATAAAGTGAACATTTTTACAAGAGAATAGGACCATGTAACGAGGTCATAATCCGTTCATAGAGCTAGAGCTAGAGCTATCAGCTAGAGCTAGAGTATCAGCTAGAGCTAGAGTATCAGCTAGAGCTATCAGCTAGAGCTAGAGCTATCAGCTAGAGCTAGAGCTATCAGCTAGAGCTAGAGTATCAGCTAGAGCTATCAGCTAGAGCTAGAGCTATCAGCTAGAGCTAGAGTATCAGCTAGAGCTAGAGCTATCAGCTAGAGCTAGAGTATCAGCTAGAGCTAGAGCTATCAGCTAGAGCTAGAGTATCAGCTAGAGCTAGAGCTATCAGCTAGAGCTAGAGTATCAGCTAGAGCTAGAGTATCAGCTAGAGCTAGAGCTATCAGCTAGAGCTAGAGCTATCAGCTAGAGCTAGAGCTATCAGCTAAAGCTATCAGCTAGAGCTAGAGCTACAAGCTAGAGCTAGAGCTATCAGCTTGTCTGAGTCACTAGAAGTAATGAGCTTCAAATTAGTCAACGATTCTTTGACAAAATACAGTTCTTTTCATTGTAAAATGCTATTATATACAAAACCGAAAGCCAATTCGATTCTTGAGATTTTTTGAGATAAAGGATCAAAATAAAGTCCGTCAATAGGTTTTACGATCCTGGGGCCCGATTTTTAACATTAAATCTCATTTGGGAATCATTTACAGAACCAAATTAGGCAAAATTACAAAATTTGACTGGTTTTTGACTAAAATCATGGCTGATTTTGGCTCTCTCTCCAAACCTGTTCCATTTGCGTTGGCGAGATAGGCAATCGTAGATCAAAATTCTTCAGGTGAATCAAAAAACTCAATTGCCTTTCCTGGTTGAAGTTGACTTTTACACCGAAAATCACTTTATGCAAATTTGCATACAACTTTTAGTTTTACCACTAGATTTTGTCGGTGTTGAGATTGGTGGCTCATCGGGAGTGATCGGCTCATTCGAGAAATTGCTGCTCCACCTCCTCGGCGCCATCAGAGTTGAGGTTTCACCTTTCGGCTCGATGAGTGGCTAAAGATGTTATTTTAATCATTAAGCTTTACAAACGATAAGTTCTATACCTTAAGAATTGAGTATTTTTACATTTTACCTTTAAAATTTTGTTTAACTATTGCCATATAATTTTACAAAATGAAAGTATTCAAGGGTTGAAATTGATTATTTTGAGCAATCATGCCCCTTACTGTAGACCAATACTGACTATGATTTTACTATTAGATCTTCGAGTTGAGCTACTTAATTGAATGAGATTTTAGAGTAGCAAAGGATCAACTAGTATTTGAGATTTGAACAATTGCAAAAAGTTTCTCTGTCTCACTGCAGTTCATGGTTATAAAAGTTTTGACCTTACAGGGTCTGGTAAAATTATGAAACGAATGCTTATTAATGAATTAAAAGTAGAAAATAAAGAGATTACTCCAAGTGTTATTTATCATTTGAAAGCTTGGCCCTTGCGAAGTTTCCGGGTGTTTTGAACGGGTCGTCATACTTTGAAGGCCTATAACTTTGTCTAGAAATAATACTTTTGCTAACCTTTTATATCATTGCACAGAGGACATTTTAGGCTTTCAAATGATATTAAATAGAGCTTAATTGGGTAATCCAATCCAAGAAAATCAGAGCCAACTTTAAGCAAATGAGGTCTATCCGATCTATCCGACGGTCTATCAGGCGTGTCGCCTTGTTTGAATGGGAATGAAAAATCCAATCAAGGTCTATTTAATATCATTAGAAAGCCTGAAATGTCCTCTGTGCAATGATATAAAAAGTTAGCAAAAATATTATCTCTAGACAAAGTTATAGGCCTTCAAAGTGGGCGACCCGTTGATAATACCCGGAAACTATGCAAGGGCCGAGCTTTCAAATGATAAATAACACTTGGAGTAATCTCTTTATTTTCTTCTTTTAATTCATCAATAAGCATGCGTTTCATAATTTTGCTGGACCCTGTAACGTCAAAACTTTTATAATCATGAACTGTCGTGAGACAGAGCAACTTTTTACGATTGTTCAAAGCTCAAATACTAGTTGATCCTTTGCTACTCTAAAATCTCATTCAATTAAATGCTCAACTCGAAGATCTAATAGTAAAATCATAGTCAGTATTGGTCTACAGTAAGGCGCACGATTACTCAATATAATCAATTTCAACCCTTGAATACTTTAATCATGTAAACTGCAACTTATAACTGCAACAAATGATTTATAAGACTTGGAGTAATCTTTACATTTTCTTATTTTAATTTATCAATAAGCATTCATTCTATAAATCTTGCAAATCCATGCTTTGTAAACTTCAATTAAAACGAGTAGTGAAGTTATTAGCTTAACAACAAAATCTCATGATTCTTAATATTAAATCTAACTGCTAAAGACAAGAATTACCGTTAAATTACTGTAAAGAGCGAACAAATTCCTCCTTTCAACAATCGGTGGTTGAAGAGCGCGAATCGTTGTCGTTCGACCACGCCAGTAGCCACCGTCACGGTTTTGTGACCCTAAAAACTCTATTATTTATCCAATTCTAAACCTAAAAACCGTCTAAAACCCAAATTAAAATTTAAATGTTAGTAAAAAAGTAAGCTTCTAGGCTTGAAAAGGCTTGCCATTTGAATTCCGGAAAACTTTCGGTAAAAGCGATTTCTTTTTTTCTTTTTTCTGCTTTCTGTGTACTGGAATAGTTGGTTGGAATTGTAAAACTTTAAAATTAAATGAATATTTAATTGTTATCTGATATTAAAGCAATTTACCGCCACTATCTTCGCTGTGAATGCTTTCCGAATCAAGCGATGCGTCGTGTTTTCCGCTTTTTCCATCGTTTTCCGACAGAGATGGCTGTGATTTGCCGACTAAATGAAGAAATTTGCATAATTGTCAGGAAACCTTTTTAATTGAACTATTTAATATTAAATCCTTTTAACTCTTTTACAATCCTTTTCAATGTTCTAAGCGTTTTGTCGAAGCCCGTGAATAGTTTTTACAGAGTGTTCAGTATTTATGGCGACTTCTTTTTAGTAGATGAGCTCTCAAGCGCCAAATTCAACCCTAATTTCATAAGTCTTATATGAAATATTAAAGCCCTTAATCGGAAAGTGAAAGTGAAATCATTTATAAGTCTTAACTTGTCTAAGACATTGTAATATACAGAGGTTCAGTATTTACAGCGACTTCGCTTTGGTCGATTAGCTCCCAGACGTCAAGTTCAATTCGAATGTGTTAAGTGTTATATAAAATATTGAAGCCTTTAATCTTGGCTACAGTTATCTACTAAAATTTTCCCAATTGGAAATATACAACTCATTTTACAAGCTCTTGAATGAGTACTAGTTGGTCCCTGGTTGTGATTTTTCGCCATCAACTAGTACTCATTCAAGAGCTTGTAAATTGAGTTGTATATCTCTAATGGGAACACTTTTAATAGATAAATGTAGCCAAGCTTAAGGGCTTTAATATTTTCTATAACACTTAACACATTCGGATTGAACTTGGCGCTTGGGAGCTAATCTACTAAAAAGAAGTCGCCGTAAATACTAAACACTACTAAACACTCTGTAGATCTGTAGATTGGAGTTGAATTTTGAATCAAGAATTCATTTAATCTCTTATTTATTCTTTTTTCTATTTCCCCAACTCTTACCATCTTTGTCTTTGAGGGAAACGGCTAAATTCACAGCTGTGTGCCATTCCTCAAGCACACTCCCTCCATCGGAGTCAGCTGTAGTGAAACACATTGATCGGTCTTTCTCGTTACCGTCTTCTTCCAAACATTTTTGAATCTAAAGGATAGTTTTTAAGATCGGAACTCAGTGATGAGTCTGGTTAAACGGCTGAATCTGGTTAAACACGTGACTGCGCTATTGATTGTCAATGATGATTTAAAGAAAATACTTAGATATGCAAAGTTACGGTCGAACTTCGATAGAACGAACCGCAAGGAATCGACCAAAAAGTTCTTTATATCGAAGTATTCGTTGTATCAAAGGTCATTTTAAAGGAAAACTCTTTCTTGGGACCAAAAATAGTGTTATATCTATACTTTCAAAGTAAACTCTAGTTAAAGTAAATGATACTAGAAAAAAGATGAAAATTCTCCTTTTAAGTCACCTCTAAAAGTCCACTCTTTTAAAATCTTTTAATTTTGTGGAAAGATTCGAACAAAAGGAACAGCTACGAAAGCTACGAAGCTCCACCTCTTTTTCTGTGTAGATTTTTCATAGCTGCCCCTTTTGTTTGAAATTCCTTACGAAACTAAAATATATTCAGCTGAGTGGTCAAAGGGGATACTCTGAAAGTATAGTTATATCGATCATTTCGCTGTATTAAAGTTCGTTATCTCGAAATTCGACTGTATCTATAAAATCCCGATGCTTATTAACCCATTCGAAACCGCAGCGTTTTTTCTTTTTTTTTCGTCTACGGACCAAGCCTTTTTTTGACATTTTTGACTCCGAAGCAGTTTATTTATGGTTGGAAAAATGTAAGAGAGTCTCCTACACCATTTATTTTTGATGAAGATTTGACTTCAGTACTTTTCAAGATCCTATCGATTATTGTTCTTATTTTATCGACGACAATATTTTAGTAGGTGAATCTAATAAACATGGAAAAAGGATAACAAACTGGCAGGATTTCGATGCAAAATCTTTCAAGCTTTTCCTGGCTTCAAATGGGAATCGTCAAAATACCGAGGATTCGTGACTACTGGAGTAGTAGGCGTGGATTGGGAGGATTTTCCCACATGTCCCACAATATGTTAAGAGCAAAATTTGAATCCATTCTTCGAAACCTGCGTTTTTGTGATAATGAACTGGATCCTGCAGGAGATCGGCTTTTTAAGATTAAAGCTATTATGGAACATTTCAATGCAAAACCAGAGACCGCATTGATTCCGGGTAAATATGAAACATCTTTTTTGCCCACGTAATTTGTAGATCTGCTACAATTGGAATATACATGTAATGCTGAAAAACAGCAAAAAAAAGCAATTAATTGAATGAAAATAGCTCACTTAGGGCTGCAGCGAATAATCGCTGCAGCGGTCCGTTCCTGAGTTTTTGTTGCAGCGATTATTCGCTGCAGAAGTTTCGAATGGGTTAATAAATTTAGCCATAAGTTCCTTATTGATATTATTTTGTGACTATATTAAGTAAAAACTCTGCTCCAGAAGGGTATTACTATTGGGTTGGTGAATTGAAAACTGCGGGCTATTGTCATATGTCACAGTTTGAGCACTTTCTTCAAAATAAACCCATTTTGGTGTTAATGGAAAAGTTGTAGAGAATCAAAAATTAGACCTTATATCCAAATTTTCAGAACGATTCAAAAACTGGTTTTCAAGAAATGCCAAATTTACGAATTTTCACAAAACTTGCATTTTAAGCGAAACTACTAAGTGTATCTTTTTGGAAATTCGGCTATAAGCCTAATTTTTTATTCTCTACAACTTTTCTATTGACACCAAAATGGGTTTCTTTTGAAGAAAGTGCTCAAACTGTGACGTCTCCAGTCCTCCATTTTTGAGTCTCACACTTGTCTCACACACAAACCAAAATCCTACTACGAAAGAGGAATCCGCAAATTGCCTGTAAAATGGGCAGAAGTCGCCAATAATAATGGAAATTATTTGGAATGAATCTATGGTTTTGGGAATTGCTGGATACTGGGAGTTGCTGGATAGCAAGGCGACCGTTAATGCAATCAAATACAGTGAACAGTTGGGAAAGGTGAATGAATCCCTGAAGAAGAATAGGCCCTCTAAGTCTAAGAATAGGCTCTAAGAATAGGCCCTCATTCTCATCCACGACATCGCGCGCCCGCATGTTGCAAAACTGACTCGCTCTAAAATAAATAGCCTTGTTTGGGAACTTTTGGCGCATTCCCCATACGGTCCGGACCTCGCCCCTTTTGATTACTATTTATTCCGGATCATGAGTAATGAGCTTGCGGGAGAACACTTCGATTCGGAGGAAGCAGTCAAAAATTAGCTCGAAAAGTTTTTCGATTCAAAACCAAAATCCTACTACGAAAGAGGAATCCGCAAATTGCCTGTAAAATGGGCAGAAGTCGTCAATAATAATGGAAATTATTTGCAATGAATTTATGGTTTTATGTTGAAGAAATTTTAGTTCAAAGTGCGGCAGTTTTCAATCCACCAACCTAATAGATTTAAGACGTTATAGTTTAATGTTTTCGCTAGAATACGATAGTTTAAAACATACGGAATCCAGTACTTTGCACAAGTTCTTTTAAGGAACATTATCTGGTCTTAAAAATGATCTATTATCTAATAAAATGATACTAGAACAAAGATGAGAATTCTCCTTTAAGTCACCTCTAGAAGTCCACTCAACTCCACCCACCTCCAGAACAACTTTGTCTTTCTTCGAGCGTTTTACTTGAGCTGCGTTGACACGAATTGCTGGAGTTGTTGGTGTTAAAGAGGGTCCTTTTGAGATCTAAATTATTTGTTTAAAAAGAATTTCTCTCAAATTCACCTCAAACACAATTTCCCCATCCTTCAACTTTTTCAACGAGCAAAAACGTTTCTTTTCGGCTTTCAAGTTGTCAAGAAGAGTTGGATCGGTTTTCACAATGAGAAGCCATCCCTCTTTGATCGTGTCAGTCAGAGAAAAGCCTTCACGAGTCTGAAAATGAAAAATATTAGTTTATAAGCTGTTTATTCAACAATTTTTATGGTCTTTTATGTGCTAAAGCTGGTAACGCAAATCAATCAGTGCCGGGATTTGAACCCGCGATCATTCGCTTGCCTCGCTTGCCTCGCTTGCCGGGCGAATGCTTTACCAATGAGCTGACACGTATTCTAAAGCTCAAATGGAGCATTATGCCTTGCTTTATATCTACGCCGATATTATAGCTTTTTTATGACCCCAAAATCTTCTCCGATCTTGCTTCTTTCACTCACCGCTCTTGTTTCACTGGCCGCTAAATCCGACTCAAAAACCAGTGATGATAAAGCCATATCGCCATCGATAATCGAGCTAAAACATTTAAAAGTTAAAATATTAGATATCAACCTAAAACCTATCGACTATCGGACATTTGATACACGCACTGCCCCCTTGCCATTGGCAATCTAACTTTGAGCTCAAACTTTTTGGTGTTTAGCTGTCCAATTTCAATCTTCTTTGTATCATTAGATGCGCCAAGTTTTTCTCTGTTGATTGGTACAAAAACGATTTAAATTGGACAGCCCAACACCAAGAAATTGGAGTTTAAAGTTGGATTGCCAATGGCAAAGGAGGCGGGTCGCGTATGAAAGGTCTATCGCCCCGCCCCTTCGCCATTAGCAATCTAACTTTGAGCTCAAATTTCTTGGTGTTGGGCTGGCCATTTTCAATATTCTTGGTATCATTAGATGTACCTAGTCTTTCTCTGTTGATTGGTACAAAAACTATTTAAATTGGACAGCCCAACACCAAGAGATTTGAGCTCAAAGATAGATTGCCAATGGCAAAGGGGCGAGACGACAGACCTTTCATACCCGCTCCGCCCCTTTGCCATTGGCAATCTAACTTTGAGCTCAAATATATTTGTGTTGGGCTGTTTAATTTCAATATTCTTGGTATCATTAGATGCGCCAAGTCTTTCTCTGTCGATTGATACAAAAACTATTTAAATTGGACAGCCCAACACCAAGAAATTGGAGTTTAAAGTTGGATTGCCAATGGCATAGGGGGTGGGACGCTTATAACATATAACATAATCCCACAATCAAACCTATCAGATATCAGATCATAATCGCCAGAGAAACGAGAGTAATTCAATCGAAGCACGTTGTACGGTGCGGAATAGATCTAAAATGGTTAGATCAGTATTGAAATATTTGATTTGTTGTTAGTAAAAGAGTTTGTTGACTCAATATTCAAGAATGCTAACCCGTAATGCTTCTTTTGTCAACAACCATCTCGCTCTCTCAATATCCGACTCAACCGCCGATGGAACGTCGGTTTTCGGGATGACTTCACGAGTCGTTTGCTAAATTTAAAAGATAGAATCACTTTGTATCTTGCTCTAGTCAGAAATTTAAGCTCTAACCACTTTAACCAACCAATACCCTCAGAAAATGGACGTTGAACGAGAAAAAAGCAGATTTCTCGCTTTTTATGCATCATTATGCCCAAACTTCTAGAAAACTTCTAGAAAAATCTTTGGCTCCAAATTTGGCTGTATTTTTTTAGAAAATTGAGAGAGCAATCAGTCTTGATTTGAGCTTCTTGTCTCTTGATTTCCTTAGAATTCTGTGGCGGTTACTCATTCAAAACCCCGGAAAACGGAAAAGAGCAATAGTATTAAATTCTCAGCTTCTTTATTCCGTATATGCTGAGCTGAATAAATCTTCATCTCGAGCTCTCGAAGCATCAACTAATAAAAGGCGACATTTGGGCTCTTACTCGCCCTCTTTGGGATGAATCATTTTGGGTTGGTTGGAGAATGAAGAAAAATCATCTATCATTTAGGATCTGTAAGTTAGCTCAGAGCCAGAACCAGACCAGGTCAGGCAGAGCTAAGCAAGATATCTAAAAGGAGACTGCTCAAGGCATTAAGACCTAAAAAGAGAAAAAAGAAAATCAGCTAGCGGACTCGAGCCAGGAACCACTCGCATTGCGCCCAAACTCGCTACCACTCGGCCATTGCTGCAACTGCGAGGGTCGAAGACAGGATTGTAACCTCGCGGTTTGATTTTTGACAAAACTTTGAGCGCTTATAACTTTTGACAGATTGCTCCATAGCAAAAACAGAAAGCAGATTCGGATTCGGAAATGGTGTGGGCAGCTGATCCAATTGATTTACCCAGCAGATCCAGTTGATTTGACCAGCAGATCCAGTTAATTTGGTCAGCAGATCCAGTTGATTTGGCCAGCAGATCCAGTTGATTTGGCCAGCAGATCCAGTTGATTTCCCCAGCAGATCCAGCTGATCAGATTAGATGAGTTAATCCAGTTGATCTTCCCTTGTCAGAGCCAAACCAGGCCAAGTTCAGGTCTAGTTTGACAGTTTACTTTAGGACAAGCTTGCAGTCAAGTCAATCTAGACAATGCTAGAAGCCTAGATCTAGATTTCCTCTCTTCCTCATTCACATTTTGAGTGATTTCAAAGTGAAGTTCTTTGGATTATTAGCTGTATGTGAAGCTGAAGTAGTGTATCGAATTTTCTGACCCTTAAGCTTTACATAGGATTCATAGGATTACCAAAACCCTTTCCTACCTCTTTCTTTACCATTCTTCACCAATGTTTTGAGTGATTGCCCTGAAGTAATCCACCTCGATTCCTCATTTTCTTCTATTTCTTCTACTTCTTTTCCCCACTCTCACCTCAATGTCATCTCTCGGAAAAAGCACCAATTCTCTTTGTGGATCGTTTTCCAAAAAAATACTCTTCTCGCGCACAAATTTCTCGTAATCAATCGGTGCAGAGATTGGTGGCTTTCGCTGAATTTGTGACATCATAGAATTCTTTTAAAATAAGTTCTTGAACTTCAAATGAATTTTAAAATAAAAGAAAAGCTTTGAGAACTTTGAAGACTTTGAAAAGAACTTTTTTTATCATCTTTTCTTATTCTTTTCTTATTCTTTTTCTTATGATTAATTCTTTTGTATGCTTTTTTTGAGGAAATTTGATCTATTTACAGAAAAGAAATGATTAAACTAATAGAAAAATTATTATTATAAAGCTATTTTCAAGTTTGATAGCTTTGATAGATTAAAGCTATTTTTTTTGTTTAAAAGTTATACTTACAATTGGATTAGCAGTACTAATGACTTTTTGAACGGCTTCTCGAGCTTCTCTTGCAAGACCTGGACGTCCAACGCCTGCAGTGAATCTGTAAAGTTTTTTTTTTGAATCAATTACACTTTAAGCTTATAAAATCTCAATAACTTGTTGAGTATGTTGAATTAAAAGTATTCAATCAGCAAGATTGACTGGCAAAGTCTTAAACGATTGAATAATCGTGTAAGATTTGAAGTCTTATCGGATCCAACACTCGGATAAGTCTCATCAGATCTTAATCCAGCATACTGTGCTAAAGATTTCAAAGTTATTTTAAAATTATCTAAATTATGTTCAAAATATATTCAAGCAGATTGTATTCTCTGACTTTTAAAGAACAGATATCAACCTAAAACCTATCGACTAACGGACATTTGATACACCCACTCCTTTGCCATTGGCAATCTAACTTTGAGCTCGAATTTCTTGGTGTTGGGCTGTCCATTTTAAATCTTCTTGGTATCATTAGATGCGCCAAGTCTTTCTCTGTTGATTGGTACAAAAACGATTTCAATTGAACAGCCCAACACCAAGAAATTTGAGTTTAAAGCTGGATTGACTGGCAAAGTCTTATCAAATCCAACATACCAAAGATTTCAAAGTTATTTTAAAATTATATAAATTATATTCAAAATATATTCAAGCAGATTGTTATCGTTAGCGTATTGGAACCGTATTGGAACCTTATTGGAACCTTTTAGATCAAAATAGGAACCGTATTGGAACCTTTTAGATCAAATTCAAGCATATTCTCTGACTTTTAAAGAATCAAAACTTTGCTTTAAACAACGCAATCAATAAATGACAGGGATTTGAAACTTTCCTTAAACTATTCAAGTTATTAAAGCATCTTACCGCATTTAAAAGTGAAATAAGTCAAATGTTTGAAATCTTTTTGATGTTACCAATTGAATTCCCCCAATTTCCCAAACGAACTCTTTGTCTCTTTGACGCCAAAAGCGGAAATTGAACGAGTGAGCGGAATTCTTTCTTTTCGCCGGTGAAGCAATGTTCGATTTCACAGAAATCGAATCAGAACTGCATTCCGGTGGAAGCAATGAATTGGTTTGTAGAGAATTCGTGGACAAGAAGTCCAAAGATCGAGTGTCTTTCAAGAGGTACATGAGGAATTGATGAATTGGTCAAAGCTAAGGCTCAGCTTTGAGTTGAAAAAGATCACGAAGTAGTAGTAGAAGTTGCTGATTGATTGCCACAGAATTCTTTTACGAAAGAGAATAGACTTCAAATAGAAAACGCGACTTTTTGTTTGAAACGAATAAAATTCGTCAAAATATAGTCAATATGATTTGTCAAATAGTTAAATCTGAATCGTTTCTGAATAAGAATCAATTTTTAAAGCGATCAAAATAGAATCTTCATAATGAGTCGATTTCTTTGAAGTGTTTGAGTCTTAATTCATTCGATAATCCAATAAGAATTCTCAATCAGAATTCAGAAGAGTCAATCTTCATCAAAACAAGATTAATAATTCGCTAAATCAATAATTAAGTGCACAAGTCCAAAATCGATTTGTTAGATGATTAGAAAATGATTTAAAATAGTCAATATCGCTTTTTTCAGTAGTCCAATCAAAATTCAATCGTAAAAACAAGTTTAACAGATTAATAAACAAGTTCAAACTGTCATCAAACAGCTTCTATCAAACAAACAGCTCAAAAATAGTGAATAATTGAAAGAATATCGATCAATTCAATCGTTTTCCATTCATTAATCAAATCAAATTCTCAAAGAAAACTTGTGTTGACCTTTCTTTTGCAAAATTAATTACGAAACGAAAATCCTCTCAATGTTTTTTTTGAGGCACAATTCCCAAAAAAGCCATCGGTGTGAATGGGTGAGAACGGGGAAAAAAAGGATTTCAAAAGAGTCGAGAAGACGAAGAGAGGGGTAAATGCATAGACGAATCATGGCCTTTTCTCTCTCCAGCTTTCCATCTTTTCCCTCTCATCTCTCATCGTTTTTCTGATTTTTCTGACCATTTTGTTTGTCGCTTTTCTTCTGAGGAATGAAAAGAGGCGGATTCAGAAATTGAGACCTTTCTCTTGGCTTTCTTTTCTTTTGCTTTTGCAAGTGAGCACTTGAGATTATGAGACATGATTAAGGGGAAAGGTGAGGGAAATGATGTTAAAAGTCTAATAGAGGCTAGCAGTAAGTGAGTCTAATAGTAAGTAAGTCTAATAGTAAGTGAGGCTAGCAGTAAGTGAGGCTAACAGTAAGTAAGTCTAATAGTAAGTGAGGCTAGCAGTAAGTGAGTCTAATAGTAAGTGAGGCTAGCAGTAAGTGAGTCTAATAGTAAGTAAGTCTAATAGTAAGTGAGGCTAGCAGTAAGTGAGTCTAATAGTAAGTAAGTCTAATAGTAAGTGAGGCTAGCAGTAAGTGAGTCTAATAGTAAGTGAGGCTAGCAGTAAGTAAGTCTAATAGTAAGTAAATATTAAAAGTCTATTAGTAACTAAAGGGTAAAAGTTGGTTCAGTTACAGCTTTGGATTTTCGAAACACGAAAGCGAAATAAAATAGATGGGCGACAGTTTCACGTTGGTTAGTTGATAGCTCATGTCATTTATGTTTATGAGTGTACACAAGAGTTTATGAGACGTGATTAAGGAAAGGACAAGCTTTGAATTCTCAGAAAAGATTTGTGGGTCAGGTTTTTAGAATTTTGAGTTTTTGATTCTTGCTAATGATAATTGGACTTTCAAAACAACGGCAAAATGGATTCTTTGTCTTTTTTCGATCGTATTTTTGTAAGGGAATGTCAACAGGGTGTGGTGGTCAAATGAGCTCAAATGACAAATGGTATAGTACTGGACAATGAAATATCATATTTGAAAAACGATCGCCACTTTCGCGCGTCTGTAACTCCCTTGTCTTTGAGTTTAAACTATTAGTGTTATACATTTTCTGAAAGCTCTGTTCAAGGGCTACACAATGGTAATATTAATATTTAGAAACACAGTAAAGACAAGGGAGTTACAGACGCGCGAAAGTGACGATATTTTTTCAAATATGATATTTCATTGTCCAGTAGTGTAGCTATATACTAACCGACGTAGAATTTTGCGCTGATTCCGAATCTACTTTCAGTTTTTACAAAGCAGCACTCTGTCAAAAGTTATAAACACTCAAAGTTTTGTATCGCAGAAAACAGACCCTGAGTCTATACGTTGACTTACCAGAGGAAAAAGCTGTCGTGGTGGCCGAGTGGCAGTAGGATTGGATACGAAACAAAGATGCCTAGGGTTCGAGTCCGACGTTTGACTCTTGTTTTTGTTTCTATTATTAGGGTGGTAAGGATGAAGTCAACGTTTGATGTCTAAGAAGTCAAAAAGGCAAAGTCAAAGTCATAGTCAAAGTCAAAAAGTCAAAGGAAAAAACAAGAGTCAAACGCCGGACTCGAACCCTAGGGTCCTTGCTTGATCTAAAAGATTAATTTAAAGCTAATGATCATTAAAATAATATTAGGTTGTCCAGTTATAAATGCGCGTTTTTTACTATTTTGTAAATTTCTCAAGATATCGAACAGATGTATACGAGTGTTATATATCATTCGAAAGCTGAAGATCTCCTCTACATTTTGATATAAAAAGGTTTTGAATTTGTTCAGCTTTTGGGAAAATTGACTGCACAGAAGAGAAGGTGGTCAAAAAAATGGAAGGGTGCCTTTGGATCAAGTTTTGGCTCGGCTCAAATTGAGTTAACCGTTTGATGTTTGGCCAATAGATACATCAACACAAGTTTTTTTAAAATATAACAGTTTCAGAGAATCTTTACTTTTCTTTTCTTTTCTGGGCGGTTATTTTACACCATAAAACTTGAGGAATAGCTAAGCTGGAATGGGGTTTTTTTTTTGAAAACGACCTCTCCCTTTGTGCAGTGAATTTCCCAAAAAGTTAAATGAATTCAAAAAGTTTTTTATTCCAAAATGTAGAGGAGATCTTCAGCTTTCGAATGATATATAACACTCGTATACATCTGTTCGATATCTTGAGAAATTTACAAAATAGTAAAAACGCGCATTCATAACTGGACAACCCAATAGTAACCCACCAAGAATTTCAAAATAAATATACGAAATGCTAATTCGAATTGAAAGTTGAAAAAGCCCTCGATGTCGATTTTCAAATGATTTCTCCAGCTAGTCCAAGGCAGGCAGGTTCAGGCCTGGCTCTGGCTTTGCCTGGTTTGTTCTGATTTAACTTTACGGTTCCAATACGGTTCCAATACCGTTCCAATACGGTTCTTATTTTGATCTAATACGGTTCCAATACGGTTCTTATTTTGATCTAATACGGTTCCAGTACTATCAATTGTTAAAGTTTAATTATAGTTTTGGGTTTTTTTTGAAAACGACCTCTCCCTTTGTGCAGTCAATTTCCCAAAAAGTTAAATGAATTCAAAAACTTTTTTATTCCAAAATGTAGAGGAGATCTTCAGCTTTCGAATAATATATAACACTCATATATATCTGTTCGATATCTTGAGAAATTCACAAAATAGTAAAAACGCGCATTCATAACTGGACAACCTAATATTATTTTAATGATCATTAGCTTTAAATTAATCTTTTAGATCAAGTTTAGATATTATTTAGATATTTTAAAATATATTTCTAACATTAAAAGTACGCAATCGAGTGATCAAAGGGGGATTCAAAGGTGGATCGAATTTCCTCTTTCTCGCTCTTTGTTGACCCAAATGAGGTCATTTTGTTTGGTTTGATTTGCCCGATTTGAGCGTAAACAAACAGTGTAAACAAATAAAAACGAATGAAATCAAAGCAAAGATTTGATTGTTTCCTTTTGAACAAATTCTTGAGCATTCTTGTTCTTGAGCATTTTTGTCTCTGACTTGGAATCGCTTTTGGCAGTTTTGAAAAGTGATTGGAGTCATTTTATTGGTAAAATTGGATTGATTGAATCAAATCTTGCAACCAGTACAAAATTGGATAGTTTATTTAGATTTTAGGCTTATTTAAAAGTTCCATTCATCTTTTAAAAGTAGCTTTTAACGCATTTGAAAATCCTTCTGTTTTTTTGGTTTTTCAGAGAGCAAAAAGTTGAGGGATCTAACGCAAAAAAGCTTAATGATAAAGTCAATTTCAAGCGCCGTTTCTTCCCTCTTTTTTTTGCATAAATACAAAGTAAAAGATGTCTGCATAAATAACATTTAGTGCTCCAAATTTCATCGTTCGCTTTTTGGCATAAAATGGAGGAGAAAAAATTCTGTATTCGAGCTGAGTTGGTTCGGGAAAAAAGTGGTTCTACGATTTTAGACAAGAAAAATCACCAGCTGAATCTCATCGCACGATCACTCACTGTTTTTGGAGAGGAAAGTATACACATTCATCAATGCCAACAATGGTTTCAACGATTCCAAGGCGGCGATGAAAGCCTCGCAGACTTAGTACTCAATTCTAATTGCAGTATTAGAAAGTAGCTTTACGACTAACATCTACTGTAACATCTACATACTTATTGGTGATAGGTTGCCTTTAAGACCGACTTGGAAGTTTTAAATTACCGAATTAATTCATTATCCTCCAATTTTAAACAAAAAAAATGCCATTCAAACAAGTTATCTTTTTATATTAAAAGGATATGATTCAAGGCTTTTGTAAACTTTTTTTCTTGTTCAACTCACTTTCTCAGTTGTCCCGAGGTTTTCGATGAAGCGACACTGTCCCCAATGAGTGTCGACGCCGCTGATGAGCCACCAGAAATCACCGAACGATTCTCATCCTGAAGTTGAACCATTTTTTTTTATTAAAATTGTTTAGTTTCAATCTAGTTCAAGCCAAAATTTAAAATTTAAAATGCCAAAATGTTCTTTATTGTAAAGACAAAATGCCAAAATGTTCTTTATTGTAAAGCCAAAATGCCAAAATGTTTCTTTAAAGCTTTAAAGTTTCAATAGCAGTTTACTAGGGTAACTGAAAGCTGTGCTTGACTCGATTTTTGCTGTTTTCCATTAGATTTTTAAAAAATTTCATATCTAAATTAGCTTTTCCTCAATTTCCCACCTGATTCTGTGAAAACGACAATCGACTTGAGTGATTGTGAGCCGGATTGCGCATCGCATTCCACTTGAAAAGCTTTTCTTAAGCCAAAAAAACACTTCCAAACGAAGAAAAGCAGCTAAAAATTCGAATAATTTACAAACAATTAAGATAAACAATTGTTTTTTCAATTAAAGCAAACAAAAGAAGTAATTAAGTCTAATTAAACACATCGTTCAATTGAGGTGAATGGCTTGAAATTTGGCAAAGAGGCAAATCGGTGCATCTGTGTCTCTTTCAAGGATTACGGTAGATGATCCACGGATTTTGAGAGCACAAATGGAATTGGCTATTAGCATTAGCTATTAGAGAAGAAAGAAAATGTATTTGCTATGAATTTGACTCAATTTTAAGTCTAAATTTCTTAAAGATTGGACTTTTTTCTCACTAAAGTATGCCTGTATCTAAATGAATCTTAAAATTAACAAGTTTTCAAGTACCCTAAAGTCTCGAGTATAAGTTCTGCCTTAATTTACATTTAAAGGGCTCTGATGGAAGCTCGAAACGGTCAAATTTGCGAGGAAATTTGGAACGAACGTGGCTGCGATCGAATTTGAAGTCGCCGAACAGATGATTAACCGCTGGAAACAAGCTGAGCCGGCACTGATGAGTTCACCAAAAAATAATCGAGCTTTCCGAGGATTGAGGGCAAAATGGCCAGATGTGGAGAAAGATCTGAAGGCATGGTTTCTGGAGAGGCGATCAAAACAACGAGCTGTAAATGAGCTGTAAAAGCAAAAAAGTTATGCTGCAGCGGGGTTCGAACCCTCGACACACCGCACCGGAGACAGCCGTCAATTTGCATGCGAAAACCAAACAGAACTTATACTCGCGACTTTAGGGTAAGTTTTCATAACATAACTATTTCAAGTGAGTTTCCAAGTAGCTTTTCAAGTAAGTTACAAAGATATTCAGCTTTATTAGCTCGCTCGGTGCTCTAGTGGTTAGTGCAATGGCTTACCAGTATGCCTGATTAATGTATCTAAATGAATCTTACAAATCTTACAATTAACAAGTTTTCATGTAAGTTTTCATAACAGAACTATTTCAATTCAGTTTTCAAGTAACTTACAAAGATATTCAGCTTTATTAGATGAATCTTTTAATTGGCATACTGTAGTGAGAAGTGTATTCTTTAGAATTAATGTTTTTTTTAAAGAATCACCAATAATAAACAACAATAAAATCTTTAATTAAAGTTTTATTTAAAAACCAGCTTTCCCTTTGAATGTTTAAGGGTCAACGCATAATTTCAAAAAAAATAATTATAGTGGGAGTGTACGAAATATATGTTGATGATTTGATTTATATAATTTCTTGTGGGACCGTGTCTCGGTGTGGTTCAATAGTGGTCGTCTTGAAAACGCACAATTGATCAAAACTTTCCCTTATTAGGGCAAACGTCGCTCAAACTGGAGCAATCTGGCACGATCACAATTAATTCAACACTTGCATGTGAAAAAAGGATGATCAAAAGCCAAAAAAGGAGAACTCACTCAAAAGCAAAGCTTGAAATAACGGGGTTTTTTTTAAAGTATAGAAGCTACAACAAACGGACAGCTGAATATCGTCTAGTGACTGATTACGGTAGTTTATCCATCAACTTTGAATTTAAACCTGTGTATTGAATTTTTGACTAACTGCAGAGCAGTGGCAATTCGCCACAGGGAGAAAACTATTCTAAACAGCTTTGCCCCGTTGATTGATCGACGCAACCATGAAATTTCTATTGTACTACTTCAAATGATACCTCAAAACTATCGAAATTGGCTTTGCAACAGTTAAAATCAATTTTGAAAAGAAAAGCAAAAATAATTTTCTCGGAGCGGAACCGAACCCAAGGTCCATCTTTCCCACTCTCGTTTGAAAGACGAGCGCTCTAACCACTCATCCATTTGTGTGTGGAGGGAGTTAGGCAACATTGTGTTCAGCTAGTTTTACAGTTTTTGCCATTTAAAAAACCGCTCGATGAAATTTTCTGATTTTTAAGCGGAGAAAAAAAATTCCTATTGAACAAAAAAAAAGTGCGTCTGCGTCAAATATTGTTTTAAAAGCTTCACTCGGAATTTCTCGGTGGTCTAGTGGTTATTGCAATGGTTTACCAAGCAGAGGGTCAAGAGTTCAATTCCCCCGTCGAGTTTTCATTTTGCTTTTCATATTAAAAAAGAAGTTTTTCTTGGTGTTTTTAATTTGTTGATGGGTGATTTGAAAAGATAACGTAATCTACCGTAAACTACCGTAAGTTTTCTAATTTATTTAGTGAAAATCTCGGGAGTGGGACAAATGCGACCTTTTTTTGCGCACCCGGACATTTGCGCACCCGGACATTTGCGCACCTTTTTTCCGCACCTTGCCCATTAGCGCGTTTTAAGAAAGCTCTAAAAAGCTAATATTAACCAATTTCTATTCCAAAAGTTGTTTTTCTAGGTAATTTTAGGGCGTAGAATCGAAATTTTGACATATCAGAGCTTGTGGAAACAAACGGACGGAGTTATACAAAGAGAAAGATCGACAATTTTCTGTAATTTGATCTAGCCGTTTTGTCTAGCCGTCTAGCCGCTCAAATTGGTTCCACACGCTCTGTTATGTCAAAATTTGACTTCGACACCCTCAAATTACCTAGAAAAACAACATTTGGAATAGAAATTGGTTAATATTAGCCTTTTAGAGCTTTTTAAAAACGCGAAAAAAGGTGCGCTAATGGGCAAGGTGCCGAAAAAAAGGTGCGCAAATGTCCGGGTGCGCAAAAAAAGGTCGCATTTGTCCCACTCCCACAATCTCATTTGATAAGGAGCCAAACAACGAATCGAATAGGAGAAAAAGGAAAACGTAAAAAACTGAAGAGAAAATAACGATAATTTTTTAAATTACCTGAAGTAAAAGTTTAAAGTTTAAATTTAAAACCAATTACGGATAAGTTTTTCATTCATCTTTAGCTTTTAACTCATCTTTAGAAACTTTAAGTGAATCAAATCCTTTTACAGCATCATTAGAGATCGATTTAGTGTTCAATATTTGCTCAAATCTTCTGAATTGAATTGAATTGAATGCATTTTAGCAATTTAATTAGCATTTTAACAATTTAATTAGCATTTTAGCAGATTCAAATTTATCCTTGAAATTTAGAAAAGGCACACATAAGAAAAGCACTTTGTTCAATTTGAAAAGAAAAATTTGATCGATTTTTAAGGGAATCGTGACTAAGACTTTCAAAAACACAAAATGAAAAACAATTCGAGAAAACTGAACACAGAATAGATATTGGAATCAGGCTTGTAGGCGGAAAAGAAGCGGAAAATGGAATATCTTTTGATTTTCAAAGAAAAAGTCAACAAATGGGGCAGTTACGCAATTTTTTCGTTGAATTTTCCTTTACAAATCAAAAGATATTAAATTCGGCTTTTTTTGGTTTACAAGCCTGATTGGAATGGTGAGACAAGAGTTGATTCTGATTCAAAAATAGGATCAATTTATTTATGAGCGGGCGGAGGATTCTCATTCTTCTTTGCGTACTTTTCCTTGATGCTGTTCACCTGGAAAAGTTGATTTTGAAATTGGAAAAGGATCAAAATCTAATGGTCACTTGTAAAGGTACTTGCTGGATAATAGATATTGGAATCTACAGGAAATTGATCTTTATTCAAGTCAACACTCCTTTAAGAACAAAACACTCAATCAATTGCAGCTTATTTTACCAACTACAGACGAACTTCGATATAATGAACCTAAAATTTGCCTCAAATTTTCTGCGTAACGGCCCTGGACGGCCACTGATTGCATTTGGCTTGGGCAGCTAGAGTGCAAAAGCCAAGGTTTGGCCTTTTTTTGGAAGAATCACCCTTTCCCGTTGTGATATTCGTGATCAGCAGACAAAAGTACTTAGGAAAATGAATTTTCAGGTACCTCCCCCACCCACCGTTCATCGAAGTTCAACTGTACTTACATTTACATTTATTCATACGAATAATTTGGTACAAACAATACACAGGCACAACCCCTAAGTCCTAAATATAGGGAAGAAAAAAAGATCAATGCCGTATTCTCTCTAATAGTAGTGCACCCTGATCGTCGTCTAAATTCCTCGATAACTCGAAAAGCGCTTACCAGAACCTATCGATGTGAGGTCGGAAAATGTAGCTGACGATGAGATCTAGTGGGGGATTAGAGTGTTGAGCTTCTGCAAAAGCTTGGAAACCGTCAATAGCCACCACCTCGGCTCGGCGCGGTGCACTACTGTTTGAGAAAATACGGTAATCCATCGGTTTGTAATTGAATGTGATTGTGTAATTGTAAACTGAATTATGTAATTACCGTATTTGCTCTGATAGTAGTGCACCCTGATCGTCGTCTAAATTCCTCGAAATCTCGAGAACCGCTTATCAGAACCTATTGATGTGGGGTCGGAAAATGTAGCTGACGATGAGATCTAGTGGGGGACTAGAGTGTTGAGCTTCTGTGAAAGCTTGGAAACCGTAAAATAGTCACCAACTCGGCTCGGCGCGTGCTCTACTATTAGAGAGAATACGGTAGATGGAAAAAAGCCATAATCTAGCCCACGATTGAACCCACGCTTGACCACTCGACCGAGATACAGGACTCTTAGCCAGTCGGCCATTTGTCACTTTTGGATCTTTATCAGAATTTAGGTTTGTTTAAAACAAATCTTAGTCTCACTTAATCAAAAAACTCGCAAAAAATGTATCATTTTCATTTGATTTCACCATTTTTGACCCTGGTCGATCAGCAGCGAATGAGAAACACCGATTTTTCTCCCATTTTAAGCCTAACCAATTGAGAAATAGTCAAAGTTACTGAATTTATGTCCAGTATCAAAAGTTTCTGTTTGTTTTCTGTCAAAAGCTCTAAAATCTAACAATCTATTCAATGTTTCTCTTGGGAGATGAAATGAGTTTGAAAAACTGAAAGTCTTTGCCCCTCTTTGGCTTCAAGCAGATCTTGAAGTTAGATCTTAACTCACTACTTGTCAGTTATCGATGAAAATAAGTTTAGATGATGATTTTTGTTACCTTTTGCTTAGTCTGTTCATTGAAATTTGCCAATTTCTCTTCGACTTTCGCTTTGTTGATAATGAGAGCCGGTTCATTGGGAGCACCGCCGAAGTTCATCTAGAAGTCTATTTATTGAAAAGATAAAGACAAGGCAAAAAGACAAGAAAAGACAAGACAAAAAGTTCAATCAACTACCTTGAACAATTTCCCATTTAACGGATCCGATGGTTTCGGGTGTTTACAGAAAGTGGCATCGAATTCGGAGAAGAATTTCTTCAAGAATGGCTTGTTCGCGGCGAGGGCTTGCTAAAAAGAGAAAGGTTTTCAAATATTTGAAATCTTTTTGAAAAGCCAAATCAGATGAGTTTCAATTTCGATCAAAAATTTAGCCAAATTTAAGCCAAAGATTGATTACATAAAGTTCGGTCTAGTGGCGCCTAGGGGACAGGCAGAACTTCATCCAGATTTCCCCGAGTATATCTAGCGTTATCATTTTCATAACTGGACAACCCAATCTTTCAAATTCCAGACAAATCTCAATCTCATTTGGGCTCTCGTAGTCGGTAGCGTTTCGTTGGGAGCACTTGCTGGAGCTCTTCTTGTCAAGTACGTTTTTGGTTTGGTTGCATAATTTAAACTGCTATAATTACTCAGTTTCAGTGCTATAAATTTAATAATATTTTCATGTTTTTATTCTAAACTTATTAGGTTGATGCAAAAGTCTTTTTCATTTTTTTCGTACTTCCGTTAAAAAGTAACAAATGCACCAATTGAACAACGGTTTATTGCATTCGAAAGGCCAATTATTTTTCTGCAAAATGACATTAAAACGAGTTTAAAATGTCTTATGTCTAGATTTTTTTGAGAGCCTGAAGTCGGGTAGTCAAAAAAGGCGACGGCTCGATGATGCATTTTAGACGCTTTAGCTAAGGAAACCAATCTTGATGTTAATAAATAAAAGATAGAGCACAAAAAGTTAGATATCTTTTCAGATTTTCAGAGAAATTGATTCAGCCAATTTCTTTATAGAGGTTTTTATAGATTTTTATGAAAAACCCGTTTTCACTCTCGAATTTGCTTGAAAGTGAACCCAAATTGACTTAAAAAGATGGGAAATTGAACAATAAACACTTTTCATTTAGAGCAAACCATAGGTTAATTGATGACTTTGTTATTTTTCAAAAGAAGTACGAAAAAAATGAAAAAGACTTTTGCATCAACCTAATATAACGAAAACATCTGTCGGCCCTTTTTACCATTGGCAATTTCAGGTTTTTCGTGTTTTTATTAGCACCAACCATTTGATTTTGACCATTTTGAATATCATTCAATGCAGAATAAAATTGCGCATCGAATGATACCAAAATTAGCTAAAAATGTAATATCCATGCAAAGTTATTGCCTAAAAATCTAAACCCCGCTCATAATGGGCGGGACCTAATCTTTTGCCTCATGACTTTCCATGGATATTACATTTTTAGCTAATTTTGGTATCATTCGAAGCGCAATTTTATTCTGCATTGAATGATAGTCAAAATGCTCAAAATCAAATGGTTGGTGCTAATAAAAACACGAAAAACCTGAAATTGCCAACGACAAAGAAGGATCGACAGATGTTTTCGTCACAAGTTTACTGAGTCCTCCCTGCCCCCTAGGCGCCACTAGACCGAAATCTATGTAATCATTTATGTAATCATTTATGAAATAAATGTTATGAGGCAAAAGATTGAGTCCCGCCCATTATGAGCGGGGTTTAGATTTTTAGGCAACAACTTTGCATGGATATTATATTTTTAGCTAATTTTGGTATCATTCGATGCGCAATTTTATTCTGCATCGAATGATAGTCAAAATGGTCAAAATCAAAGGATTGGTGCTGAGAAAAAACCTGAAATTGCCAACGGCCAAAAAGGACCTACAAATGTTTTCGTTACAAGTCTAGGGCTCGGTCGCTCACCGCTTTTTTCCCCCTTTACGGATTCAAAAAGGGGAAGCTCTTTATACTGAAGCGGTTTGCCAGGTCCGCGAGCGATTACGCTGCCGTACAAAGAACACCGGACCCGTCATTTACATAGAGAATCTTCTTTTGCTTTGCAAATCGTTCAAAAAGAAGATATTTTACTGTAAATTTGTATCCGGGGGTTTTCGAGGTCAGGGAATCGACTGAGAATGTTCATTTTATTGAATCTACCAAATATCTGGATCATTCTGTCCCTGGCTTTCTCAGCGAACGGTCAAAAATGAAAAAAAACTGAGGAACCAGGCCTATTAAATAGCAACAAATTCCAAAGTCACAATTGAACTCTAGTTGATCTTCACAAAAAAGCTTCAACAGTTTTCGGAGCCGGGAATCGATTGGACCTATTCATTTTATTGCTTCCTTTTATTTTATTCATTTTATTGAGTCCACCAATTGAAACACTCGGGTTTCATTGATCAATCGTTACAAAAAATTCTTTTACCTGTACTTCCGGGCTCTCATTCTTTAACCACGCTTTATATGCAAGATATGAAGACTCGGCGCTCTTTTTCTGCTCATAGTCCGAACATTTTGTGCTCGTCTCAGGCCCCAAATGAAGCAACTCGCGGAGTGATTTCCTGTAAATAGGAAATTGAAACAGGAAGAGCTGAACATTTGCAACATTTTTATTTGGATAACTAGACTCTATACTGATCAAATTCTTTATACTAATGATCATATTGCTGAGATTACATGTTTTCCGTAGCTTTTAAACGTAGCAAGTTTTAATCAGCAAGCAAATCTATTGAATATAAGCTTTTCTGTAAAGTTTATATCTAAAAGTTTAAGATCTGACTGAGAATGAAAATTTGATAGTGAAATACTGTAATCAGAGTTGTTCCAACAGGTCCTTGGGTTTGTAAACAAGTTCAGGCAAAGCTTAAGCCCAATCAGAATGGCTCAGAATGCCCAGAGCCCAATCAGAACGGCTCAGAATGCCCAGAGCCCAATCAGATCGGCTCAGAATGCCCAGAGCCCAATCAGAACGGCTCAGAATGCCCAGAGCGCATTCAGAACGGCTCATGCCCAGAGCCTAATCAGAGCGGCTCAGAATGCCCAGAGCCCAATCAGAACGGCTCAGAATGCCCAGAGCGCATTCAGAACGGCTCATGCCCAGAGCCTAATCAGAGCGGCTCAGAATGCCCAGAGCCCAATCAGAACCCAACCAGCAAAGCCAAAGTCAGCCAGAATTAGGATCCGACCTGACTTGCGCCTGGTTTACAGGCCCTAGAGGCCTATTGTAGCTTTCTTGGGGTGTTAAATGAATGAAACTTGACTTCTCAAACTCACCACCCACAAAACGACTCCCTATCGCATTGGCGGCACATTTTAAAAGAATCTCAAATTAAATACAGAAAGCGAAAATAAACTCTATCTAACTCCAAGGTTCCCAGTCAGAATCTGATCCTGATATTTCTCTCAAAAAACTTACATTTTTGTATATTTCGATGCTTCCCTTTGCTTTCTTTCCCAAATTCAGCGGCGATTTTTACGTAAATTGACCGTTTGTGCAAATATCCTGATTGAAATTTGTGGAGGAGAAAAGCCGAAAAATGACGAGAAAAAGAGGAATTCCCTTGAAGTTTGCACTCAACGAGGAAAAAACGGCAGCTGATTTGTGCTGAGCCTGTAAATGGAAATGCATTTGGGAAGATTTTGCAGAAAAATGTTCGAATAAAAGTGTTTGATAATGAGATGGGAATTGATGTTTTGGAAACCTTAAATTATAATTAGAAATTAGATCCTACTCACTACTCACATTTGATCCTAAGAAAGGATACATGTTTTACTAATAAATTTACGGTTCTGATAGTCATTCGTCTGATAGAGATCTGATAGAGATCATAAGCACTTCTAAGATTAATTTCTGACAGAGTTTTGCAGTTAGAGCTTCTACTTAGAGCTCTGAAAAGCTTGGTGTTCAAGGAGAAGCCAAGATAGCAAAGAAAGAGCTTGATAGTCAAGTCATGAACAAAGTAAACAAGTCATCCAAATCCAGACAGCCATATGGCCATATAAGCATGCAAAATATTGAAAAGTATCGGAAAAAAGTTTCTGAAGTTGAAAAAAACTTTTATTGATTCACAGATATACCATAAATACTTTAAGCGCATACTCAAATAGAAGCGCACCTCTAATAAAAGCCCACCTGCTTGCGTGCAACGATACGTCAAACAAGAAGGAGGGCTTAGCAAAATTCACGGGAAGCGAAAGAGGTTTGAAGGCGGGGACCGGCATTTTATTTCAAAAGAGATCGATGAAGCCTTCGCAATATAGGTTCAGGAAAAAAGAAGCGAAAAAATTAGTAACTCGTCGGATCATTTGGCACAAAACAGGAAACCGATTTACTAAAGACGGACGGAAAAAGAAATCGATGATCTTTTGGAGCCACTCCAATTAACACGACTTCTGGGATTCTGCGAACTTGATCATCAAGAAGGAATCGATGAATTTATTGATTCAGACGCATCGCTTTGTTTTGATTGATTGATCTGTTTTTATGTATAAATCACTGCCGTTAAAGATGAATGAATGAAATTCAAAAGTCAAAAAATGTCAATGAATTATCTAGAAGACTTCCAGATTGGGTTGTCCAAAGATTTCTTAAGAGGATAATTAAACGCACACGCTCAAAGAGAGGCGCGCACGCTCAAAGAGAGGCGCGCACGCTCAAAGAGAGGCGCGCACGCTCAAAGAGAGGCGCGCACGCTCAAAGAGAGGCGCGCACGCTCAAAGAGAGGCGCGCACGCTCAAAGAGAGGCGCGCACGCTCAAAGAGAGGTGCGCACGCTTAAAGAGAGGTGCGCACGCTCAAAGAGAGGTGCGCACGCTCAAAGAGAAGCGCGCACACTCAAAGAGAAGCGCGCACACTCAAAGAGAAGCGCGCACACTCAAAGAGAAGCGCGCACACTCAAAGAGAAGCGCGCACACTCAAAGAGAAGCGCGCACACTCAAAGAGAAGCGCGCACACTCAAAGAGAAGCGCGCACACTCAAAGAGAAGCGCGCACACTCAAAGAGAGGCGCACCCCAGAGGGGGGAGGAAAAATTACAAGCGCATGCGTTTCTATTAGAGTATTTTCAGTTGGTGAAAATCTATCGTTAACAATTGTAAAAGTTACATAGATGCAGTAAGAGTAATATGCAGAGAAAAGAGAAGATGAAAAAGAGAAAGGTGCAGTTGTCGACCCTGTGGATGGGGGTGAGGGGGACAAAAACAAGTTCTCGTGTCTCCCCCCTTCTTCCATTTCTTTCATCATCCCCACAAAATTGATCTCTCACTCACCGTCTATTCCCTCAAATCAGCACTATTTCTCTTTATATTTTTCCATTTCTCTAGTAATCATTTCCTCCAATTTCCCGTGAAATCACCTATGGAAAATATTGGGAAAATTTTGCGATCCACCCCCCTTCAACTATCTGTTTTGTCATATTAAAGTTGAAACTTGTTTTGAGATATTAGATTTCACGGGATTTCAAGCGAAATTTAAAGTAAACTTGTGCAAAAAAAGGATTCAAATGAAAGTTTTAATGGAAAAGTAAAGTTCTAATGATTAATGGATATAGAAGAAAGAGTACTTGATCGTTATAATTCCCCAGCTTTAGTTAGAATCTTTGCAAGACTAAAATGCGCTTTGGCCCTGGTTTTACTTTATTTCATTATCTTCAGGTCTGATTGTCTTTTATGAATGAAATAAATCTTGATAGATAATTCATTATATAAATTAACTTATAACTCACCTCATAAGAGCCAATTTTTCTTGAAAATCATTAACTTTTTCTATTTTGAAAGAGGAATTTGCATAAAGTATAGCCTGAACTGAAGATAGGATTTAGAAATGGATTAGATTCAAATCAACTAATTGAAATTCAGATAAACTGACTGAAAAAGCTTTCCAAATATAGTTAGCTTTCATGGATTTCATGGATTTCAAGCAAAATTTAAAGTAAACTTGTGCAAGAAAAGGATTCAAATGAAAATTTTTAATGGAAAAGTAAAGTTCTAATGATTAATGGATATAGAAGAAAGGGTACTTTATCGTTATAATTCCCCATTTTCCTATACATCAATACCGTTACACTTCCGCAATCTACTTTTTACTATGGTAATCTAGAACTACAATCTTTTGGACGTTTACAAGGATCGTTCACTCGAGATTTACGTAAAAAGGATTAAAGGCTCTAAGGCTTGTGCGCCCTATTGATGTGAAAGCCTTTTTTCATTCCTTGGTGAAAGGCTAAATTCAATACCAATCCACTCTAATCAGTTGACTGGTATGAGATTTTTATTGGATATTCAAAACAAGCCCTCTACACCTTTTCGATAGGATTTAGAAATGGATTAGATTCAAATTAACTAATTGAAATTCAGATAAACTGACTGAAAAAGCTTTCCAAATATAGTTAGAGTTTCATTTTAAAGTTTGTTTTAACGATTCAAACTTAGTATGGTCATTTTCTCGAAGAACAACCAATCATGATAAAAGCAAAATGTTCAAGTATTCTTTTGAGAAAGATAAAAGTATCTCTTTCCTTGCAGACTCTGCCTCTGATGAGGTGAGTTATTTTCGCAAATTTATTTACTTATTTGATAGAGGAAACCGGTTTTCCCAATATGTAGAAAAAAAATTGGTCGGTTTTTTTAGTGATTAGTCAGAGGAATTCAAACTAAAGTAGGTACTTCAAACTACTTTGAACGAAGTAGGTAATTGCTGAGTAGCAAAGACAAAAAAAGAACAAAGATAAGGTAATTGTTGACAAATGTAAACAAAAATCTAAGTTCTGCAAGTAAAATTAAAAACTGATAAAAAAGCTGTCTTTCTCTGGTAAAAAGCGATTTGAAAGCCGAAATTTCGTCAAGTTACCATCTGGTTTCAAAGCTAAAATTCTTTGATCAATACTTAAAGAATCCATCAAAACTTCGAGTCACTTTAACAATAGCTTTTATTTCTTATTCTTATTCTTAAACGAAAACTTATTTGTAAGACTTGTAAGTTAGCCAAGCCAAGTTAGCCAAGCCAAGTTAGCCAAGCCAAGTTAGCCAAGCCAAGTTAGCCAAAGTTTTGCCGATTAGCGGTTTTTGAAAACAGTTTCTGAACGTACATTTTCCAGCCTTTCTTTTGGCATCTATCTCATATTGTAACTCGCGGGTAATTTGGGGAAGGTTCCCTTGTTAGCAAAACACAAAAAACAATCATCAGAACAATTTGGAAGACTAACTAGCTGGGCTAATTTGGTCTATCCTTGCATTTTATAGCTTTACTTTTGGTTCTGGATAGTAAATTCAGTATAATCTATTATGGAAAAGAAAAACTAAGAAAAACCTAAAAATGTTCTATGATCTATTCTATGATCTAATAAATGATCTAATAAAAATGATCAAATAGTTTAATCAAGCAGCGAATGAGCCCGAAAAAAGTTTTCCTTTGAAGGAATGTTTGATTTGTAATCGGAATGAATCATTGAAAATATGATTTTTTTGGCATTTTTGAGGCTGGTTATCAAATTTTATAATATTTGGTTGTAAATTATGACTAAGCCGTCAAAGTTTTATTTAGAAATGCCCAATTAGTCGCTTTGCACCCGTTTCCTCTTTTTAAAATGTTTTTTTATTCATTTGTAGTAGTTTGAAACGAATTTGAGCTTATTTTTTAAAAGCATATGCTTGAAAATGTTTAAAATTACGTGAAGTGCCATACAAAGAAAACCGCTGAACGAATTTCTCTGAAATTTCGGCTATAAGTATAACTTTTTATGCTCTATCTTTTTTCTATCAACATCAAAGTAGGTTAGTGTGGAAGAAATGATTTAAATTATTGAGTTTGGGGTTCGACCCGCTTTAACCTTATCAACGAGGATGATTCTGCTTAAGAATGGCCGAATAGCACAAAAGGTTAAAAAGGGTTTCCCCAAAAGCGCTTATAACGTAAGAAGAACATGTAGTATCCAACAATAGATTAATACTCTTGAGAAGAGTACGGATCGGATTGATACTACGTCAATGGTGACACAAATGTTAGTAAAACAGTCTCTCTACAATGTTAAACCAGTTATCTAAACAGGATTTAAAACCTGAAGGGTAGCATAAAGTGAAGTGAATTTAAAACGTTACTGTTTATTAGTACAGAACCGAAATGCAACAATACCTATTACAAAAACAGCATGCGCATCAAAAATGAAATAACAAAGTCCCCCCAAGAAAGAAGGCAAAAAACTCCAGACCAAAAAAAACAATTTCGGGAAGGGAGAAAAAAAAGAACGAAAAATGCGACGCGAATAATTGCAAAATAGCAACGCAAATAGGAAGGAAACGGACGCGACCATTGAGTTGGTGAATTGAAAACTGCCGGCTATTGTCATATGTCACAGTTTGAGCACTTTCTTCAAAAGAAACCCATTTGGTGTCAATGGAAAAGTTGTAGAGAATCAAAAATGAAGCTTAAATCCAAATTTTCAGAACGATTCAAAAGCTGGTTTTCAAGAAATGTCAAATTTACGAATTTTTACGAAACTTGCATTTTAAGCGAAACTACTAAGTGTATCTTTTTGGAAATTTGGCTATAAGCCTAATTTTTGATTCTCTACAACTTTTCTATTGACACCAAAATGGGTTTCTTTTGAAGAAAGTGCTCAAACTGGGCTGACGGCTGACATCTCCAGTCCTCCATTTTTGAGTCTCACACTTGTCTCACACACAAACCAAAATCGGATTGTCTGTTGTCATATGTCACAGTTTGAGCACTTTGGGATATGGAGGGAGTGGTGCACTGGGAGTTGCTGGATAGC